CTGAGGGAAGGGAGGAATGGGAAGTTATTGAATGGAATTAGAATGAGTTTCTGTAACTGAAAAAGTTTTGGAAATGATGATGGTAACGGTTGCACACATTACAATATACTTAATTCCAATAAATTAATTGAACATTTAAAATTATTAAAATGGTAAATTTTATGTTCTGTATATTTCACTGCAATAAAATTTTTTACTTTTTAAAAAGATGTTTCTAGAGACTTTTTAAAAATAAAAATGGTTTTTCTTTTAATCTACTTAAAGCAGGTAGCTGAACATAACTAATAATGATTTTTTTTTTTACCAAGAATGAAACCTACAGAACAGTTTTCATAGTATTCATAGACTGTACATCTTATACTTAAAGTAAAAAATTATTTTAGTTCTCATTTAATATTTTTCATCTTTTGTTTCCTCTGATATCCTCTTATGTTGGCAGAGCACTATGGGGGTAGAAGATTTTAAAATGTGTGTCATTATTAATTAATGACCTGGTTGCTTGATAACTTGGACCAGGATCAGCAACCTCGAACTTATGGGCCAAATCTAGCACATTGTCTGTTTCTGTAAATAAATTTTTGTTGAAACAGCCATGCCCACGCATCCATAATTACTTGCATTGCACACTATGATGGCTGAGTTGTATAGTTGTGAAAGAGACTGTTGCAGCCTACAAAGCCGAAAATATTTACTCTCTGGCTCTTTACAGAAAATGTTTGCCCCCTAACTTGGACAATAGCTAAAGCATATTTTACCCACACCAAACTAAACCAATAGAAAACATTTAGAAAAAAAAAAAATTTTTTTCCCAAGAAAACACATTTAGGGCTTTGACAGTCTTGTTCGAAATACTTACTTAAAATTCCAAATTAATACCTTATTTTTATAGTTCAAACTTCTCATGGAACATCTGGACCCTGATGAAGAAGAAGAAGAAGGGGAGGTGTCAGCCAGCACAAATGCTCGGAACAAAGCAATTACCTCGCTGCTTGGAGGAGGCAGCCCTAAAAATAATGCAGCAGCAGAGACAGAAGATGATGAAAGTGATGGGGAGGATAGAGGAGGAGGCACTTCAGGGGTGAGGCGGAGGAGGAGTCAACGTATTTCGCAGCGTATTACGTAAAACGATTTTTATGTGCTTATATATGTCAGTCTTTTAAATGTACATCAAGTAATGTAATACTTATGAGAGAAAACATTTTGTAGATAGAGATTCTCTACTTAACCATTTATACATCCTTTTGTAGAAAGTTTAACATAAAGACAATAAAAAAGAAAAAAACAGAAATGAGATTTATTCAGCATAAAGGGTTATTAATTTTTTTTGGATTGTATTAATGTGTGTTATCCTTTTTCATTGTTGCTAAGTTTTATGTAGCTTTGTGGTTCATATGTATATATAATTTTATATATCAATAAGAGTAAAGACGGGTACAAATTAAGAGTTTTATGGTTTTACAAGTATATGTTAACCCCTTGGCGCTGGCGGTCACGGTGCGTCTCATTGCCGGCAATGGAAGTGTGCTGGGAAATCCCAACTCCCGGCGTCAAGGGATTAAAAGCAATAAAAACAATAATTTCACTAAAATTATTTTGTATAACACTTGGTCTTTTTTCCCCCCTCCCAATGTTTTAGTCATTGAGAAGGTCAAAACGAAATTCAGACTCTACGGAGTTGGCAGCACAGATGAATGAAAGTGTTGACGTCATGGATGTCATCGCTATTTGCTGTCCAAAGTACAAAGATCGACCACAAATTGCAAGAGTAGTACAGAAAACCAGCAATGGCTTCAGTGTTCAGTGGATGGCAGGCTCCTACAGTGGCTCCTGGACTGAGGCTAAGCGCCGTGATGGCCGCAAACTGGTGCCTTGGGTAGACACTATTAAAGAGTCAGACATTATTTACAAAAAAATTGCTCTAACGAGTGCTAATAAGCTGACTAATAAAGTTGTTCAGACTTTACGATCCCTGTATGCCGCCAAGGATGGGACTTCCAGCTAATGAATTTGTACATGCAGCCAAATTTACAGGAATTTTTTTTAAAGGCAGAAAAACTTGAAATATCAACATTCTGGCAAAAAAAAAATCAGTTTTATGAAGAGTAAGAATGGAACCTGGGATGCAGGAACAAAAGAAGGAAATGTTGGGCAAACATTTTTGTGGGAGCTCCCTTCGCTGTTGTGCAGCAGAAACAGATTCTCAGTTCATTTTTACTCCCACTGTATTATAGTTTAACAAAAATTGTTTATATCTTGGAAAAAAACTTTCTGTTTAAAAAATAAACAAGTGAATGTTGGAAATTAGTCTGTTAATGTTCTTAATAAAGTGTTCTTGGAGTTTAACCTAGCAGCGGATGGCTTTCTTTAGCTTAGCCCAGTTTCCAGGGAAGCATTGTTTTTTCCAGGCTGTAAAATGGCAGAATCTCCTGGATATATAATTTATTCTGTTGAAAAAAAAAAAAAGCATGCAGTATCTATGACCTATCTGCAGAAGGAGTTTTTGTAAATGTAGATTTTGATGTATTAGGTCACCCTGAAAACAATACAAGAAAAGGGATCCCCAGGCAATCTGGTGGAGCGAATACTGCAATAAATTTTTTTACTTCTCTTTGTTACTTGTCTGTTTCCATTTGAATTTCTTATTGTAAAGATCTGTTTAAATCCATTTATATTATTTTGCAGTCTTTTATGTAAAATTTATTATATCACTGGTTTTCAAAGCGAAACATAAAATATTGTTTATACAGTTTGTATAGGCTGGCTTCTGAATAATTGGTATCTATTATTTTCATTCACATAAGAGGGTGTAAACAATTAACTCCAAGGTTTTATTGTATCCTGCAATATTTAGTATTAACTATATATGATTTAGCACTGTGCCAAACACATTTTCAAGAGTACATTTTGATATAAAAAGAAACTATAGTTTATTTCTTGTATGCTTCAATTTCTTTCTAGTGATGTCATGATGGTAATATTTATTTTTTTAAACTATGAACTCTGTGGGACAAAACTAGATTGGGTTTTCCCCCTTGGAGTTTGTTTTGTCAGCAAAGGATTGGAAGTGGCTTATGAAAACAATATGATTTACCAAGGAGTAAAATATCAGAAAAATATAAGAATATAAAGTCCAGCATATAGAATACTAAAGAATAAAGATGTGGGTAAAAAAGCCAATTTTCAATGCCATGAGCCTAACATGTAATGATGCTTGCTGTCATTTAATTCTTACAAAAATTCTTCTGGTTTTATCCCTGCTTTGTAGATAAGGAAAACTGAGGCTAAGAAAGACTCAGTAATTTGCTTGTAAATGTTATAATAGAGACTTAAGTTTGGATTTGGAGTCATCACATCTCAGTACTCTAAGCTAATTGAACATCAAGCATAAAGGAGATGATCTTTATTGAAAGAAAACCAGTTCCTGCAGGATCTTTGAAGTATATATACTTGGGGAAATAGGCACATGATAGTAGTAAGGCTGTGTATCATAGATGATAGTCACAGACGAATTGCTGTATTTAAGAATTTTCTCTATATTGTAAGTTTCAATATTTAGCTATTAATATAAGCCAAATGTTTATATAACTCATAAGCCTTAACCTTTAAATATACAAACCAAAGTTTTCAAAAAGGAGATTTCTCAAATATGATTTTTTGGGTCTTAACACAAAATTAAGTTAGGGCTTTGGCCGTCACATATACAAAATTGAACTTTTAAAGTATTTACAAAGTTCAGTCTTACTCTGTAGTTTGTTGGTACTGTAGTAAGCCATATCATCTTTATTGACTGGTATTGAAAAGATATATTTGATATGAAATTTTTCAAGTACCTCTTTAATATATTAATATGAAAGTTTAGTATTTTCTTATTTAAATTATTATTTTGACAAAGAATGGGTAATTTTAAAAATCCATACCAAAATACAAATGTAGAAAACCAGAATTTAGTGACCTCTAGTAGAAGAATTGATGTTTTAGAGACAAGTAATAGATAGCTTACTCTGTTCAGATGTTGAGTATTTTAATTGTTAGCAGATAACTGAAGCACACAATTTTTGATGACTAGTCTAACATGAATACAGGTAAGTCAAAATTTTTTGTGCAATGTAGATTTTATAAGCAGCAAGCAGATTTATCCTATGTTCATTTAGGAAATAAACTTAACTAGTTCCCCCCCCCCCCAACTTTAAGTTGCACAAAGAACTCATTCTGATTACTATTCTGATGTCCAGGTGGTCTGCATCTTTAGAAGTAATGATATAAACTGGGGGGGGAAATTACTTTTGCAAATATAAAACCTATCAGATCATCCATTTGAAATGATAATATTATTTGAAACACCTGATAGTACCTTTCACTCTACAAAAAAATCCTACTGCTTTGAACCTTTTACTGTTTGCCTTGCTCCATTTTTAAAGTTTGTTTAATCCCTTAGCTGTTTTTTGGGTTTTTTTTTTCTTTAGTCATAGGAAGCGTATTATTTATTACACAAATTTATATTATTTTTATTTATTTGAAGATTTTTCTAAATGCGTTTCTTGTCCTATTGGTCCTGAGAACGAATTGAATGTAAATTTGGTATAGAAAGGTCACTGACCAAATAGATTTCAGTTTACACAGTTTATTGACCAAGTCTACAAATCTCCATGTGTTTTGCATACCACCACCAACACTTCCTTTGTAAGACTCCATTGCATATGGCTTCATTGCTTGGAGTGATGCAGCATGCACACAGTTATGTTTTTCCCCATTAGAATTTATTAAAGCTATTTTAGCTTTTTGTTATGGAACCACCACATATCCATCACCAAGTTTCAATCTGACCAAGCTTATTTGAGCTACACCCTATATACTCCCCCCCCCTCATGTTTTTCCGAAACAAATCCCAGACATATTATTTCATCTATGAATACGTCTTTAAATACTAATACTTGACATCAAGTAAACAAACAGTAAGTGTTCACATTTTCAATTTTCTCAAAATGTCTTTTATTTTAGGTCTTAATCCATAGGTTTCTTCATCTGCCTTTTATTCTTTGCAAATTTTTCATGAAGAAACTGAATTGTTTTGTCCTTGGATTCTTAAGAAAATGGTTGACTTTAAATAGAGGAACAACAATTATTTTCTGGTTTGTAATCCTTTTTTTTACCTTAATTTATTGTAGGTTTGAGAGACATTGTCTCTCTTCCAAAGTCATGTGGTGTTCTTAAGCCTGCATAACTAGACAGAGGTACCAATCTGGACATAATAAAGTGAGGTAGGTTCAGGTTTCAGAAAGATGGTGATAAATATTTAATCCATTGAATTTTAGTTGGCAAATGCCAAGCAGGCAATTGGAGATAAACTAAAGAAAGCAAGTTTAAATAATAGGTTACCCTGTGATTAAAGATCTTCGTTGGAAATGTATGTCAAGTACTCCTTAAAATAAGTGGACCGCAGGCTGTGATTATTTTATAGTTTATAACATTACAGGTTTTTTTAATGGAATTTTGTATTTGTGACTATTTTCATTGTTTGTTACTTTGTCAAATAGTCCTAGTGTCTTCACCCTTGACATTCACCTGCTAAGAAATGGCAGCGTAAGTTTGTCTTGATTGTAACTTGCTTATAATTTAGGGACTAACCTCATTAGATTTAGATTCTGGAACAAAGAACAGGAAAAGGTATTTATGTTTGTCATTAAAGCTAAGCCAATAATTAATCTCCATATTCTATAGTTTCAAAAAATACAGTGTGGGGCAAAAGTAGGTCTACAGATTTTTGTATGGAAAATAATACAATAATTAATAAATAATACAAGAATAAACTGTATGGCCAGTGTGGATTAGTGTCATCCTGTGTACCAGGATGTCTCCAGTTTCATTCCTGGTCAGGGGACATGCCTGAGTTGCAAGCTGGATCCCCAGTGGGTGATGTGCAGAAGGTAGCTTATCAATCTCACTGATAACTCTCTCTCTCTCTCTCTCTCTCTCTCTCTGCCCCCCCTCTAAAATCAATAAAAACATTTAAAAATAAACTTTCACATACAACTACAAACCTACTTTTGTCCACCCTGTATTTATAGAATAATTTAATGTGAGGGAGCTGAGAAATCATTTAACCCGATGTTCTTAACCAAATTTCATGAACCTCTTTGAGAATCTAAAGGAAGCTATGTAATCTCTCCTTAAAAAACTGAACAGATTTCTCAGTATCTGCCTGTCTCTCCTTTCCCTCTCTCCCTTCTTCCCCCTTCTCTCGTTCTCTTTCTCTCTTTAAAAAGAAAAAAAAAATCCATGCCCAGAACTGTGCATACAATCCTAAGGAATTCATGGTCACTCACACCCCAGTTCCATGTATAACGACTTGGAAATTTATAGACTATAGGTTAAGCAATCCTAATCTATACCTTTTTTACAAAAATTTTTTTTTCAGTTACCGTTTACATTCGATATTGTTTTGTATTAGTTTAGGTGTACAGTGTAGTGCTGAACCCTTCTTTTTAAGAAGGTGCCATTGAGGTGAATTGATATCTACAAACTACATGCCTACTTAGTACCATGGCCAAGAGCACCCTTGGGATCTTACTCCCACGTCAGTTGCTTTTATTAGGAAGGTTTTATCTGGAAAGTCTTTATTCAGTCATCTGTTAAGATCTGAATGTATGTAGACTACTTAATAACTAAATGTTGTGGTTCTTGATACATTTTCAAAAAATTCACTTTTATATTCTCAGATTTTGAGATGCCTACTATCCTGTTTGATAAATGGAGAGGTAAAATGTGATATTTTATGTGTTCTATTTTTTATTTTAATTATCTTCTATTTTACCTGGCTTGATGTAGAAGACTAAAAACTTGGATTGGTGAAAAGAGTAATAACTTTGAAGTCAGAAGACATAGTCTGAAGCCATGTGTTATTGAAATAAGTGTAATATGAAGTTTGGTAAATAAAGTCACCTAGCATGTTTTGCGGGAGCTTATTTTAAAAAGTTGTAATTATCTCTCGTGCATATTTGGATCATCAGAATGTTTGGTTAAGTGGGGAGTTGGGGGATGGAATTCTGAAAGTGGACAGCGCAGAGGGAAGGAAGCAGGGTGTGGGTAGTGCAGTATCAAAAGACGAAGCTATAGAAACTAAGGAGAGATAAGTGTACAATTTTGAGAACTTAAATTCTAATGTGTAGACAGGAGAAGGACTTTAAGCAAGGGATTAATTAAAGCTCACTCTGGCTGCTAGATAAAGCATCTGAGGACATTAAGAAGAGAACACAAATAGTAGTAATCTCAGATAGTGAGTCTAAACTAGGATGATGATGGGAGCAGCGATAAAGAGAAGATTGGAGAGAGTGCAGATGTATTTAGGAAATAAAAGTAGCAGGAATTGAGAGTTGACTGGATTATGTAAAGGAAAACTGGCATTAAGGATGGCTATCAGGTTTCTCTATGTTGGGTGACTAGGCTCAATTTTAAATATGTTGAAAATGAGTTCCTGTGGGCTGTTCAGGTGATATCCTGAAAGTGGGAACATGCACAAGCATGACACTTCCAGGGGGGAGTTTGGGCTGAGGCTACATTTGGGACTCGTCAGCACCTAAGCTGCAGAGTGAGCAGCATAGAGTCAAAGGAGGACTTTGGAGACTACCAACATTTAAACTACGGTGGGAGGAAGATCAGTCTGGAGGAGACGGGAAATGATTAGAGGAGTATGGGAAGAATCTAAGGGATTAAAGTTCCAAGAGGGAGACAGAAAGCAACATGTGAAATGCAACATTGAGATGAAGGCTACAAAGTGCGTGGTCCTGCCATCTAGGATGTCAGTGGGAACCTTGAGGATGAGCAGTTGCAGCGAGAACGGGAGGAAAGCCAGACCAGGGTTGAGCTGAGAAATGAATGAGAACCTTGGGGGAGAGGGCTTGGGCAGGAAGAGAGACAACAGAACGGAAATACTGGATATTGAAACGAGAGAAAAGCAGATGGTAAAGGGCCTTAAAAGCCACATTCAAGGTTTGGAAGGGCTTTAAATAGGGTATAATATGCTTGGAGCTGTCGTTCAGAAAGATCACTCACTGTCTACGATGTAGAGAATTGTGATGATGCCAAACTGCATGACTGTATTATTTTTCTCCATAGGGCTCAGCTGCACAACCAAAACAGTAATTTGTCATTGATCCGGCATTGGGTGTTTATTGAAGAGTTAGATTAAGAAAGAAATGGAAGAATCAAAGTTCAGAGTCTCCATTAAATAGAAGACGAGTACAATGCGAGTAGCAGAAGAGGAGTAATGGGAAACTGTGGAGTTGACCACAGGAGTGGTCAGTCGCGAAGAGGCTGAGTTGAGCACTGGAAAGACAAAGTCACAGGCCTTTCCTGAACTAAAACACGGGATTCCTTCTTTCCTCTCGTACTAACAGCTTTGTCTCATAGATCACTTGGTATTGACAGTAGTTCCACAATTTTTTTAGTTTTCGCCAGTTCAGTCATTTGACAAGTAATGGCTGGGTGCCTACCATGAGCAGTGAACTATGTTGGACCCATTGGTACTAAAGCTTGTGTTCTAGTGGGATAGTCAGGAAATGAACCACCCGGTACACAGTTATTAAATTACAGTTGAAGTGAGTGCTTGAAAGTAAAATTAACATCATGAGAGTAGGTGGGTCGCGACCCCTTTTGAGGGTCGAACGACTCTTTCACAGGGGTCGCTTAAGACGTAACAGTAGCAAAATTACAGTAATGAAGTAGCAACAAAAATAATTTTATGGTTGGGGGTCACCACCACATGAGGAGCGGTGTTAAAGGTCGCGGCGTTAGGAAGGCTGAGAACCACTGCCCTGAAGTAATCTGGATGGCTGGGCAGCGCGGAAAGTCTCCTCCAAGCTAAACCAGTCCTCCAGCAAGCCTGACCTGAAACAGATACGATAGCTGCCAAATAATGTTAGTTGAACCATTTGAGAAATGGGGAATTATTTTTTAATTGCTCCCAGCAATTCATTCTATAGGGACATGATGGTTGAACTCCGAAGTCTGAGGGAGGGAAATAAACGAAGGCTGCACGGAGAATGGCAAGTTGGTGCCACACGTATGGCAGAGGCCCTGAAGGACAGAGGAGCTCCCTTCACAAGCCGCACAGTTCCTGTGAATGACTGAGAACAGAGACAGATGGGCCGAATCATGCTTGTGTGGACCATGTTAAGAATGTCCTGTGAGCATTGAAGAGCCATTAAAAAAATTAAGATGGGTCGGGGTGGGATAGGGATTTGCATCTGTCACATCAGATTTGCATTTTAAAAGATCACTGGCTACAATTTATACAGTGATTGGAGGGGGCCAGAATGGTCCATGTGAAAAATGATAACTTGGGCTGGGGTGATGGTGGGGAGGAGCAAAGTAGCCTCATTTGTAGAACTGGTTAGGATGTTTAAATTGGTCACATAGCTTTAAATTGTAATTAGGAAAGAAGAGGTGTGACTTTCCTTAGTGAGATTTGGTGAGTGAGACTAGTCGTCCTGGGTTGGTGTCCACATAGAAGAAAACATGACTTACCTCTTGGTTCATCTGGAAGATGGCCCGTGAGGAATAACCATGATTTGAAGTGAGGAAAGGAATGAAAAATGTGACGTTATCACAAAAGGAAGAAACTAGTCTTGGTGGATTTCTGCATAGCTTGAAACTCTCGCCCTGACCAGTTATCTCAGTGGTTAGAGCGTCAGCCCATGGACCAATGAATTTTGAGTTCAATTCGGTCAAGGGCACATACCTCGGTTGTGGTTTGGTTCCCGGCCCTGGTCAGGGTTGTGTGGGAGGCAACCAGTCGATGTGTCCCTCTCACATCAATGCTTCTCTCTCTTTCTCTCCCTTCCTCCCACTCTATCTCAAGGTAAACAAAAATATCCTTGGGTGAGGATTAAAAAACAAAACTGCCTTTTATACAATTCAAAATAATTCCAAGATAAAAATTTTAATGGGACAGGCTTTTAACACAATAATAAAGTTTCTATTATTTAATAGTTTAATTTTTTATCTAAAGAAATAATCCTTTGTTCATAAAGGAAATGACTTGAGCTTTCTTTTAGCTCTTTGGGTGGTTCTATCCATATCTCTAAAGAATATACAGTTATAATTTATCCTAGACCTTATATATTGAATTATATTAATGACCAATTGACTTTTTTATGATAGATAGGACTTGGCTCTCATACTGTTCTCCTTTCCTTCCAATATGAAGATAACAATTAACAAGCATTTATGTATATGAAACTATGTAAATATTGTTCAGTCAGAGCCAACATTTAATGTACTATGAATACATTTCCTTTCTTATACACTCTTGTTTTTCCTTTAGTGAAATTGCTTTGCTTTTTCTAAATTTATTTTTTATTGTTGAAAGTTTTGCTCCCTTTTTCCTCATTGACCCCTCTTCCCCTCTCCCACTCTCCTCCTGCTTTTTCCAAACTAACATCTGTGTCCATTGGTTGTGCATATATGCATATAAGTTCTTCACTCACATAACTTCCACACAGAGAAATCCTTAATTCTTTTCGAGTATTCTTTCCATATCATTCATTTGTTTGAGGTCCCCCCCCCCCAACCTCCTCCCCCTTTCCTCCATCAAGAAACTGCTTCCTGGAGCTGTTCTTACTTTTGCACCAGTCTGGACTTATTTTCCAGGACTGCCGCAGAGGTGCTGAAGCAGACCTTTCTTATCGCTCTTCTGGTTGGACTCAGAACCTGAGACAGTCTGGAACCCGCGCCTTCATCCTTTTTGCTTAAAAATGTCTTGCAGTAGCTTCCTGAGAATGGACACATGGGAACAAACCTTTGGAATTATATGTCTTTGTTCTCACCTAATTGATCAACAGCTGGGTCTAGAATTCTAAGCTGAATATTTCCCTTTGAGAGCATTTTCACTAAAACGTGGCTTATGCTTTTGCTGTTAAGAGGGCTGCCACTGTCCCGATTATTGTTCCTTTGTCTGTGGCCTGTGTTTCACCTCCATAGAAACGTTTTTGGATGTTTTCTGGATTTCTTTTATTTTAAAATTTCACTACGATGTCCCTTAATGGCTCTCTTTGTTAAACTTATTTTTCAGGACTCGTTATGAACATTTAATCTTTTAATCTGTGTCCTTAGCTATGAAGAATTTCTTTGGTAATTTCTTCCTCTTTAGTTTCTTTATTCTCTGTAATTTTCTGTTAGTCAGATAGTATCCTTTCTAGACTGATCTGTTATATTTTTTTGTTCTTTTGTTTGTTTGGTCTTTTGGCTCTGTCTTTGAGGTTTTTCAACTTTATCTTCTAACTCTTCTCATATTTTTATTTCAGCTATATTTTACTTTCAAAGAGTTTCTTCCTGTTCTCTGATGCTCTTCTCATATAGTAACTTGGTCTTGTTTTATGAATGCAACATCTCACATCTATCTGTCAGATTAAACGTAGAATTTTCACTTGCCGTTGGAGGCCGGAGCCCTTGAGTCATAGCCAGTGCGTCATGTGTTGAGGCTGAAGGAGGCTGTCAGTCACATTCCTCACTCTTCTGAGTTCTAACTAGAATTATAAACTAGAGTCAGGCAAATGGAGATCAATTGAACAGCTTTATTGTCAGTAGAGCCTGAGTAAGGAACATAGTGTAGCCTGGATCTGCAACTGCAATCAAGCTTGCTGTCATCCATCCCAAATCTAGCCTTCGAGACCCATCTGCTGCGTGGGGCCGCCTGCCAGGCAAATGATCTGCTCAGCCCCCTGAGAGAAACTGCCCCTCATCAGGCGCCGGCAGCACGGACGGACAATGAAGTCACTCGTACACTTGGATTTTAATACGTGTATTGCACTCATTTTTAAAAATGGGAATTCATTGGTGTTGAATGTGCTCTTACAACTCACCTGAACTATAAATCCTCTCAAACACAAAGAACTTCCAGGGAATGTGAGGATAGTGTTTCTTCTGTCATTGAGCGTTCCCGTTTGTTTTAGTTATAAAATGCCATTTCCTCTATTTTCTGCTTGACCTGTTTTCTCTATTATTTTGCCCATTTAATTTGGATTTTCTCCAAATGTCAGGTGATGCCTGGCTGTCCATTCAGAGCAAGGTGCTAAAAATGTATTGAAGCTCTGAGTGTACATAGTTGGATTTCATCTGGTGGGCTCCAGTCTAGGGCAAAGATCAAATCTGTTTTCTGGAAAGGGCCAGAAAATAAGTATTTTAGGCTTTGCAGCTTATCGGGTCTATGTAGCAACTATGCAATTAGATAGTATGTAAATGGATTGGCAGATTGTGTTTCACTGAAACTCTGGAGAGAGGACCAGAGTTGCTGACTCTGCGCTGAGGCTGGGAAGCTGGAGTCCTGCCTGCGACGTTGCAGCTGCGAGGCCTTCGCACGGGCGCAGAGACGAAGAGCCGGCGTTCTGGGTAGGAAACGTCACCTCACCATGTCCCTCTGGGCCTGCTTAGCTCTGAGTCTCGTTTACCATTCTTCACTGTTCTCCTTCTTCTTTTTTTTTATCCTCACCCGAGGACATTTTTCCATTTTTTTGTACAGATAGAGTGGGAGGGAGAGAGAGAAAGATTGACGTGAAAAGGACACATTGAGTGGCTGCCACCCGTACAACCCAACCAGGGCCGGGGACAAACTGCAACCGAGGTACATGCCCTTAGCCGGAACCGAACCCGGGTCTCTCCGGACCGCAGGCCGACGCTCTAACCACTGAGCCAAACCGGCCAGGGCTATTCTTCACTGTTCTCTTTTGCACAAATTATATTATAGCTTCCTCACTCTCGTATGCTTCTTGCTACGTCTCTCAGCCAATAATATCTCCTCTCCCATTCTTTTTATTTCTGTTGAATCACACATTCAAAAATTCCTTTAGTTAGAAAAAGAATGCCTTTATTATCCTTTCACTTGGGTCTTGAGAGAGAGAAGGAATAGTTTATCAATACACTATCTGGGAACCATTTTCAAACTTTTGATTTTTTTTTTTTTTTTTGATAGAGCAAGAGGGAGAGAGGGAGGAAGAGAGAGAGAAACATCGATGTGAGAGAGACATATCGAGTAGCTGCCACCCACACGACCCCAACCAGGGCCAGGGACAAACTGCAACCGAGGTACATGCCCTTAGCGGGAACTGAACCCAGAACACTCTGGTCCACGGGCCGACACTCTAACCGCTGAGCCAAACCGGCCAGGGTTCAAACTCTTAATACTGAGGTACTTTTAATTAGTTTGTTTTTAATATATTTTAAATACTTTTTTTTTAATTAGTGTCATTGTTTTTGAAATCCTATATAAAGTTTTTTTCTTCCACTAGGCAACTCCCACCACAGAAGTTGGCCCCAGGCTCTCACACACATATACAGGCTGGGACATTCATTCCCAACTTACAAACCAGCCTTGGCTAATGGGACATTTTTCCTCTCGGTGTTTTCTAGAGTTAATAAATTTATGCAAATAAAAGCATTCGTTTCCCTCAAAATCTCTTTGAGGGCACAGGGCCACTGTCCAGGTGTGGGACACACACAAATCGCCAGCGCGTGCACCGCTGGCAGGAAAGTGGAGTCCGGAGGGCCACCGAGGTGACTTCTGCACAGCTGTCAAGTGTGCGTTCCTCTCCTGTTTCCTCAGCAGGTCTGATTCCTCGCGGAGGGGCTCAGCAGGACACAGAGCATGTGCGTGATCATTTGAATTGTTGAAAATAGAAAATCGTATGTGCTATAATGGTGTGTCACGAGTACATCGAGCATTTACTGAGTATGTGCTACAGGCTAGAAACCTGTGGGTGCTGAAGTGAAGATGGTGAGTCTGAAGTCAGTGTTGTGAACCCAGGTTGACAGAGAAAATGTCTTGGCTGAAACTGCGTTGGATTCCTTAGCCAACAGATTCCAAACTCACCCAGAATAAGAGGAGGGCGCGCAGACATGACTTTGCTTTGGTGACAAACTAGACTAAATGTGGTATGTTTTCTAATGGAAATGTGAACAACGTAAGGTGGTTTTGAGAAATTGGTGAATCCTTTAAATAATTGGAGGTATTTCTGAGCAGGGGCTGTACTTAAAATTTATATATGGAAACTGCTTCTTTTAATCCATGTATGGAGGGCATGAAATCTAGACTCTTCCTTATAAGTAGAGTGGTCTGGAGCCCACTCATTCAGTGCTTCCTCTGTGTTCAGACACACTAGGTAAAATCGTCGTGTTGCAGTTTTTGGAGACTATGAGAACATATTCACGCTAGAGGCAGTCTGCCTGGGATTTTCAGTCCTCTGCTGATTTCTCTGCCCTCCTTCATTCCTTATTTTCAGGTTTGTTGTATGGATGTAAAATTCACTGAGACTACGAGAAGACTTCTGCTTCAAGCCATGACAGTAACTGATACTGACTTTCCTGCCTGCCTTAACCATGAAAGTGCACAAAATATATGTGAGGCAACCGCTTTTAGACACTGGACAACATGCAACAAGATGGTGGTCCCCAAGAGAAGGAAAACTCATGAGGTGAGTCTCATGAATGCCCAGCTCTCTGCTTAAGGATTTTGTCCTGACTCTAAAATAATGAGCTTGAGTCACGTAGACCACCGTGGTGGTCTGAGGAGGCAGAGGTCAGAGTTGAGGGTAGTAACTGGCTGAAATCTGTAGAGTAGAGCAAATAGAAAAGAAAGCTGTACAGTAAGGACCCCCAGATGCCTGTGTGTGGGTTCCCGGTAAGTCCCTGGAAAAGAACTGAGCTGCTTTTGTATTCGGTGCAAGAATACATGAGGCTTACTAGAAGCAGTTACTCCAAGGCTGAGAGAACAGGTATTAGAGGCTGAGTGTGCTGGGGAATGTTGGGGGTCCAGCCCAGCTAGAGTAGTGGAGAGATCTTGTAGACACCTCATTAACACTCCAGGCATCCAGGTCCAACACCAGAAGGATGATCTTAGAAGTAAAGACCTTGCCTGAGTAAGAGAGACAAAAAAAACACCCTTCAAAGTGAAGGTGAAATCATGATCCCATTTGGTCAGTGAAACCTCTGAGAGAATTGATTGCCGGATCTGCCCTGTACGAAATGCCAGCGATCTTCAGGCTAAAGGGAAATCCTAGACAGAAATTTGGGTCTACAAGAAAAAAACGTAAAAGCACTAGGAATGCTAATATCTTTACGAGACAACAGAATATTAAATCAGGAGCGGCAAGTAAAAGAAAGTAACTAGTGTGAAACCAGCTTAGTTGTGAAGTGGTGAGAGTGAACTGTGATCACAGTGGAAGACGGGAGAATGTTGGAGTCTGGTAAGTCAAGGGTTCCTATTGCTAGCCCTGAAGCAGCAGTTCTCAAACTTTTTGTTCTCTTTATACTCATAAAATCATTGAGGACCCTGAAGAGCTTCTGTTTATACGGGTATGTCTGTGAATATTTATCATGTTAGAAATGAAAACTGAGAAAAATGTTTAAATATGTATTTTAAATTACAGTGACTCTTTTTATGTTAACATGTAACATGTTGATAAAAATATCTATTTTCCAAAAAAATTAGAGAAAAGAGCAGCATCATTTTATAGATTTGCAAATCTCTTTTCATGTTTGAGAAGACACCTTAATTCTCATACCAGCTTCTGCATCAACCTGTTGCATATGTTGTTTTGAAAACACATTGTCATTATATAGGTATGTAGCTGGAAAAGGAGTATTTAATAGCATTTTCAGATAATAATATTATCTGATACTATACCAAAAATTGACAAGTGGGTGAAGGTTTTGATAACTGCCCATCTGTACTTGCTAAGCCCTCCACCTTCTTCACCCAGTCCCTCAACCTCCCTCCCACCTGGCAACCATCAGTTTGTTCTCTGTATCTATGAGTTTGTTTTGTTGTTTAGATTCCATATATAAGTGGAATTATATGATATTTATCTTTCTCTGACTGACTGATTTCACCTAGCATAATACCCTCTAGGTCAGTGGTTCTCAACCTTCCTAATGCCATGACCCTTTAATACAGGTCCTCGTGTTGTGTGTGGGCGTATCTGCACGTGGGCGGGCCTGCCTGGAGATGGATGGAGGAGCGGTGTCACGGTTCTTAAGACCATCGGAAATAATGTGTTTTACGGTGGTCTTAGGAGACCCCTGTGAAAGGGTCGTTCGACTCCCAAAGGGGTCGCGACCCACAAGTTGAGAACCGCTGCTCTAGGTCCATCCAGGTTGTTGCAAATGATAAGCTTTCATTCTTTTTATTCCATTGTGTATATGTATGACATCTTTTTTATTTAAAAAAATGTTTTTATTTCAGAGAGAAGAAGGGAGAGGGGGAGAGAGATAGAAACATTGCTGAGAAAGAAACAATTGGCTGCCTCCTACTAGGGATTGAGCCCAGACTGGGAATCAGGCGACTTCCTGGTGCACACAGCTACTGTCAACCAACTGGGCAGGTACCACCTCTTCTTTATCCAGTTGTCTATTCATGGACACTTACCGTGCTGCCATATCTTGGCTATTTTAAATAATGCTGTAATGAACATAGGGATGCATGTATTTTTTTGAATCAGTGTTTTGGATTTCTTCAGATAAATACCCAGAAGTGGGATTGCTGGGTCATATAATAATTCTATTTTTAATTTTTTTAGGGATCTCCATACTGTTTTCCATTAGTGGCTGCAACCAAATTGCAATTCCACCAGCAGTGCACAAGGGTTCCCTTTTCTCCACATCCTTTCCAGCACTTGTTTCTGATTTATTGATGGTAGCCATTATGACAAGAGTGAGGTAATAGCTCATGGAGGTTTTAATTTGCATTTCTCTGATGATTAGTGATGTTGAGCATTTTTGCATATATCTATTGGACATCTGTATGTCCTCTTTGGAGAAGTGTCTATTCAGGTCCTTTGCCCATATATATTTTTTTATCCTCACCGGAGGACATTTTTCCATTTTTTTGTTCAGATAGAGTGGGAGGGAGAGAGAGAAACATCGACATGAAAGAGTTGTGCTGTCACCCGCATGACCCAAACAGGGCCGGGAACAAACTGCAACCGAGGTACGTGCCCTTAGCAGGAAACAACCCAGGTCTCTCTGGACCACAGGCTGACGCTCTAAGCGCTGAGCCAAACTGGCCAGGGCCCTCTGTCCATTTTTAATTGAATTGTTTGGGGGCATTTTTTGGTGTTGAGTTGTATGAGTTATTTATACATTTTGGCTATTAACCCCTTATCAGGTATATCATTGACGAATATGTTCTCTGATTCAGTAGGTTGTCTTTTGTTGTTGGTTTCCTTTGCTCTGCAAAAATGTTTTATTTTATTTATTTATTTATATTATTTTATTTTTGTTACAGATGTTTCTCCTTTTTTTCCCCATTGACACCTTCCTCTCCATCACCCTCACCCCGTCCCCAGCTTTGTTGTCCGTGTCCATTGGTTATGCGTACATGCATATAAGTTCTGTGGTTTATCTCTTCCCTCCCCCCACCACCGCCTCTTCTGGGGATTGTCAGTCTGTACCCCACTTCCACGTCTCTGGTTCTACCCTATTCCTCAGACTGTTATGTTCATTATATTCCACAAATAAATGAGATCATGTGGTATTTGTCTTTTTCTGCTTGGCTTGTTTCACTTAGGGTTAATAGCCAAAATTTATTCACTTTCCAGGTCCCTCCATGTCGTCTCAAAGGATAAGAGATCTTTCTTTCTTAGAGCTACATAGTACTCCATTGTGTATATGTACCACAACTTTTTTTTATCTATTCCTCTACTGATAGACAGTTGAGCTGTTTCCAGATCTTAGCTATTGTAAATAGTGCTGCTATGAACATGGGGGTACATAATTCTTTCTGATTGGTGTTTAAGGCTTCTTAGGGTATATTCCTAGAAGTGGGATCGCTGGGTCAAATGGCAATTAATTTTTTGAGGTAATACCATATTGTTTTCCATAGTGGCTGCACCAGTCTGCATTCCTACCAGCAGTGTACTAGAGTCCCCTTTTCTCCACACCCTCGCCAACACTTGTTGTTTGATGATTTGTTGATGGCGGCCATTCTTTTTTTTTTTTTTTTAATCCTCACCCGAGGACATTTTCCCATTTTTTTGTTCAGGTAGAGTGGGAGGGAGAGAGAGGCACAGAGAGAGAGAGAGAAACATCGACGTGAAAGGAACACATCGAGTGGCTGCCACCCGCACGACCGACCAGGGCCGGGGACAAACTGCAACCGAGTTACGCGCCCTTAGTGGGAACCGAACCCGGGTCTCTCAGGACCGCAGGTCGATGCTCTAACCACTGAGCCAAACCGGCCAGGGCGATGGCAGCCATTCTGACAGGTGTGAGGTGATACCTCATTGTTGTTTTAATTTGCGTCTCTCTAATGATTAGTGATGTTGAGCATTTCTTCATATGTCTCTTGGCCATTTGTATGTCCTGTTTGGAGAAGTGTCTGTTTAGCTCCTCTGCCCATTTTTTAACTGGGTTTTTTGTCTTCCTTTTGTTGAGTTGTATGAGCACTCTATATATTTTGGAAATTAACCCCTTATCTGATGTATTGTTGGCAATGATGCTCTCCCATATGGTGGGTTGCCTTTCCATTTTGATGGTTGTTTCTTTTGCTGTGCAGAAGCTTTTTAGTTTGATGTAGTCCCATGTGTTCATTTTCTCCTTTGTTTCTGTTGCCTTAGGTGATGTATCAGTGAAAATTCTGCTGTATATGATGTCTGAAATTTTGATGCCTACATTTTCTTCTAGGATTTTTATGGATTCATGGGTCACATTTAAGTCTTTTATCCATTTTGAGTTTATTTTTGTGTATGGTGTAAGTTGATAGTCTAGTTTCATTATTTTGCAAGTAGCTGTCCAATTTTCCCAACACTATTTATTAAGAAGCTGTCTTTACTGCATTGTATGCTCTTGCCTCCTTTGTCAAATATTGAGCATAATGTCTTGGGTCTGTTTCTGAGTTCTCTGTTCTGTTCCACTGGTCTATATGCCTGTTCTTGTACCAGTAGCAGGCTGTTTTGATTACAGTAGCTTTGTAGTATAACCTGATATCTGGTATTGTGATCCCACCTACTTTGTCCTTTTTCAAGATTGCTGTGGCTATTCGGGGTCTTTTTTGTTCCATATGAACTTTTGAAGTATTTGTTCTACTTCTGTGAAATGTGTTGGTATTTTGATGGGGATTGCATTGAATCTATAGATTGCTTTGGGTATTATGGACATTTTAATGATGTTAATTCTTCCAATCCATCCATAATTATCTTCATCTTTAAAAAATCTTTATTGATTTGAGGGGGGTGGGGATAGAGAAATGTCAATTTGTTGTTCTACTTATTTATGCATTCATTGGTTGCTTCTTGCATGTGCCCTGACTGGTTCATGTGCCATGAACCCACAACCTTGGTGAGTGGGGATGAAGTTCTAACCAACTGAGCTACCCGGCCAGGGCCTCCATCATGATTTTCTTAAATAGGTTTTTAATTCCTTGCTCTTTCTCATCTCCTTCTGGCACCTCCATGATGCAAATGTTAGTACGTTTGAAGTTGTCCTACAGGCTCCTTAAACTATCCTCATTTGGGGGAGATATTTTTTCTTTTTGATGTTCTAATTGGGTGTTTTCTGCTTCCTTATCTTCCAAATTACTGATTTTATCCTCTGCTTCATCAAATCTGTTGTTGATTCCCTTTAATGTATTCATTTATTTTTCATTTCTGACTAGTTCTTTTTTACATTTTCTATTTCTATTTTTATGTTTCCCATCCCTTTGTTGAAGTTCTGAGTTCATCTGTTCTTCTCCTAACTTCATGGAGCATCTTTATAATCAATGATTTGAACTGCATCTAATAGACTGCTTGTCTCCATTTTTTTTTAGTTCTTTTTCTGGGGTTTTGTCCTGTTCTTTCATTTTGGGACATGTTCCTTTGTCTCTTCATTTTGGGTGACTCCGTTTGTTTCTGTTTTAGGTAGATCTGCTGTACCTCCTTGTCTTGTCAGAGTGGCCTCATGTGGCAGGTGTTCTATGGGGCCCAGTGGCACAGTCTACCTGGTCACCCAAGCTGGGCACCTCTGGTGCACCCCCCACCGCTGTGTAGGTTGTGTACCCTCATGTTGTGGTTGAGCCTTGATTGCTGTTGGCACATCAGTGAGTGGGACTGCCCTTAGGTTGACTGGCTGTGACGGTTGGCCAGGACCACATTGATGAGCTGCTGTGCAAGGGCTGACCCAATGGAGCTGGAGTTGCTTTACTGGGGCTCTGGTGCCAGCCAAGTCTGCTTTCTGGATGTGTGGGTTTGTGGAGTTGGCTGGGTTGGCTCTGGTGTAGTCTGAAGCTGGCTACTCGGTATGTTGGTTCTGAAGCATCTTCAGAGGGGCTCCAATATAGATCAAGGTCAGCCATCATTTGTGCCCAGCTTGGTGCTACAAAGTGACCTGAGGTTGGTTGCTGCTTTGTGCTGTGCTTACAGGTGCTGGAGAGACACTATTTGGTGAACAAGGATGGCTGCCACTAATATCGGGCTTGGGACCCTTTGGTGGGCACCACTTGTGAGCTGAGCCTACCTATCATTTGTGGCCACCTAGCTGAGGCTATGTTCCAAGCCAAGACTGGCCACTGCTTATGCCAGGTGTGTGGCTACTTGATGGGACTTAAAATGTAAGTTGAAACTGGTCACCGCTCATGTCAGACTTGGAGTAGCTTGGCAAGAGATACGTGGCCCACCAAGGCCAGCTGCTGCTGGCGTTAGTGTTAGCCAGGTTATTGGAGAGCTCAGACTTGGCGCCTGCCTGCACTGGGATGGCTGTGGGGAGGGTTCAACAAAGAAACAATGGTGCCTGCCACCACTTCCATCCCTAGAGGAAGCTGTCCCACCACCTTTCCCCAGCCCTGGCCCTGAAGTTAGTCAACTGGGTTCCTCCCTTTGCCACTTTCTGAGCTGCTGCCTCTGCACTGGAGCCTAGAGCAAGTGAGTTTGTGCACGAGCGAGTCTGGATGTGGGCCCTTTAAGACCTGCAGTGCCTAGGTCCCCAGTGGCCTTCCTTCTCACCTAGACGTAACCTCACTGCTTTCCACAGCCAGATACTAGACTCCCCTCCCGGTATGAGAACCCAGGGCTGGGGAGCAATGTGTGGTTGGGACACCCCTGGAGCTCAGGGGGTCCTCTGCAGCCGAGATCTCTCTCCCCCCTCCCAGCAGCCTCAGTGTGGCTGCTGCTTTATATCCTTAGTTATGGGCTTCTGTCCAGCTAGTCTTTAGGTGGTTCTCAATGATGGCTGATTTACCATTCGGGTGTAATTTTGATAGGGTTGTAGGAGGTGGGGCGTGTTGACCTACTCTGCCATCACGGTTTTTACCAAGTTAATGATCATGACCCGTCAGGAGTGATTTTCCCTTCTTTCCTGCCAACGCACCCAGCCCTGTGTCTTCCTCAAGGTTTTCCAGGCCACCGGGCAGATCTGCAGGAGAGTTTGTGTAGAAGTTCGAGCGGGGGCAGGTGGTTCCTCTTCACGCCTGGGCCAAACCCTGAGCAGGTACATTTTAGGATCTGTTCATAATTTATTCCGAGTGTCTCAGGATTGTGATTGTCTCCTCCTTTTTCCTATCAGGTCTACTCATACAAAGTTTGTTTTCTCAAACTTGGGGGGTAGTAAATGAGGACACAAGATTTTTATTGAAAGGAACTTAAATTATGCGAACTTGGCTTGAAAAGTATGTTTTATTTTTTCATCATTTAAAAAATCATGCCTAAAGATAAGTCAAATGCAAAAATATATAATGCATCTACAGTTAAAGAACCCTTTCCCATGAAGGCAAAGTTATTGAGAAATGTTTATTTTCCCTCCTGAAATGGCTTGTCCAGGTGGTGAACTCACTCATTAAACCCACCCATCTCAGGATTACGTCGTTGAGGTGCCGGCCCTAAAAACAGAATGATGTTTAGGCCTCACAGATCCAGGGCCCAGTGGACAGACAGGCTGTTGTCTTCCACGCCGGCGACCATGTCTTCGATGGCCTTCCAGTCGAGCTTGCTGAGGGTGCTGCCAGTGCTCCCAGACACACTGTCCGTGCCCCCCCGCCCGGCTCGGCGCTCTGGCTCCGCTCCAGGTGGTGGCAAGTCCTGTCAAATTGAGAAAGAGAGTACGTGGTAGGCCTAGACTGAGAAAAACAAACGGAACGTGAACCAAAGATTCTAGAGTTGTTCATCCACTAAATGGTGAGGGAATGTGGAGGGAACCAGGGCTGGGGTTGCCCAGCGTGTCTGGATTGGCAGTGAGCTGAACGGACAAGGCTGGGTGTTTCTACCTGTAGTACAAGGATCTGTTCTGACATGTCTGTGGTTTTTTAGTTAAAACTACAAAGTCAAGGAAAATTCTGAAAGATAAATTCCTTTGAATCACTGCATCAAACTGACCTAACAATCTTTCTGTATCTCTACATCCTACAGAAAAACAAAAAATAAACTCGTACCTCCCCCCACGCACCCCAAAAAACACCACAAAATCCGAACAGCAGAGAGGGACCCCAGGGCAAACCGAACCCTGCGGCGACGCTCACCTGCAGAAGGGGGCTCTGACATCTGTGCAGAATCGTGCGGATGTCGGAGGGCACCAGCCAGGGGCTCACCACAGTCTCCTCTCTCTCGTGCTCTGCACACGCCTGCTTGCTCTGGGGTGCACGCCCAGCACGCCCGTGCTCTGTGTGCTGCAGACGCCGCCGCGGGGCAGTAGGGCCTTTTGAGGGGAGGAGGAGAGCATGCATTGGGACTGAGTCACTGACTGTGACTTTCAGCCTCAAATCCACGGCAGTCACACTTCCCCTCATGTCTGGATCACGGTCTGGGTCTAGGCTGCTTCAGCGTTCTGACAGTCCTGTCCTGCCAGTGTGAGAGAAGGGGACGGAGTTCGGACACCTCTTCTGATTTGAAAAGTGAGGGCGCCCCCTAGGACGAGAGTGCAGGGGCAGAGGCCACAGACGGAAGCAGAGAAGTCCCAGCTTCAGAGCGGGGCGAACTGGAACAGCGGGCGTCCCTTGCTCCTGGGGAGGCTTGTGGAGCTTCCAGGGGTGCTGCGGGGCCGTCTGCACTCGGGCTTCCTGCCCGCTCGGCCTGGCACAGGTGCCAGGGTAAGTGCAGTGCCCGCACAGCAGGCCCCTCCTCCCGGGCAGCGGTGCTTGTAGGAACGTACCTTCCCCAGCCAGGGCCAGAGGTCGCTTCACAACCCCTCGGACCCAGGGCTCCTCCGCGCCAGCCCCCGCTGAGCGTGGCCCGCTCACACTTATGTTCCAGCCAGTTACAGCCCCTTGCCGAGGGGACCTGAAGGGACACCCAAGACACGGGGCATGCGGCTGCCTGAGGAGGGGACAGGGTGGGGACATTTTACCAGCCTCATACACGTGAAGGTAAGGATACCTCCAAGAAATAAGACCCCCCAGAACAGTAACAGCAGCACACATCGGGGTTTACTATGGGCTGTGCTTTACCTACATTCAGTTCCAAGTGTCCCAGGGCCTGTCTGCCAGGGTTGTATAGACAGCTAACGGAAGAAAGAATGTGAAAGGACTTTTTAAACTGTGAAGAGTAACATGGGACGTGGGGTGGGCTAGAGGGAGACATTAAGACCACTCGGTGTAATCTCTCTCTCTCTCGGGGATCCCAGCTAACATGAGCAAGTGTCCAAAGGTGGCGCAAAACAGGCCTGAAGGACCAAATCGACAGGTCTGCGCCCACGGCTATGTGAGCAGGGCACCTCCTGTGATGCCCAGCACTGCGGTGAGCCCGTGACGCGCATTCACTGGGGTAGTTTCTTCAGGGGAGAAAACGGTGCTTGCTCAAGTGGGCTGGGGCGTGCCCGGGCTCCAGTATGTGGCGACCTCGTGTTCCAGGCTCTCCACGGCTGCTCCTCTAACCGCAAAGTCCACTCTCATTCTCAAATCTGTATTTGAAATTTCTGAGAGTGATATGTGTTTTTTGAAGATTTAGCATTAAATTCAAGAACTTCCTATTCCTGACTGACCCCTACCATTCTGGAAGGAGAGTGCACGGCCCTTCCCGCGGCCACTCTGGCTCCTCCAGCTTTTTTTCTGGGTGGAAATGGCATTTCCTGCGAAGACCAGCAAACGCCTTCAGCGTTCTGTGTGCACACGATGGTCCATATATACTGAGACCTGGAAGGCAGGGACCTTCTGAGAGGTAGATGATGTGAACCAAGAAAGCAAAAGAAAAGCTCAGATGAGGAAGGAAAACTCTACTTTGAGACTCAGCATCCTGATAGCACAACCTGGTCCTTTTCCAGATGGCTTATGTCCTATGAAAACATCTCTGGCAACTGGAGAAGTCAAGCACATAAGTCTATTAGCTGTGAACGCCCAGACAAAATGCCAGGTTAACTTTATCAAGAAAATGATTAACTATGTTTTCTTAAATTATAGAATTAATAGCAACCGTTTCATGTTTGTAATGCACAATATTTACTTATAATCCTCAGTAACTCGATGAGGTAGGTTTTAAAGGAACGTGTCTGAGGGCACAAGGTGAGCGACAGAGCTGGGACAGAGGCCGAGATGATCCCAAAGCTAGAACTTTTCTATGCCTCGGACACTTCTTGGTTACTTATTATGTAGCCTTTATACTGTTTCTGATAGAACTAAATACAAAATAAACAAAACTGACTTCAAAGTATAATAGTTTATAAGCAGGGCTGAAGAAATTAGCAAGAAAACTGCATACAGTTGGACAAGATAGATATCAACATAGTGTCAGAGTCACAAGTATCTTCAGAAAAAGCTCTTCTGCAGATGAACTGTAGAGACTTTTAAAATCCTGATGGACCCTTACTTCCCCATCCGCAATGACCGCACTTGCCCATCCATGTGGGCTCAGGTTTCCTGCATCACTGACTAGGGAAGGACCTTGGTTTCTCTCCCATGTCTCCACAATACTGGGGACCTAACCCTCTGAATATAGCCAGGGGACATGACTGGGTTCTGGGTGTGGTCAAGGCCACCTCTAGCACTTCTAGATAGTGTGTTCACAAGGCCCTTGTGACGAGATGAAGCGTGGGACACACGCTTACACGTAACTACAGCATAAGACCTGCAGTAGCACCTCAAGAGGAACACAATGCGTGACCGAGGGTTCCGAGGACAAAAGAGAAACTGCTTCAGGTATCACTGCTGCCATTTCTCTCTTCATATTCACAGCCACCAGGCAAGCTAAGCATCAGCCCCAATTTAAAAATGAAAATATGGATGTTAAAATTCATTATATCAGGGTTGGAGAAACTAAAGAATTAAGATTAGGGATGTATTGCAAGACAGTGGCGAGGCATTTGAGGTATAAGGGAGAATCTCAAGGAAGGAATGGGAGCAAGAAGCACAGCATGTGGCTGGAAAACAAGCCTACTTGCAAGTTGTATGGGGACAGGAAGGCGGAGGGCAGGACACCTGGAAGCCAGGGAGAGGGTCTGGACTCATCTGCTCGCAGGGGCCCGAGGAGGGGCGAGGCCTCAACCCAGTGCAGGGCATGATCCAACAGAAAGACATTTCCATATAATCCCAGATTTTCCCATCTGATACTAAGACATCCTTGTCAATTTTTAATATTTCAAATTTTTGGAATATGCATCAGGTGTAAAATAAAATTTTAAAAGCATGGTTACTATTTTAAATTTTCAGTTTAAAAACAGCAGTATTTTCTTATTGTAATTTGTCAATCAAAACCAAGAGTAACCAAACTATGAAGTTTTATCAAAAGGATTAGCATCTATGGAAATTTCCATTTCTACACTGAGGCAGCATACTGAATTGTAGGTTCTCACTGTGTAGGCACTAGACCCAGACTGCATTTAAAGTTTGGTTCTGCAACTTCCTACCTGTCTGATCTTAAGCAGTTTTATTTCAGCTTTCTCTGCCTTGGTTTTCTCATCTTTAAAATGGGAACATAATACCTATCTAATGAGCTGTAATTAAAAGCTTAATCAGAACCTGGCACATTATAGTTATTATTATACATTTTTAGCTGTATACATTTATACTACGTTAGCCATGATTCTACATTTTATGTGTAATTGTTTTACAAATAAGTAGGTTTTACTTTAATAATCAAAACTCAACTATGGCAAAATTAACTGAAGGAAGGCTAGCAATAAATAACAGATGTTGTATCTTTAAACGTGGAAAAGGATGTTCAAAGGATAAAAACATGCTATTATTTCAATCTGACCTCTTAGTCCTCTTCTGTTTTACATCCATACTGAAATCTACCAGAACTTTATTTTGTCAATTACAGTTGACATTCAATATTATTATTATTATTTCTTTATTGGTATTAGAGAGAAAGAGGGAGAGATAGAAACATCGATGAGACAGAACATCGGTTGGCCGCCTCCTACATGCCCCCCACACCTGGGTTGATGCTCAACCACTAAGCCACACCGGCTGGGTGACATTCAATATTATTTGATATTAGTTTCAGGTGTACAAGATAGTGGTTAGATATTTATATAATTTACGAGGTGATTCCCCCCAGTAGGTCTAGTACCCACTGGCACCATACAAAGTTATTACACATTATTGACTATATTCCCTATGCTGTACTTTACATCCCTGCAGAACTTGATTTGGAAATATCAATTTCTTTAGCCAAACCCACAAAAGAAACAGATTCCCAAATAAGTCATATCTAATTTACTGACTGTTCAAATTTTATTACAAAAAGGCCATTTGCTTAAAAATATTCCTAGGGTCCTTTTATTTCAAAGCATAGAAGAAAATCCCAGTCCAGCTAAGTCTTTATCCATCAATGTCTTGCATTCTGCTGAAAAGAATCGCTTCTCACCAAGATTTATATCATTTGCTCATGAAAATACAACTTTGGAGACAAGGAGGAATAGGTCCAAATTACACAAGATAAAAAAGCTTTAAGTCTTACCATGTGGCCAAGGTGAGCCTTGAAGTTGTCCAAAAGGTTTTCCTTTTGGGATATAACTTGGTTTGGATGTATATCTGACTTTTCCAGGTCGATTTATTGGGAAGTTGTGACCGTGTCGAGTCTCTCTAAAGTAGAAATTACATCATTATTATATTCCTAGAATCTCATATCAGTGATAAAACTGTATTTCAAAAAGCCCAAATTCGATCTCAGATGAATACACTCACTTATTCTCTACCTCAGTGACACAATTAGTGTGTAATAACTCTCAACATATTATTCTTCATACCTCAAACTTCATTTGTATTTTGCAAAGAGATCAATTTTGTTCTCTGTCTCTATCCATTTCAAATCATCTATATATTGTCCTGGTCAGTGTTGTTCAGTTGGTTGGAGCACCATCTCATTCACCAAAGGGTGGTGGGTTTGCTTCCCAGTCAGGGCACACACCCAGGTTTTAAGTTCAGTCCCCAGTAGGGCGTGTGCGGGAGGCAACGAATCGATGTTTCTCTCTCACATTGATGTTTCTCTCTCTCCCACTACCTCTCTCTAAATTAGACTTTTAAAAAGCTTATGTATTTAACAGTTACTTGTGTATTTAAGACCCTGCTTTAGTCTAGAAAAGATTTAAGGGGCATCTGGTATTTTGAGTACACCCCAAATTACACATACTAGCAATCTGACTATGTCTAGGTTTGTGTTGGGTACATCTCCTCTGGCCCCTTCAATTATGTGATTATGTTTATAATATTAGTCATTTATTTTGTCAGAAGGTAGTAATTCTTTTTTTTTTTTTTTTAATCCTCACCCGAGGATATTTTTCAATTTTTTGTACAGATAGAGTGGGAGGGAGAGAGAGAGAGAAACATCGACGTGAAGGGACGCATCGAGTGGCTGCCACCCGCACGACCAACCAGGGCCAGGGACAAACTGCAACCGAAGTACGTGCCCTTAGCGGGAACCAAACCCGGGTCTCTCCGGACCGCAGGCCGACGCTCTAACCGCTGAGCCAAACTGGCCAGGGCAGAAGGTAGTAATTCTTAACAACACTATACTATCAATTGTTCATCTTATAAATCACCAACAAATATAATTTTGTGTTTGTTTCCATGTATAAGAAACTATAGTTGGATACTTTCTTTAGCATTCTGTTTAATTCCTGCCTAATGAACTCAGATCCAAACCTACTGCAGGTCATTAATTTAAGAAGAAACATGTAACAGTATCTACAACTGAATCAGCAACAACTGGGCGGTAGGAAGAGACAGCAGAGGAGGAAGGCGAGCTGGTGGGGACTGTTTCTGCAAATTACAGGAGGAAATACTAACAAAAACTACAGAAAAGAAAAAGGACTGAATGGACATCAAACTTGCATTAGGTAAGCTGAAGAGGTTTATTATGACTTAAATAGAGATTTAATGCCATTGTCTTTTTAAACTTTGGTAAGTCAATAATTAGGGGCCATGTGTTTTCTTCACTTTATCATCAAAATCCTGAGCAGGGCAGATGCAGTGAACGTGGGTCACAAAAGCGCTACATTTCTTTTTTTTTTACAGTTATGAAGTAGCAACAAAAATAATTTTATGGTTGGGGGTCACCACAACATGAGCTGTATGAAAGGTCGTGGCATCAGGAAGGCTGAGAACCACTGCTCTAGGGGATGGTCATGATCTGTTCAAGGTAGACAGCGTGTCCGAGTGCACGGAGAGCCACGTGGAGGTCCGTGGAGCTGCAGACAGGTCTGCAGGCCGAGGGCGACGGGCCCCTGCAGGGCTGAGCCTCTCTCGCTGGAGCCTCCTGGCTGTGGGCCCCGCCCCCGGTTTCTGGACAGCCCAGGGCTCTTCAATGCGGGGTCACCAGGCGCTGCTGCTGGCTACCCGTGGATGTGGGGACCCTGAGCTGCCTAGTGGGCTGGTCCTCCCGGCTCCCTCGCAGGAAGGCCACCGGAGGGTCTCCCTGGACCAGCTGCCACTGGCCATAGCGGCGATGACCGGGGTTCTGTCTCATGAAAAGGAACCCCCCACAACCTGGCCCTAGGTTATAATAGGAAATTACATTAAAAAGAAGAAAAAAAAGACTAACAGTCATTCTAATTCCCATGTGGGAAAGAGTCGAGAGGTGGTTAGCGCTACATTTCCTACCAGCCGGCATGATCTCCCGCGATGACGTACACCTAGTCCTACCTTCCCGGAGAAAGGGAGCCGGGCAGTCTGGCAGTGCGCGCGGGTCTGGGCTTGGGAGGCGGTGGTTTCTGCGTCGCTGCTGGTAGCTGTGCGGACTCAGACAACAGTTCATTCATCAGACTGTGTGCTTGTGAGAGTCGACGGCTGTAGTGGTCAGAGAGTAGCAATCTGTAGAGAAAGAATTAATATTTAATAAGAGTCACTTTCAGTTCATATTTCTAAAAGGAACATAGTGTTTGAAGACTACCTTGCACTTTTTTTTCAGTGCTTTTTTTTTATCCTTACCCAAGGACATTTTTGCATTTATCTTCAGATAGAGCAGGAGGGAGAGAGAGACACCCCAAATGGGGCTGGGGACAAACTGCAACCAAGGTTCATGCCCTTAGCGGGAACTGAACCCGGTCTCTCTGGTCCACGGGCCAGCACTCTAACCGCTGAGCCAAACCAGCCAGGGCTCAGTGCTTTTTAAATATAATATCAAAGTTCATATGCCTGAAAGCCATCAGGCAGTATTATGAAAGGTGGCTCTGGCCTTTGGGGTCGTTTCAAAATGCATACACATATCTGGATTGGGACGGGGAGGGGAACAGCAGAAATAAAAGTCGTAAGAACGGAATGGAGTAAATACTATCTGAAAGCAAATTCCTAAATAGGCTAGAGGAGTCTAATTCTTTTCCTCCCATAACTGACAAAGGGGCTACTGGGGAAAGCGGGGTTCCTGGGGCAGAGCTGCCACTCACCTGTCCTTTTCGTGCTTCCGCTTTTGTCTCAGCCTGATTTCCCTTGAAGTCAGGTAGAACTGCACAAGAAATACCGGGCAGCTCATCACTGTACAGCACAGACCATCATTCATTACGATCCACGGAAAACATGAACATTCCACTGATCGATTTTAACAGGAGGTTAAAATATTATTTTGTTATTTAGGAAATAGTACAAAATACTGTTATATTTGATGAAGCTTCTGATCCCAGCACAAAACATGAAAATGTTAAAACATCATGTAATTAAATAAAATGGAAAGCAAAATCTATCTTAATAGCTAAATTAAAATATTTTCTGAGAGAACCTTATCAGCTGCATTTTGGGGAAATAAGGACATTTTAAGGATGGAGACACTTATACTTCATAATACTCAGTCTTGTGATTAATCTCACCATGAGCTTGGTAGGTAGAGCAGAAATGAGCCAGACATTTAAAATCATCACTATAATGTTTCAAAATGTTCAGCAGAAACTCACTGCAGCGAGTTCACTGTGACTGTAAACCTTCAAAACTTATTACCGAGGCAAACCTGCAAACATCAACTGTGTGCATCGCATCCTAGAACATTAAGTTACTGCGGAGTCACACTAATGAGGTTAAGTCTTTTTTACACACTTTAAAGTGAATGCACTTTCTCAAGATCCTATATAGGAGTCATAAAAAATTAAAGGTCTCATTGATTCCGATAGAAATTCAAATAAAGTTTTTAATTACATTAACCCCTCATTAATCCCATACCTTTACCCAAACAGAAGCTAAAAATAAAGAAGCAAGTATATGATCCTGAAGGACGCATCACAGAGTTTCTAAGGCAAGCAGTCTGGATGCCCTCAGAGCCAGGTGTGGACACAACTCTAACCCTCTTGGGTATTTACTTGGCTGATAAGGAGGGGGACAGGGGACCCTCCCCGGCCCCATGGGGTGGAGGCACACATATCTACACATGCTCTTTAAGATTCTGGTCATGTATCGTCCAGCCCAGAAAGTCATCACCATGTCCCTAGGTCTATCGACAAAATGTTATATTGACATCAGCATGCTCTCTCCAGACACAGGTTAGTAAATTACACACTTTAAATAATAGTTAACCTACTTTAGCACCATTTGGTGCTTAAATGTGACAATCTTATCTGGAAAATTCACTTATGGAATGTGTTCCCCTAATGGTGCTGAAAAAAATGAAGTACTATTTTATTTCCGATGAGAGAGTAAAAGATAAACTGTAATCGGAGTATAATCTACATGGGATTTTCATAGTAATGTGATAACTAAAGGAACATCGCTGTTTCACCTTTAGAACGCTTCTGACCTGGCCATGGTAATGTCCGTAGTCAGAGCTCAGTAAACGGAGGTTGACAGTCTATAGGGCAGTTGAAACACACACACACACACAGTGCCATTGTTCTGTTGGTACATGACTGCACCATACTTTAAAAAAATTTTGTAGATAATGTATAGGTAGAATACTGATTTTAAAAATGGCTTTACCACACACAGAGTCAGGAGTTCAGCTGCTATTGACACTCAGTGAAAATTAAGGGAACAAGTCTGTTTGTCACCCAATCACTCAAGCTCCTCATGTATAACATGCTAGAGCCATAATTAGCCTGGAGGGGAAAAAAATACTTGAGATATTCAGTAGAACATGGCTTGCACAATACACCCCGCTGCATTTTGTTAAGGTCATTTCCTAACCTTTCTTAACTTAAAGGCTGCCTTTTCTATCTGTCAAATAAAAAATGCATCTAGATGATGACCATCCTTTCCCTGAACTTCGCCAGGAGGGACGACATGCACTCTGGGGTGGCCGCACTCTCTGCAGACTCACGGCTTTGCTCCTGGGGCGGAAGGGGTCGTGCTCCTGCCCTCTCCTCTCCGCCAGCTGACGCAAGTACTCGGCCGTGCGCGCCTTCCGCTTCCTCTTCATCCACACCTGAATCTCTCTCCTCTCCTGCGCAGTCCTCCGGGGACGTCGGTCGGAAGAAGGCTGGGTCCTGAGGAATGTGCCGGGCAGGGTGTCACGTGACGTGAGGCGTGGGATGGAGACACGTGTCACGACCGTGTGGAGGCTGTGCCCTCGCAAGGCCGCGCACACGCGTGCCCGTCAGCGTGCTCCGCCGCCCCGGGCGGGCTCAGGAAGGTCGCCCGCGGCCTCCCCAGCCTTCATCTCCCTGGACTTCTCTGGAACCTCTGACACAATCTGGCTCTTTCTTTCTGCTTTAAACTCTCTTACCTGGATCTTTTTCTAACTCTCAAAACTCCAGGCAGCATCTTCCCTGGCCCGTCTTCCGTGCTCGCCCCTCAGTACTAACGGCAGGGCAGGGTCTGCTGCGGACGTCTCCGCCCGCGCTCCAGTCTGGACAGACGTCTCCACCCGCGCTCCACCCTGAACGGACGTCTCCGCCCGCGCTCCACCCTGGACGGACGTCTCTGCCCGTGCACTACCCTGGATGTCTCCGCCCGCGCTCCAGTCTGGACGGACGTCTCCGCCCGTGCACTACCCTGGACGTCTCCGCCCGCGCTCCAGTCTGGACGGACGTCTCCGCCCGCGCTCCACCCTGGACGGACGTCTCTGCCCGTGCACTACCCTGGACGTCTCCGCCCGCGCTCCAGTCTGGACGGACGTCTCCGCCCGCGCTCCACCCTGGACGGACGTCTCTGCCCGCGCTCCACCCTGGACGTCTCCGCCCGCGCTCCAGTCTGGACAGACGACTCCACCCGCGCTCCACCCTGGACGGACGTCTCCGCCCGCGCTCCACCCTGGACGTCTCCGCCCGCGCTCCACCCTGGACGGACGTCTCCGCCCGCGCTCCACCCTGGACGGACGTCTCTGCCCGTGCACTACCCTGGACGTCTCCGCCCGCGCTCCAGTCTGGACGGACGTCTCCGCCCGTGCTCCACCCTGGACGGACGCCTCCGCCCGCGCTCCAGTCTGGACGTCTCCCCCGCCCGCGCTCTACCCTGGACGTCTCCATCCGTCCAGACGTCCACTATGGAGGAACTCTAACTGCTGCCCTAGGTCTCGCCTCCCGCTCCGCCCGGGCCACCCTTCCCAGCGGCGGCCGAGCTAAGGACTGAGCCCGGAGGGGTGCTGTGGCGAGGCCCCTGGCTGATGTCGCACCCTGACCCACGTGCAGCTTTCTCAGAGCCACACTGGACTCTGAGACTCTACTCACTCCGCCCTCCTCCCTCTGTCCCAGGAGGCTCGAAAGGGCACTGCGGTCCTCGCTTCGCCCAACTGCAGTCTCCCCCTCACGTGCACTTTCCCCAGTAACCCTCCTGGGCATCTCATCCACCTCGGCTCCTGCTTCTCGGAGGGTAAGAGCTCAGCGAGAGTGCTGAGAGTGGGCCAAGAAGACGGGTGGTGTGGACGGGCATTTGGGGCAGACTCATCGCCAGGGTGCAGAGAGGGCACCGTCCTAAATGGAACCTGGGTCACAGATACAATGTTTTATACTGAACCAGCCCCCAGTGAAATTCAGGGTTCTGGGCCTCCGGACCAGCCTCCCTGGTACACAGCACTCGCGTGTGCTGTCACGCTGTCGCTGGGGTTGTGTCCTGTGTGGCTCCACTGGGAGGGTTCTCGGGAGCTTGTGCTTGGCTCCCCTGGAGTTTCTCTGACACACCTGTTCCCTCTGCTGTAGTGCGCATGCCCGGGGGAGTTCCGATGCACCTGTTCCCTCTGCTGTAGTGCGCATGCCTGGGGGAGTTCCAAGGCACCTGTTCCCTCTGCTGTAGTGCGCATGCCCGGAGGAGTTCCGAGTCCTCCTGCAGAATCCCTGCACTGGGGGTGGTCCTGGGGACCTGTCACAGGGGGCAGACCCACCTCCTGTAAACCCTCCTCAGCATCCCCTCACAGGTGTTTCTCCAAGTAAATTTCCTGCTCATCACCTACTCTCATTTTAGCCTCTGCTTCTGAGAGGACCTAAAACTAAGTACTAATGAACATTACCAACTGAATGTTCTCCTGGCACCTTATAAATCTAAAGCTACAATCACTTTCTGTCCTGCTAAAGAAACCACCACAACTCAGTCATCCAAGCAGAAACTCATTCTCCCTCCTCCTGAGAGTCTCCGGCTTTCCTCATGCTTGTTAGCCTCCCTTTCCATGCCGAGCCACCTCACGTCTGGGCTGCTGAAGTAAGACCTCTGATTGGCTCCCATGTCCAGTGTAAAGCCCTCTGGTGACCCCGCGACTGCTTGCAAAGAAGGAAGCTCGGAGGCCTCTGGTCCCCAGGGGCAGTCAGCACCTGGCCGGGCCTCTCCTTCCATGTAAATTCCCGGCACATCTGACTCCACCCTCCGCTGACCATCGAAGCTTTGCACTTCATACTCTCGCTGCCTAGAGCACCCTTTCTTCTAGTCATACCCACATCAGTGTCCATGGAGCTTTGGAATAAAGCTCAAACACTATAACTGGGAGACTGTCTTCCTGATCGACCCCCCCAAGCTCCCACGGCACACTGTCAGGACGTGGTCTCATGTCATGCTCTTCAGTTCTACCTCCATTCCAGAGTATAAACCATATTTTCATTCCAATTTTTGACATTTAATACATTACTGATGACATATTTGTAACATGATCAGTAACTTAAAAAAAAATAAAAAAGAATAAAGCCCTGGCCGGTTTGGCTCAGCGGTTAGAGCTTTGGCCTGCGGTCCCGAGAGACCCAGGTTCGGTTCCTGCTAAGGGCATGTACCTCAGTTGCAGTTTGTCCCCGGCCCTAGTTGGGGTTGTGCGGGTGGCAACTACTCAATGTGTCCCTTTCACATCGATGTTTCTCTCTCTCTGTCTTTCTGTCTCTCTGTCTCTCCCTCCCTCCCACTCTATCTGAACAAAATATCCAAAAATGTCCTCGGGTGAGGATAAAAAACAAACAAACAAAAAAGAATAAAGATTCCTATATATGTAATTGAAGGTAACTAAAAGGAAGTTAGGGTTTACATGGTCTTGATATGTGGTCATAATATAGCAAATAATTCCACTAATAAACAGAAATTAGCAAGGTTTTTTTTGGTTGTTGTTGATACTCAGATAAGAGTGGAAAGAAGGGAGGGAGACACACACATCGACTGGTTGCCTCCCGCACAACCCCGAGGGGTTGGGGATCAAACTTGATACATGTCCTTGACCGGGAATCAAACCCAAGACCCGTTGGTCTGCAGGCTGACCCTGTAACTGCTCAGCCAAACTGGTCAGGGCAAAATTGGTGACTTTTTAAATACACTATTTCCTAGTGATAGCCTTGTAAGTTCAGTGATAAAACGTTGCCCATCGAGGCAGGGAGTGGACCTGAACCAGAACATGCAGAAAGCCAGCTGTTCACAGTGCTGCCGTCCAGAGCAGCCAGAGGGCGTGCGCGCTGCAGGCGCTCTGGTGGGGTTGCAGCCTCTCTGCTCTCAGGACCCAGCTCTGGGCCCAGAAACAGTTGCAAGGAAAACACTTTAACCTAATGTCCAAGGAAAGATTATCTGAAATGTATTTCAAAGATTAATATTTAGAATACAGTACTATGAACTGAATCATTATACTTCTAAGAAAAATAGGATTGCCCTGGCCGGTTTGGCTCAGCGGTTAGAGCATCAGCCTGCGGTCCAGAGAGACCCGGGTTTGGTTCCCGCTAAGGGCACGTACCTCGGTTGCAGTTTGTCCCCGGCCATGGTTGGTTGTGCGGGTGGCAGCCACTCGATGTGTCCCTTCACATCGATGCTTCTCTCTCTCTCTCTTCCTCTCTCTCCCTCTTACTCTGTCTGAACAGAAAATGGAAAAATGTCCTCGGGTGAGGATAAAAAAAAAAAAAGAAAAGAAAAATAGGATTAAATGTATTTGTACTCAGAGTGGTGAGACTTTGGGAAAACTCACATGATAACAGATGTGCCCTCTGAGATAAATCAGTCCATATTGGGCAGGGCATGGAGGAATAATACATAAACATCACAAAATGTGTTAAGAAAAGAATCTATTATAAGCCTTGACTGTTTCATAAAAATATCACATTAAAATATGGCCAATTTTAAATATTCTTGAATCATAAACATTTTTTTTTTCTTTACTGATTTTAGAGAGAGAAGACGGAGAGAGGGAGAGATAGAAACATCGATGAGAGAGAACATCAATTGGCCTCCTCCTGCATGCCTTGCACTGGGCATCGAACCTGATGAAATGTAACCTGGGCATGTGACCTGACTGGGAATCAAACTGGCGACCTCTTGGTGCATGGGTCAACACTCAACCAGTGAGCCACTCCAGCTGGGCTTGAATCATAACATTTTAAATGGTTAAAAATAAATCATTCAAGGATTACCTGGAGATACACCTCGCTTGTTGTTCTGTTAAGCCCAGCTCTTCACTGGAAACTCCATCTTTTGTGATAAGGTCTTCAATAATATCTGCGATATCCGTCAACCCAGTCATCTGGAGTGCATCTACTGAAAAGCTTCATTTGCAAACGCAATTTGAGAAATGTCAGTCAGTCTCTGTAACTTATTACAGTGAGCAAAAATGAACATGTAAAACTATACCCTCCGAGAGCATAATGAACACAAAAATGATAAACATATAACTACTGTTCTTTGATTCTTTAATTCCAGTAATCCTCAGTGGAAAAGCCTGATCATCAATAATTACTAATTTTTCTCTGCTTTTAAAAAAGCAACATAAGGCCCAGGAGACAACTTGTACCTGTCCTGCCTGATGAAATGTAATACATATGCAGTAAGAGAAAATGTAGCCAGTGTAGCCTATGGTGTCCTCACTGCCTGTGCTGACGCGGTGAGGGGGGAACAGTCCTCACAGTGTAGCCTGCGGTGTCCTCACTGCCTGTGCTGACGCAGTGAGGGGGGAACAGTCCTCACAGTGTAGCCTGCGGTGTCCTCACTGCCTGTGCTGACACAGTGAGGGGGGAACAGTCCTCACAGTGTAGCCTGCGGTGTCCTCACTGCCTGTGCTGACGCAGTGAGGGGGGAACAGTCCTCACAGTGTAGCCTGCGGTGTCCTCACTGCCTGTGCTGACGCAGTGAGGGGGGAACAGTCCTCACAGTGTAGCCTGCGGTGTCCTCACTGCCTGTGCTGACGCAGGGAGGGGGGAACAGTCCTCACAGTGTAGCCTGCGGTGTCCTCACTGCCTGTGCTGACGCAGTGAGGGGGGAACAGTCCTCACAGTGTAGCCTGCGGTGTCCTCACTGCCTGTGCTGACGCAGTGAGGGGGGAACAGTCCTCACAGTGTAGCCTGCGGTGTCCTCACTGCCTGTGCTGACACAGTGAGGGGGGAACAGTCCTCACAGTGTAGCCTGCGGTGTCCTCACTGCCTGTGCTGACACAGTGAGGGGGGAACAGTCCTCACAGTGTAGCCTGCGGTGTCCTCACTGCCTGTGCTGACGCGGTGAGGGGGGAACAGTCCTCACAGTGTAGCCTGCAGTGTCCTCACTGCCTGTGCTGACACAGTGAGAGGGGAACAGTCCTCACAGTGTAGCCTGCGGTGTCCTCACTGCCTGTGCTGACACAGGGAGGGAAGTAGCAATGCTCGGTTTCTTAAAACACCTCATTCCCAATGGGAATTAAATATATTTTTTTAATCCACAAAATAATGTAGTATAGATGTTCACATACTTATGCACAACCCAATTTCCAGAATGTATAATTTATATCCCCAACTTTAAGTAAAATTGTGTATTAATTCTTAAGATATTTACCTCTCATATAACTCATCACTGTTATTCACCCCTTAAAAGAGAGAAGAAACATTAATAAAAATTTCACGTCAGATATTTTTCTACTTTTGATTATTAACCTGACTTAGGAATTCTATAACCAGAAATTAAAATATTTTTAGCCCTGGCTGGTTTTGTTCAGTGGTTAGAGCATTGGCCTGTGGTCCAGAGAGGCCCAGGTTCGGTTCCCGCTAAGGGCGTGTACCACAGTTGCAGTTTGTCCCCGGTCCAGGTTGCTTGTGCAGATGGCAGCCACTCGATGTGTCCCTTTCACGTCGATGTTTCTGTCTCTCTCTTTTCCTCTCCCTCCCTCCCACTCTATCTGAACAAAAAACGAAAAAAATGTCCTCGGGTGAGGATAAAAAAAAATAGATAAAATAAGTAAAATAAAATTGGAGTAACAGTTTAAAAAATATATTTTTAATTTCCAAACTGGTTTACAGGTATATATGTATAGCATATTTATCCTCTTGAATATGCTCTTTGATGGTAAAGATCGTCCACATTTTAAGATTACTACTTTGGTGTCCAGCATACTCTGAATAACACATTTTAGTAGGTACAATCTTTTTTTGCTTAGTACAGTTTAGAATACTGGCGTGCCATTTATTAAAACAATCACAAAAAGCCAGAAACCTGTGATGGTCTAAAAGTGATACATTTGGGAAAAGAGCTCATTTACATCCAAGAAGCCTTTACTACGAGACAAAAATTACAAGATTTAATGACAACTTCTGTATGGCCCTTCTTTTATCTAAAAGACAGCAATGCTATTTAAAAACAGCATTTCTTACTGCTGATATTACTTTAATAATGGCAATAAAACATTGTAAAGAGTAAAATCACCATTGTTGACCATCGATATGTAGGGCAAAAAAGACAGTTCGAATCCACTGTCAACACTTCGAATCCACTGTCAGCAGTTCATCCGCTGCACCCAGCAGACCTCCTTCAGGTGCCGAACCGTGCCGCCCGGACTGGAGCAGAGCGCACTGCAGCTCCAGGTAAAGGGGGTGAGAGTGGAGCTAGTTACCCAGCCTCAGTATCCCTCACTGTACAACAGGGGTTTGGGGACACCGGCCTCAAGCCAAGTGCGCAGGGTGGTGTCTGGCGCGTGAAAAAAGAGGCTCCATAAATCACAGCCGTCATTTTGGTTTCAAATTAAAATGCAAGTTCTCATAATTGGCAGAGTTTGAATTTCTCAATTTTTGTACGCATCCAATATTTTAGTAATTCCAGTTATATTTACACTAAGCTGCACAGATACGATGCTTGCTTGCAGCATGTCTCACAAAGGTGACAGATGACATAGTTCTTCATGTGAATGGTGCCATTTTTTTTTTTGGTACATGCCCTTAGCGGGAACCGAACCCGGGACTCTCTGTTCCACAGGCCAACGCTCCAAATGCTGAGCCAAACCGGCCAGGGCTGAATGGTGCCATTTTTTAACTTCCCTTCACCCAAAATTTATAAGTATTGCAAAACGGCTTCACAAATCCTTCATAGCTACACTCCCAGTAAACACTATTCAGTAACAAGAATATATTGTTACAATACATCTTTCTATACTGGAAAATAAAAGTGCGAATGGAAAAAGGAGAGAATGATACCAGGAAAACTTGTATTCTGGTCACTGGAGAGGCTAAGCGCTGAATCGGCAGAAGGAAACACACAAGTTTCCCTACGAGAATGACTTTCTGTAACTGAAAATTCAGCCTCGAACATCTGTTCTTTGTCACTTTGATCTTCCTTATTCGTAGGAGTCAGGAAATGCACTAGTCCAGAGTCTGTATCACAATGAGAAGAAAACAGAGGGAAATCACATGGAGAAGAAGAAGGCTTCTGCAGGGCAACAGATGTATCACAAGTTTGCAACATATTCTGATAGCTTTCTACAGCACAATGAAATAATTTAGTGTAACATTTAAATTTACACTCTCTAGTAGTAAAAAAAAAAAAACTATTAAATTTATGATCAACTTCAGAAGACGTGGCAGACTGAGCTAAAGAGGTCAGGCTCCTGCCCATTATAAAAACACAGAAGAAATGCTAAATTTAAAAAAAACTGATTAATATACAACAAAACCCTATATATATTTTAAAAAACTGCCTGATGCCAGAAAAGGAAAAGGGATTCCGAGCTGGGCAATCAGTGGACAGTGATGCTGGCAGGGTCCACCGAGGACAGGAGGCGAGGTCTCTGCAGACTGCGCCCTGAGCGCCTTCACGTGGCCTAGAGTGTAGAAGGACGGCTCTGTCCTGAAAATGGGGACAAGAAAAACCCTGCCCTGGAGAAGCAGCGAAGACGTTTTCTAAATGCCTGGATAGTGGATGGAAGAAAAATAAAAGTCAACTCGGAGAACGCAAAACCCGTCTTGCCACGAGCAGGTGTGGGATCTGAATTTATCCGATCAATGTAGCACAGCAACTCCAAGCCAAGAAATGTACACAAAAATCAGTCCTCGAACTTCCTACTTCAGTGACAGCAAATACAAACCACTCCAAAGACAAGTACACAATTCCAAACCCCCACAAAGATGATAAAAAAATTACTAGTCACCCAAAGACAGACGGCGGTGAAAGGGCTGCAGTGTGCATCCAGACGGTGAGCACTCGCAGTGAAGCGATCTGAGGGCACCAGGTGCTGCTGGTCATCAGAGACAGAAGGGGGCACTGAACCACAGAAGGGGAAGAGGACAGTATATCCAAAGAACAGATCATTTGAGAGAGAAACAGAACTTCTAGACATTAACAACATAATCACCAAAATTAAATCCTACAGCAGAGCTGACATGGAGAAGAGAGAACAGCGGACTGAAAGATCTGAGAGAATCGCCCCGACCGCGTCACTGGGGGGAAAAAGGTGGAAATTAAGACGTGGATAAGAGGGGACAGAGTGAGAAGGTCCAACACACCTCCAATAGGTGTTTTAGAAAACAGAACAGGTAGAAAGGGGAAGAATCAAATACTCCAAAGGAAAAGAGATGAAAAATGCCCAATGTTAAACCTGCAAATTAAGGAATCATTCCTACTCCCACATAGAATAAATAAAAAGAAATATACACCTAGAAACACTGTATATAAAAAATGCAAAATAAGCCAAAAAAATAAAAAACACACTTAAAAAATATCAGAGATAAAAGGACTGCAATTAGATCACAGATAGGTAGTATAAACTCAGCAATTAGAAATGTCAACAGATAATGGAATACTATGTTTTAAAAGCTAAGGAAAAATAAGCATCAACATAGAATACTGTACTCTGCTATAAGCCATCACTCATGAAGGTAATAAAATTAAAGCTATTTTCAAAGACTGGGAGAATTGACCCCTCAGAGTCCAGATGAAAGAATTAATGCTGGAAGGAAAAAAGACACAATCCTCAAATGGGCGCAAGAAGCAACTGTGAACAACGGCAGCAGAGACAGAAATGCCAGAGTGCATCTCAGGCAATACGGGTGTCACTCCATGAAACTTGTGCTTTGGTCTTACAAGTTTATTTACATATGTATATTACTTAAAGTACAAATTTTTTAAAAGAAACAACTGAGGGCAAAGAAAATGGCGAACATGATGATAAATTCAAATAAATACTGACTTAAAAAAAGAAGAGAACCCTGGCCAGTTTGGCTCAGCGGTTAGAGCGTCGGCCTGGGGTCCTGAGAGACCCGGGTTCAGTTCCGCTAAGGGCGCATGCCTGGGTTGCGGTTTGTCCCGGGCCCTGGTTGGTTCTGCAGGTGGCAGCCACTTGATGTGTCCCTTTCACGTCGATGTTTCTCTCTCTCTCTCCCCCTCCCACTCTACCTGAACAAAAAGTGGAAAAGTGTCCTTGGGTGAAAATTAAAAAAAAAAAAAATGTCCTCGGTGAGGATTAAAAGAAGAAAGAAAAAGAAAAGAAAAGACGGGAGAATACATGGGACATTTAAAAATTAGGTAGAATTAAAACAGAGAACTATCAGGGAGGCTGGGAGGGAGCAGGTCAGTGTTAAAAGCTCTAACACCATTTGGGAGGTAAATATGTTCACCTTAAATTTTAATGGTGATTGTTTAAAATTCAAGAATAATCACTAAGAGATTAAAAATGTATAATTAAATGGAAGAGAAAAGGGAATGTAATTAAAGGGAAAATATAAAAAATTCAATCCTACAGAAAATGCTTATTCGTTTCATATAAACAGAGCATTTACATAAACTGACTATATACACTAGACCACAAGGGATAGTTTAACAAATATCTAAGACTTGATATCATTCTCATTTAATCATAATACAATGAAAATGGGAATAAATTTTTAAAATATTGCCCAAATCCCATAATATTTGGAAGCTAGAAAACCCTTTCATCAGCTAAGAACTCTTAATACAAATTACAAACTATTCAGATCAAAAGATGGTACACATCACACTCCTGTCTGGGTCCTTGCCGGAATATGTTCAACCTCAACTGCATATATTAGAAAAAAGAAAGAATTAAGTTAGGAGAAAACCAACAAGTCCTCAAAAGTAGAAGAAAATAATAAAGCTAAGAACAGAAATTTATGAAAAAGAAAATTAAGAAACAGTAAGGAGAACACCAAAGCCTGGTTTTTTGAACACATTAAATTGCTGACAAGACTGAAGGAGAGAGAGGATGTAGATATAGACAACTATAGGTACAGTAGACATTTTAAAAAATAACTACCCTAATTTCATCCTTTCAGTAAGAAATGCAAAAATGTAACATCCCACCATTTCCCAGCCCTTTACCAGAACCTCAGACTCCAGCGGCCTGCCGGACTCAGCCCGCAGCCCAGAGGGCTGGCTCCGCGGTGCGCGGTGCGGTCCCAGAACTAGGGCGCGGCCGGTGCTGGGGCGGCCCGCGGCTCTGGTCTAAACGCCGCAAGAGGAGACGCGTGGCAACTCAGAGGAAAGTGGCCGTGGGGCCGCTCAGGTTATCACACAGATGACCCAATCTGAACACGGGGGGCTGCTGGCTTCAGTCCAGGAAGGAAACTATCGATCGTCTTTCTGAGCATCCCGAAAAGGCCATGCTCATTCTTCGAAGCAAGGTTTCAGACCCCCACCCCGCAGCTCCCCACAGACCTCCTTGGGAGACGGTGATGGTTTCTGAAGCCGGTGTTTTTTCGGATTCAGGGCCCAGAGACAATTGGGTGTGATCCACAGAGTCAACCTGTAGGGAAACACATGCCACAAGATGACTGTTGTCAACCTTTCACTTTAAAGACGCGAGAACAAGGCCCAGACAGTGCCTTTCTGGAGGCAGACATGGACTTGCACCTGGGCCTTCAGGCCCCTCGTCGGTGCTTGTCCAGTGTCCCTCCGCCTCCGCCGACCAGCTGTTTTCTTAACTGAAAGGGGCAAGTCCAAACCTCTGCGCGCATGTGCTTTGAAACAGGGTGAGCGCATCGTAAGCCAATACGCCAGCCTTTCAGTTCAATAATGCTATTTCCTTCCGTCGTCACCTTGGAAGATGAAAGACTTGGTATCATTACCTAAGAGTATATGGTCTTACCTCATCTATTTTTTCAGTGTAGTTTCTCATGTTTAATCTGAACTTTTTAATATGTGTTAAACTTTTGGATTAAGGAAAGGCTGTAAACCTAATGCACACATCTTTGAAATGTCACGGTGCTGGCAGCCGGGGAGGTGCGTCCGGGATGGATTCTTACTTACCCTGCAGACCCATCTCATTGCCCAGTCAGGCTTTAACACAGTCAAAATATTTTCACTATTTGTTCTTTAACCTTTATTTTTAATCAATTTTACTTCCTAAAAAAGGACAGGATATTTGTGCAAAATAATAAATTAATGTTTGAGACATCCTTTTTAGTTGTCTAACTGCCATGCTATACCAATATACATACACAATATACATACACATTCATCTTTTTATGATGAGTACACTTTTTTTATCCCTCACCCAAGAATATTTTTTCCATTTATCTTCAGATAGAGTGGGAGGGAGGGAGGGAGGGAAAGAAACATGGATGTGCCAAAGACACATCGATTGGCTACCTCCCTCATGACCCTGACTAGGACCCGGGACACACCGCAACCGAGGTACATGCCCTTGACCGGAATTGAACCTGGAACTCTTTGGTCTGCAGGCCGACACTGACCACTGAGCCAAACTGGCCTAGGCTGTGATGAACACTTTTTAAAGATCCGGAAAACTTCTAAGGACTACTAATCCACTGTATAAAATACTTAAAAGAAACTGAGAAGTCCAAATATAAGGACAACAATATTTATAAAGTTATAAAAATCTTGGGGAAGAAGATGATAATTAGGAACAGGGTTTGTTTCAAACCACATTCTGCTATTACAATTCATGTATTTCTTTCCCTGGTAGAAGCATAAGTTCACTTTTCTTTTTTTTCTTTATTGTTTTTAGAGAGAGAGGAAGGGAGAGAATGAGACAGAAACATCAATGAGAGACAACATCGACTGGTCGCCTCCTGCACGCCCCCCACTGGGGATCTGGCCCACAGCCTGGGCATGTGCCGGGCTGGGAATGGAAATGGTGACCTCTGGGCGCAGGGTCTATGCTCAGCCAGTGAGAGACACCGGTGAGGCTCAGTTCACTTCTTAAAAGCTTAAGGCAGCGGTTCTCAACTGCAGGCACTCTTACCCCCAGGGGACATTTGGTAATGTCTGGAGACATTTTATTACTACAGCTGGGAGGGAGCTAACAGCTAGTGGGTAGAGACCATGCTGTCTACCAAACAGCCTGTGACTCACAGGACAGCCCTGCATGACACACAATTACCCTAGCTTAAATAAACTACATTTCCTTTTCTCTCATGAAATCAGATGTGTATAAAATTGTATCATACTACAAATCTGATAACTCATAAACAAACAAACCAAAAAAGCACAAAATAAAGACAGTCTACCGTATCACAGTGCAGGGGTGCCCATCCGTGCCTGGGGAAGTCCTGCTCGATGTGGTCGGCAATGCTCTGTATCGCCAGCAGCTGCGCGTCGATCTTCCGGAGCTGAGAGGTGAGGTGCTCCAGCCGGCAGGCTGCAGGGCTGGGCGTGGGGCCCGGCGCAGAGACGCCCTGCAGCAGCTCCTGCAGCAAGTAATCCCGCAGCCTACCCTCTCCTGCGGCATCGGCATTGGGCTGTGAGCACCGCTCTCGGAGCTGAAAATCTGGCTTTGGCACGTCTGAATATTAATAAGAGTAATAAAAGAATTGATTATAATTCAGGGTGAGGTGAAATGTAATTATATACATTTTAGCTTCCTGACTTGTGAGATTTGTCTCTGTTGTGAGGCAAGACTATACAACATTGTTACTGTGACCAAACTTCCATGCACACAGCAGTTTGGATGTTATCCTCTGCTACAAAAATAGGCTTCGTGAAAAAGCAACTTTAATATCTTTACGACTGTAACACTTGACTTGAAAACCAGCAGCGTCACCCAGTAGACGCTAGAGCGACGTTGGCCATTCTGGCTCCACAGGGATCTCTGGAGCAGACCTCCCAGGCCCAATACCAAAGCCAGTGACCATCCTGCTCTTAACTCAACTGATTCTTGTCCCAAACTGAAATACCTCTTCCTTAAATGTGTTCTGGCTTCTGGGTTCTCCCCCACCCTCTACTGCTCTTCCTTCTCAGACATCTTCTTTTTTTTTTAATTATTATTTTTTTTTATCCTCACCTGAGGACATTTTTTGTTCAGATAGAGTGGGAGGGAGAAAGACAGAGAGAGAAACATCGACGAAAGGGGCACATCGAGTGGCTGCCACCCACAAGACCCAACCAGGGCCGGAGACAAACTGCAGCCGAGGTACGTGCCCTTAGCGGGAACCGAACCCGGGTCTCTCTGGATCGCAGGCCGATGCTCTAACCGCTGAGCCAAACCGGCCAGGGCTCAGACATCTTGTCTTCTCTTCTGCCACCGCTCCGTCTCCCCATCCCCTTCCCTGGGGTGCCAGTCTCAGCTCACCTCTCTTCTCCCTGTCCCCACGCTCTCTGAGTGATGTCACTGAGGCACAGGAGACTCCCGAATCACACGGCACTTTCTGAATCCCAGCCCCTCAACCCCATCCGCACCTGCCCATCTCACCTAGGTTGTCCCCAAAGCACACTGAACCCAGCTCACCCCTTCTCACTCCAACTGCTTGCCTTTCCTGTTCCTCAGCTTGGTGACCAGTCACTCACCCCATTCCCAAGCCACAGCCTGAGTGTCAATCAAGTTCTTCTCTCTCCTTCAGATCCTAAGTGACACCAAATCTGATGACCCACCTACCCAACATCTCCTTCCCTACCCGCACTGCGAGCTGACGCTTTCGCACAGATGGACCCGAGGGCGACCTCTAAGAACACAAGGGGTATGTTCTGCTCCACCTGAAATCCTTCAGCTAACAGGGCCGAATGCTCAGCATGAGGAAACGCATTCCGTCTCCTCGGCCCACCTCTCCAGCTCAGCTCTTGCTGTTTCTTTTCTTTTTTAAAAATTTTCCCCTTTATTGATTTTAGAGAGAGAGGAAGGGAGAGGGAGAGAGAGATAGAAACATCGATGAGAGAGAACATCGACTGGCCACCTCCTGCATGTCCCCCACTGGGGATCGGGCCCACAACCTGGGCATGTGTCCTACCGGGAATCGAACCGGCGACCTATTAGCGCCTGGGTCGACGCTCAGCCACTGACCCACACCGGCCAGACTCTTGCTGTTTCTTAAACAAACAACCTCCACAGACTCCAAGCCCACTGAACTTCAGTTTTCTCAAACTCAGCAAGTGCCATCAAACCCGAGTCACCGCACAAGTGACCCTGTCTGGGTGCCCTTTCTCTCACTGAATCCTGCTTTCTCTTGAGTCCCCTAAAAGCCCCAGTCGTCCCGGAGATGGATCAGGAGCTGTATTTCCCAGGAGCCTCAGCCACACACCATGACAGCACTTACCAAGCGTGAGCACCGTCGCCTGCTCCTGCCTGTTGTCCCCACAGGCGGCCCACAGGCAGAGAGCCCGGCATTACCCCCTTCCTCAGCCCCGACAGCTGGTCCCTCACACGGTGTTTACTGAATGCAGCGTCGGTCAAATGAAGAGCGTGACGCCTGTCCTATCTAACTCACAGAGGGTATGTGAGGATCAAATCATGGAGCAAAGTTATCCGAAAATGTGAATTACTAAGCAGATGTAAGCAGTGCTCATTGTATTTCGGTCCAGCCGCAGGTGACCCTCCCACGAGAAGATGAGGTAACTCTGGGGCTGGCGACAGGGCAGATGCCATCTTTCCCCACCGGTGTTCGCTCGACTCCCTGCGGATTACCCCCTGTCCTTCCCGTTTCTCCGTGGCCTGGGGTGTCCCTTCATCATTCTCGGGAAAGAAGTCGGTGTACAGACTTCAAATAGGAAATACAGCAAAAAAGACAGACACGCTCAAAACCCAGAATGGCTGACAGACACATGAAACCCACCAGCTTCCCTTTCCCTGGAGAACCTGCTCCGCTGTCACGGACTCAGCCGGTCACCAGGAGGGGAGCCGAGCCCGCGGACCCTGAGGCTCTCCCTCAGCCCAGCCCAGCGCGTTACTGCCGACTGCTCCTCCCGCAGGGGCTTCGGAGACAGAAGCTGCTGTCCACACAGTGAGTCCCCGTGGAACAGGAACCTGCTGTGCGGTCTGCTCCTGTTTCCATCCTAAAAGCCCAGGGACCCTGTCCCGCCCTTCTCCTGCCTTTCCCTAGACCCCTCAACTCTGCTCTGTGCCTTGATTCTGTATCTTCAGGGTATATTATGTAAATACCATGATAACGTTTAATTTTAAAATACGTCTTCCTTTTAAATTGGCATTTTTAAGTTCTTCTCTTTAATAAACATAGAAGGGTCTACTGACTTATTTTTGTGACCAGGTAGTCTCCCCAGCAAAGGATCCTCCAAAAGGTTGATTAGCCCGGCCCGTGTGGCTCAGTGGATGAGCGTGGACCCTGCACCCAGGGGTCACCGGTTCGATTCCCGGTCAGGGCACATGCCCAGGTTGTGGGCCTGATCCCCAGTGTGGGGTGTGCAGGAGGCGGCCAATTGATGTTCTCGCTCATCAATGTTTCTCTATCTCCCTCTCCCTTCCTCTCTCTCTAAAATCAATAAAGAAAAATGTTTTTTAAAAAATAAAATTGGCCCTGGCCGGTTTGGCTCAGCGGTTAAAGCGTCGGCCTGCGGTCCTGAGAGACCCGGGTTCGGTTCCCGCTAAGGGCATGTACCTCGGTTGCAGTTTGTCCCCGGCTCTGGTCAGTCGTGCGGGTGGCAGCCACTCGATGTGGTCCTTTCACATCGATGTTTCTCTCTCTCTCTCTCTGGTCCTCTCTCTCCCTTTCACTCTACCTGAACAAAAAAAAAAAAAAAAAAAATAAAAAAAAAAAAAAAAATAAAAAATAAAATTGACTCGCCCTGGTCAGTTTGGCTCAGCGGTTAGAGCGTCGGCCTGCGGTCCAGAGAGACCTGGGGTTTGCTTCCCACTAAAAGCACGTACCTCGGTTGCAGTTTGTCCCTGGCCCTGGTTGGGTTGTGTGGGTGGCAGCCACTCGATGTGTCCCTTTCACGTCGATGTTTCTCTCTCTCTCCCTCCCACTCTATCTGAACAAAATATTTTAAAAAATGTCCTCAGGTGAGGATAAAAAATAAAAAAATAAAGTTGACTAAAGACTTGATCTCACTGAGGATATTAACCTGTCGCTAATTGTCATGAAATGCTGCCTAAGATATTCAGAGAGCACAGGGAAGTGGTTCTGGTTCCAGTTTTCAAAATTTCAAAATTCAATTGGTATGAAAACGAAGCTACAAGGTACCTCAGCAGGCACAGGTGTTTGGCTGGAGGTAACCCTTTAGACAACCCTAGGAAGTTGCATCCCACAGGGATACAGTGAGGATCAGATACAGTTAAATTTTCTTGCAGAAAGTCCCCAAGGTAGTAAGTGACAGAGCTGGAACTGAACCCAGGTCTGTTCTATTTAAATCTAAAATCCAAGCTTTTTACTTCTCCAGCCTGAGAGCCAGCCAGTTATGGACACAGTGACCAGGCAGTGGGGGCTCTGCACCCCGGCCTCCAACAACCACCGGCTGGACCCATGCCTCCTAACAGGTCTCTGTTGGAGCAAGTCTGATTGCATATTCGATTCATCTAAACAATCACATGATATAATGACTTTAAGTTTTGAAGAAATCATCTCCTTACTCTGGTAAACATTTTACAACAATGCAACTGATTATGACTATAAAACTCAATATTATAGTAATAACGTACTATTGGATACCACGCCTGTGTATTTTCTATGTGCTATTTCAGAATGTCCCACTTTTTAAAATATGAGACTTCCTTTTCAACACCAAAAAAACTACGGAACCCGCAGGACATTTATTCTAACCTCGCTCACTGAGAAGAGACATCATCTCAAGTAGATCTGCAGGCTCCTTGCAAAACGCCGCCAGGCCCCGAGTTGGAACCTTGTCTGTCTCGTTCACCGACCTGTCCCATTCTCCTGCACAAGGGGAAAGCCTTCTTCTGGTTTACTTTGCACTGACCACGTTTTCGTGCTTGCGTCTAACACACGGCGATTTGGGGAAGGGGAGAGTCACGCTGGACGTCCAGGGCGCTCACCTCTGTCCCGCGCGCTGTCTGATGACGAAGGTGAGCTGGCACCAGGCTCCTTCCCTCCCGTGATGCCTCCTCTCCAGCTTCCCCCATCCACACAGGACCGGGGCACTTCCGCGGGCTTCAGAAATAAGGCCGCTGCTGCACTGGCAGATTCTGTCACGAACGTGAAAGGCATACAAAGACTGGTTCTAACTTCCAGCGAGGTGTGCGGAAGATTGACGGCATTTCTAAATGTGAATGTAAACGTCCAAAAGCACGGCGGGTTTTCAGGAGAGCTAGGAGATGTAAGGTTACAATGCCGTACTAAACACTCAACACGTTTTTAGACTTTATTTGTAAGAGAAAAGTGTTACCTTGACCCCTAAAACTGCAGAGGGGAAGGGCACTGGTCACTGAGGCTGCCGCGTGGTGTGACTCTGCCGAAGGCGGGGCTGCTGCCTGCCACCCGAGGGCGCGGTCGCCCGAAGGCTCTCCCACAGGCCACTCCTGCGGGTCCTCGGCTTCGATGTCAACCACGGCGATGTAAGTGTGTCCCACCTGAGCCCAACGTCATCAAACAGGGTGACATTCTTTTACTCTAAACGGCCACTCTGCCCACCCCACCCCATAAAAAGGTTCAATTCTGAAGGCAAGAAGAGCTCATCTGAGCTTAGGGAAAGCTGCAGGAAGTATGTGTTATAATCTTAGTTTACAATATTTGGGGGCATAATGTTTAAATCCCAATTTTTTTTATCTTTCCAGCGAAGATGCCCAGGTACTATCTGTAGCCTCATTTCATCTATACAGCTGAATACTGAGGATGGCCGTAGTACATTTTAGCATAAGGCTATTATTAAAACTTCTGAATAAGCCCAAACCAAATCTAGTACCGTATCAGATGCCAAAGGTGACCAAGGCCTCTCTGCTTTTTCAGGGGGGAGCCTGGGACTTAGACATATATCTGGAGCCAACAGCTGAGGGACAGTCAAAGGTTCACATTCTGAAAATTAAAAAAAGAAAAATCAGCAATATAAAAAAAAAATCTGTAAATACCTCTAAGTCATTAACTGTATAAGAACAAGTTAGCAACAAATAACATAACATATTTGTTGAAAATCCCAGGTGTGACTTACTCTAGAGTGATTCTTGATAGAATGGAGGCTGGTGACTGCTTTTCTCATATGGATGAGTCACAGGAATAATAAAGTACCCAAGTCATGGCAAGAACACGCTGTATTTCCTATTTCTATTTCAGATACTATTAAGGCATGTTTGTCTATTTAGGAGAATTTCAATAAAATCTGATTTTAGGCAATTAACCTGTAACTAATTTCTTTTTTGCTTTCAACATAGTTTATCTCTTTATTTTAATAGCTTTATTGAGATATAATTCATATCCTTTAAAAGGGTACAATTCAGTAGTTTTCAGTAAATTTGGTGTCCACAGCTAAATTCTACCACTTAACATGTTTAACATCTAAATTTAATGAAACTCATTAGCTTCTTATTCAAAAGTAAAATAAACCCGTGTAATTGTGTCTTTTGTCCTGAGATAAGATTCCAATCTTACTTCCGAGCATTTTATTTTTAATAGAACATTACTTTCAAATTTCACATGCAAACTAGAACTCATTGCCATATTGAGTACTGGAAATTTGGTACCAGGGCTTGAACTGAAACCATACGACCACCATAAAACCAGAAGACAGGAAAATGAAATTACTTAAATTATCATCCTGTCTCTACTAAATCAATTGATTGGTGTAAATGCTTTTTCACGGGGGGTGGTTAACGCCTGTCTTGACATCATGCAGAAATAATCTATAATAGTCATGCCTCCTCCGAAAAACAGAAAGAAATCACACCTGGTGTGGAGGAAATAGCTTGTTGATTTTTACGACACTCAGAAACAACTTCTTGAGAAGCAGCTTCTTTATCTTCTGGCCAATTAGGAGCTTTGAGGCAAAAAGAGAAAACAGAAAAAGGATTTCACAGACAGAAAAAATTAAATATATAAATGCAGATTTTTAGATTACTAGGTAGAAAAGGTAGCAGAGCCCTGGCCGGTTTGGCTCAGCGGTTAGAGCGTCGGCCTACGGTCCTGAGAGACCCGGGTTCGGTTCCCGCTAAGGGCGCGTACCTCGGTTGCAGTTTGTCCCCGGCCCTGGTCGGTTGTGCGGGTGGCAGCCACTCGATGTGTTCCTTTCACATCGATGTTTCTCTCTCTCTCTCTCTCTGTTCCTCTCTCTCCCTCCCACTCTACCTGAACAAAAAAATGGAAAAATGTCCTCGGGTGAGGATTTAAAAAAAAAAAAAAAAAAAAGAAAAGGTAGCAGAAAAGTAGACTGACAACTTACAATTTTTAATTTTTAAAAATTAATAAGTTCATATTTTATTATTATTTATATCCTGGGCCTGATTACCTCGGTGAATAACAGACTCCTAGCAAATGGACTACGGACTTTAGAAGACTGTAGCAAAGAATGTCCAAGGGCTTTTTTTTAAAGAATGTCTCACAGATGACCAACCAACAGACATGTGAAAAGATGCTCAACATCACTAATCATCAGAGATGCAAATTAAAACCACAATGAGATACCACCTCACACCTGTCAGAATGGCCGCCATCACTAAATCTATAAACAGTAAGTGTTGGCGAGGGTGTGGAGAAAAGGGGACCCTAGTGCACTGCTGGTGGGAATGCAGACTTGTGCAGCCACTATGGAAAACAGTATGGAGATTCCCAAAAAAATTAAAACTGACCCAGCAATCCACTTCTGGGAATATATACAATGAAACCCAAAACTGTAATTTGAAAGAATACATGTACCCCTGTGTTCACTGCAGCGTTATTCACAATAGCCAAGACTGGGAGCAACAGCAGTGCCCATCAGTAGATAAGTCAATACAAAAATTGTGGTACATTTACACAATGGACTATTACTTGGCCATAAAAAAGAACAAAATCTTACCATTTGCAACAGCATGGATAGATCTAGAGGGCATTATGCTAAATGAATTAAGTCAGTCAGAGAAAGACTAATAACATGATTTCACTTACATGTGGAATTTAAAGAACAATATAAACAAACAAAACAAGAACAGATTCAGAGACACAGAGTGGACTGATGGTTGCCAGACGGGAAGGGGTTGGGAGGCTGAGTGGAAAGGGGAAGGGATGGAGAATACAGATGGGCAGTTACAAGATAGTCATGGGGATATAAAGCCCCGCATAGGGAATACAGTCAATAATATTGTAAGAACTACGTATGGTGCCAGGTGGGTACTGGAAATATCAGGGGGAACACTTTGTAAAGTATTTGATTGTCTAACCACTATGTTGTACACCTGAAACAAACACAAAATATTAAATGTAAATGGTAATTGCAAAAAATAAAAAGTTTAAAAAAAAGTCTCAAATGCACACTCAAAAACATCTTATATATGTTTGACCTCATTCAGAAAGAAGCAAAAATTTAAAAACAGTGAGATGCCTTTCAAACTGGTAAAGATAAAAAAATTAGATAAATCACAGTGATGACAAAAAAAGGAAAGGCCCTTATGCAAAATAACTCATCGAAGCATTATTTATCAACAAAAAATACTAGAAACCATTCATGTATTCAACATTAAAGAATTAGTTAAATATTTTATGGCACAGATGGAAGAAGGAATATGCTTACAAAGTACTTTTTGATGACACAAAACTATTTGTCTTAAGTACCAATTGAAGTGAAAAGCAAAGGATACAAAATACAGGTAACTCCTGTTATCCAAATCTAAGCCACTCCTAAAAATGTGCTGTGCAGATACCAGAAGGCTTTATTGCATTATTTCAAATGGGGGGGGGGGGGAATGTCTCAGCCCATCCAGTACTACCAAATGTCATTAAACAAATCTTATCTATCCATCAAGGATTATTAAATAACAAAGCATTTTAAACATCACTTCTTAGTTAACATTAATTTAAACCATTAATTTGTATGAAATATGCCATAATACTGAACATAACAAATACGAATTATCTTCAACACCGCTGCAAGCATGTACTATGACGTAAATAAATAATGAAGTAACGGGTGAAGAATACACTAACTGGAGAGTGTCCCAAGGTACCTGATCAAAAACAAACACCAGAGCCCATGAAGGGTCAGACTCCTGGGGAACAGAGCACCACCCCCTGGACGACAGAGAGCAGACAGGGAGCACGCCTGTGCTATCAAGTCTGACAGGATGTAAAACATACAAAAGACAGAAAGAAAAAAACACCAGAATGTTACTTCTGAATGCCATCATTATAGTTAATTTCATCTGCTTCATTGCTTGCTATATTATCCATTCTACAGTAATCATATATTATTTTGAAACCACACCAATAAATATTTTACTCTACTATAAAATCAGAGGTTTAAAAAGGCACTTACGAGGTCACACACAGTTAAGAGAAACTGTTTCCCAAATATCCTGTCAGAGAATGACTACGACAGTCAGGGCAGAGAGCTCACATTCACGGGGGAGTCAGCCAGGCGACATTTCGGGTAATACTTCTCCAACACTTCCTTCCTCTCTGGGGCACAACTGCCTCCAGCCTCCCCTGAACCACAGCCTAGTCCTCTTCCTAACTCCGCTTTACCAGCCACGCATCCAGCCTCCCGGTCTCAGGCAGGACTCTCCGTGAAGGCAGCTCGTGACACAGAACCCAGATTCAGAGCAGTGTCCCTGGCCCTGGCGGCTCAGTTGGTGGGTCAACGTTCTATGCACTGACCGGTCCAAGTGGGGGTGCACAGGGGGCGCTGATGGATCGATGTCTCTCTCTCTCCCTCTCCCTTCTTCTCTCTCTAGAGCAGTGGTTCTCAGCCTTCCTAATGCCGCGGCCCTTTAATACAGGTCCTCATGTGGTGGTGACCCTCAACCATAAAATTATTTTTGTTGCTACTTCATAACAGTAATTTTGCTACTGTTATGTCTTAGGAGACCCCTGTGAAAGGGTCGTTCGACCCCAAGGGGTCGCGACCCACAGGTTGAGAACTGCTGCTCTAAAGAAACATCAATTAAACATTGAAAAACAACATTATTTCTACTGCTTTAGGATGTAGTCCATGGCATTTTTAAACAAAAATCTCTATTATGTCTTTTCTTTTTTACTTTTTAAAAAATATGTTTTTACTGCTATTTTTGAGAGCGAGGAAGGGAGAGAGAAATAGAACATCAATGTGAGAGAAATACATCAGTTGGCTGCCTCCCGCACGCCCCCTACTGGGGACTGAGCCTGAAACCCGGGCATGTGTCCTGACCAGGAATTGAACCGGGACCTCTCAGTCCATGGGACAACACTCAATCCACTGGGCTCTATTTGTTTTAAGTTATCATCAATTTAATTTGAAATCTGAAGTTTAAAATCTGTAAAGCATATACCAGGGTTGGGGACAAGAACCTGGAGTTAGTAAATAACACCACATAATTTAAAATTCCCTTTAAATTGTTCTGAAGAGAAAGTTAAATATATTAAACATTACAAAATGTATAAAATTTTAAAATTGAAGTAAAATAGCATGTTACCTGGGTCTGTATTTGTACTTGCGTCCTGACGTTCTATAGCTTTCTTTCTCACAGAGGCCATGAAATGCAGTCCAGCTGAAGTATCAACATCGCCTTGCAGCATTTCTTAAATATAACGATAAAACAGTGGAAGCCATCAATGAGAAGCCAGTACATTCCCAGGAGCCAGCAGCAGGGAGGTGGGGTGTGAGGCGCCAAGCGGTCACCGAAGGGGACTTTGGGAACGAGGTGGCGTCTAAGAGGACTCAAACCAGTAGTGGAGGGCTCCGAGGCCCAGCCCGGGCACCCAGACGTCCTCCGGCTGCTGGCCACCCGGTCACTGGTGAGCAGGGAAGTGATACAGTCAGACCGGTGTTCTAGAGAAGCCATGGCAGCCAGTGTGTGGAACATGGGTTTGAGTGGGTAACACTGAAGTACGGCGACCGGACAGGTGAGGGCGCTGCAGGGAGTAGCTAGGTCCTAGTCACAGTGGGGACGGGAGGAGAGACCTAAGTGGAGAACCACAGAGAAGGGAAAACAGCAAGAACTGGTGATTAACTGGAGGAGGGGTGGGCAGGCAGAGCGCAGGGCGACCTATGCTTTGGTAGTAACCCGAACAAAGACAGAACAAACCAGCCAGAGGGGGAGGGATAACGAATTCAGGCCATACATGCTGTGCGGGAGGGAATTTCCACCCAAATGGAAGTTCAGCAGGAAGTAGAATCAAAATCCAAAGCCTATTACGGGAGTTTGGGGTTCAGATGTGGATTTTCCTGGAAGGTCACCCAGGGATACTGAGTAGAGAAAGAGGATCAATCATGGCATATTATAATATAATAAGAAATACAGCCCTGGCCGGTTTGGCTCAGCGGTTAGAGTGCTGGCCTGTGGACCAGAGTCCCGGGTTCGGTTCCCGCTAAGGGCACGTGCTGCGGCTGCAGTTTGTCCCCACCCCGGTTGGGGTCATGTGGGTGGCAACCACTCAATGTGTCTCTCTCATGTTGATGTTTCTCTCTCTCTTCGCTCTTCTCTCCCTCCTGCTCTATCTGAAAATAAATGCAAAAATGTCCTCGGGTGAGGATAAAATATATATATATATATTTGGTCTTTGTCCTTGGTTCTAAGCACAGACCCTTAGAATTTCCTGAGTGATGGGAGGGTCTTTCATTATTCATGATGAGCCCTCTGGGTCACACCTGAGTTTATGCTACTGCAGTGACTCCTGGCAGCCCCTAGACCAGTGGTTCTCAGCCTTCCTAACGCCGCGGCCCTTTAATACAGCTCCTCATGTGCTGGTGACCCCCAACCATAATCTTATTTTCGTTGCTACTTCATAACTGTAATTTTGCTACTGTTATGTCTTAGGAGACCCCTGTGAAAGGGTCGTTCGACCCCCAAAGGGGTCGCGACCCACAGGCTGAGAACCGCTGCCCTAAGACAGCTTCAGGAAGGGACTGGCCGAGAGGAGCCAACCACGGGATCAGGGGTTCGAACTACCAGCCCACCCACCCTCACCCTGGGAGGAAAGAGTGACTGGAGATGGAGTTCAGTCACCAGTGGTCAGTGCCCTAACCAGTCACGCCTATGTAATGAAACTTTATTTTTATATCCTCACCCAAGAACATTTTTGCATTTATCTTTAGATAGAGCAGGGGAAGAGAAGGAGAAACACTGATGTGAGAGAGACACATTGACTGGCTGCCACCCACACGACCCCACCAGGGCTGGGGACAAACTGCAACTGAGGTACATGCCCTTAGCGGGAACCGAACCCAGGACTCTCCAGTCTGCAGGCCGACGCTCTAACTGCTGAGCCAAACCGGCCAGGGCTGTAATGAAACTTTAAAAAAATCCTGAAACAAGGGCTAAGGGGGCCTCTGGGTTGATGAGAAGTGGATGTGCCAGGAGGGTGCCACATGCAGAGGGTGTGGGAGCTCTCTGCCCTCGGCCACACCTTGCCCTGTGCACCTCGCCCACTTGGCTGTTCCTCAGCTGCATCCTTTGGAATAAAACTGGAATCACAAATGAAGCACTTTTGTGAGTCCTGGAGTTGTTCTAGCAAATTAGCAAACGTGGATGGGGTGGTTACGAGAACCTCCAAATTTGTCGTAGACCAGGAAGAAATGCAGGTGTCTGGGGACCCCATTCAGAGCTGGCATCTGAAGTGAGGAGTCTTTTAGGACCAAGCCATTAACCTGTGGGGTCTGGGTTAACTCTAGCTTATTAGTGTTAGAACTGTATTGAATTACATGACACTCAGCTGGTGTCAGAGAACTGGAGAATTATTGTTGTTTGGAATGACACAATACACACACTCTGGAATACTATGCAGCCATTAAAAATGACACTGTAGAATATCTGGTGATACGGGAAGACATCTATCTCAATGCTAGTATGTAAAAACAAGTAAGTTATAAACAAGTATACATATACATAGGAGTCCAGTGCTGCAATCAGCACATGGTATTTATGTGCGTGTGTGTGTGTATTTGCAGATATGTTATGAGTAGGGATATTCAGAAAATAAACCCTAAAAGAATACACCACTGGTTATTTCGACAGAAAAATTATGAAAAATTTTAACATCCTTATTCCCTATTTGTATTTTCTCCAGTGAACATAGATTACCTTTAAGAAGAAGAAAAAAAAAAAAAATTATTAAGACTGAAACAGATTTTAAGACAAGCGAGTGGGAAAGGGGAGTACCAGGTGGATTAGGAAGCTGTGAGACAGCAGCTAAGCAGGTCAGTTAGGAGACAACAGCCGTCTGTTGCTGTTGGGTCTGTTGCTTAGACGCAGACGCCAGACGCAGGGCCAGGACGTCAACACAGGGCCAGGGGCCAGGGCAGGGACGAAGTGAAGGGGGCAACAGAGGAGAGAGATGAATCAAGGATACTTTCAAGGTAACAGTCTTGACCTGTCAAAAGATTGGTGATATCAAACAGAAAGACGCCTGTTTAAAATCTGGGCATGTTCCATTTCAGGTGGAAGTAGAAAAGAAAGATGAGAGAGGCGTAGATATCTGTCTGTCATCAAAATAATTTCAGAGCTGACATCATGTGAGTGATCAGCCTTCCATGCACAGGAGTGTCTGAGTCTGTGCATGAAAACATACGAGAAAGCCTTGGGAATATACACATTCAGTGGCAAGAAAGAAACTGACCAGTTGAAGAAAAAAAATAATGTACTATCAGCAAGTTCTCTTTTCTGAACGGATTCCTTTACTTTATTATTATTATTTTTTTTTAGAGAGAGAGAGAGAGAGAGGGAAACCTCGATGTGAAGGGACACATCGAGTGGCTGCCACCCGCACGACCCACCAGGGCCGGGGACAAACTGCAACCGAGGTAAAGGCCCTTAGCGGGAACTGAACCCGGGTCTCTCCGGACCGCAGGTGGACACTCTAACCGCTGAGCCAAACCGGCCAGGGCGGATTCCTTTACTTTAATGTGCATGTATTTTCTACGATGAATTCCACCCCAGGCATGTTCTCCCATAATTTCCTTCTAGGTCTTAAATATCAGTATGTTATTCGAGATTCTAATTAATTACATTGCTCTACTGCACTGGTTGGAAAACTAGCTCTGTAACAGGCCGGACAGTAAATGCTTCAGGCTTCATGAGCCACACGGTCCCTTTCTGCAACAACCGGACCCTGCTGCAGCGTGAAGGCCATCCCAGCCAATGCGCCAGCATGGGCATCGCTGTTCCAATGCAGCTCGATGTACCGACACAGGCTTGCATGCTCCTTGGGTAACACGCGCGCACACACACACACACACCCCATCTCGTCAAAGATCACGTGAAAATAATTTAGTCTCATTTTTATATACATATTTAGATGCCTAGACAGCTGATTTTAACTCTGAACTCAGACATTACATTAATCATGCATATACATACCGAGAGGAACTTCAAAGTCATCCAAAGGCTGGGGACCGCGATGTTCTCGTTGCTCCTAAATGAATCCCCAAATGGTCAATCTAAGATTAACTCAATGACATTTATTATTTCAAAACAAATATTTAATAGCTAGGAGAATTATTAGTTCTTAGGAATAGGTTCAAATCCCCTAATTCTATCTAGAAATATTTATTTACTCTATCCAATTATTTACTCTGTCAAAGTAACTCTACAAAGGAGTTCACGAAAGACAAGTCAGACAATAAAAAAGGAGCATCACCAACTTCATGCAGTTACTCAGTGAGGATGTGCAATTCTCTCCCGCAGAGCAGTCTCAGCTCTTAGCCCCCTGCTCACCTCAGAATTAGCCACAGACTCAGCTAAGCCCCCAGACATGCTGTGGAGGACTTCGTGAAAAAGTGTGCCTTTTCAACATTCACGGGAACAAAATGTTTCAGTTTACTTAATTTGTGGTTGCATAAATAGGTAAACCGGATCACCAAATTTAGAAGGAATGTCTGAAAAGATCTGATTTAAAATATCGGCCACATAATAAACCTGTACTGGACATCTTGGTGGTACGCGGAGGAGGTAAGTGAAACAGACACAGAGAAACCCAGGGAACACAGATTGTGCATTAAGATGTCACATAGAAAAAGCAGAGTGGTGTCACATCTTGGAAAGCCACACGGCAGACGCTCTAAACCACACACTGTGCAACTGCGTCTGCAGGGACGGGACGGGCGCCGCAGGGAGCCCTGTACTTAACGACTCCTAGGGTCACACTCGGGCGCCCAGGCCTCCCCCCTCGGGCACGCGCAGACGGGGCGGGCAGCGTGTGTACCGTGGGTTTCGCAGCTACTTCGGCGGCGCTGGCGCTGGTGACCGCGCCCTGGGGCTGGAGAGTCTCGCTGGGTTTCTCCAGTCGCCCTTCCTGCAGCTCTTTCTTGGCTCGCCGGCTTCGCCTGTGAAAACATGCACGTCAAGTGTGCTTTTACTGGGTTAGTAACATCAGTTTTTCATTTGTATATTTTTTAGGAAGACAGTTATAAAAATCATGTCACTAAATTATTTTCAATGGCATTTAATTAAATTAGCCAGATAGTCTGCTACAATATAAGCCCAAGTCGGAGACACATGACGGTCACTGCCAGCTCCTGTGCTAGTGAACCGACTTTCTGAGGAAGTCACTGGAACCTCAGGCCAGAGTCACCCCCGCAGGCACAGTCCGACCCCTCTCTGCAGACCCTGGGCGGCGGGCCTGACGCCTGCGTCCGCCTGTTTGAAGGTGGCCGCTCAGTCACCCCCGTGAGAGCCAGCAAGGGGGAGAGGAATACTGGGGAAGATGGGAGGAACCATTTCTGGACCAGAACACCGGTAACAGGATTCAGGGTCACAAACGCAAAACTGTTTGCTAGGCTCAGCGACAGTCTCCTGGCCGATGCCCACACTGAGTGCCCGTCACGAGCGAAACAGCACCAGTGCCCTTCCCGGCGCCCGGCCTGCCTTCTCACACTCCTCGTGCCGGGCCAGCCCAGCCCGCGCCCCTGCTTCCGGTGAGGGTCTGGGGGACACGCCAGGCGAGTACAGAGGGCGCCCGTCCGTGTACGGGACAGCTCGTGGGGCGAGGCACGAGACAGCAAACGTCCGTCTGTGCTGCAGGACGGCTCGTCCTGTGACCGGGAAACAAAGGCGCCCTGCAGCCTCCGAGGCCAGCACATTCTCAATGAAATGGAGAAAATGACAGTGTTTCCCTCCCAGCGCGGGAACGTTCCCCATCACAGACGTGTTCCAACGCACGACCCTGACGAGGAAACGGAACACGTGATGGCGTCTGGGTGGAAGCTGAGCTCACTTCCACTTCGTATCGGGGTTACTATACCCACAAACCCAGCAGGGATGTGACATTCTCAAACCAAATGTCACTGAAACTTGCCTTTTCTTGCTGTCCCTTCCTGGTCCGACTTCAGGAGGCTCTGTTTTGCTCTGTACAAGCTGAAGGTGCCCAGGATTGCCTCGTCCGAACAGCTCACGTGCTGGTTTCTGTCGGCTTTGTTTAAATGCATTGAGGTTTTCAACTGGAATAAGTTGTGGGGTTTTGTACTATAAGAAAGAAATAAAGCGTATTAATTTAAAATTACATACCTTGATTATGCAATATGTTAAAATACTGGGGAAAACATCTGTGTAAATGAAACTAAGATGTGCAAGAGACGTCCACGTCACAGGTAAACGGATCAGGAAGGGAAGATGAGCGAATGATACTGGGGTGCTGGCCGTTCCAACGGGGTTGCCCTATTTCAAAAGTTAAGCTAGAAGTCCTCATCTTAATTCCTCTTCCATACCAGAAGTCTTACTTCTTATCAATAAAATTATGTTGAGCATTTGATTTAAAATTCTTTGGAACAGGGAGGGTGCCAAAGGGCGGAGACTGGACGAAACAGATCAGCAATGCGTTGATAACCAGCTGCGGATGGAAACATGGGGATTCATGATACTATTCTAATAAAAAAATGTCTTTGAATCCTTCTCATAATGTCTCTTTTCTACTCCTTTAAGCCTTTCTTTTCTGTTCACAATATGTTCAGAAGAAAAGAAGGCATGGTAAATATTTTTTCTAAGGAAATGACCATTGCTTTTCCCAGTACCATCTTCAAATCTTTTTTTTAAATTGAATTTACTGGGATAACATTGGTTAATAAAATTATATAGGTTTCAGGTGTACAATTCTAGAACACATCATCTGTATATTGCACTACGTGTTCACCACCCCAAGTCTCCTTCCATCACCTGTACCCCCCTTTATCCTCCTCTACCTCCCCACCCTCTTTTCCCCCATCTTCAAATCTTAAGAGTGCACCGGAGAATGAATCTCAATTACCTTCCCATGATGGTACTAACAACTTACAAAATTAGAACCTAAACAATTTGGGTTCCATAAAGTGAAGGTTTTGATGGGTTTATTAAGATGCAATCTTGGTGTGTTAAGTACTTTAAAAAGACGCCATTTTTTAATATGTGTAACCATTTATAGACCTAAATCTACTTAGCAGTTTTAACGTGTAACAGATCTGAAGGCAGTCATATCACAATCACTAGGAACCTCAAACAATGCTCACTCCCTCTCCACACACACATGCAGACACATGCACACACACGCACACATGCAGACACACACAGATGCAGACACACGCACACATGCAGACACACACAGATGCAGACACACATGCATAGACACATAAATATACGTGTGCACATACACGCAGACACACATGAACACACACAGACCACATATGCACGCATGCACACACACACATACAAGTACTACTCATTGTATTTTACTACTAATTTCTTCTGTGAGTAGAAGAAACGTATGTGGTTCAGCAAATTCTGGTATTGATGTATAAGAAAGATCTAAAACCTTTAAAATACCCAAGTATCATTTTAAATGGGATTTTTACATTATTGTCAATAACAAAAGCACTATTTTTACAAAAGAAATGTGTAAAAGCTTTTCACTAAGTGCGCAGTATTTATAGTATGAAAACACAGGATGAGCTTTTGCATCACCCTGCAACAACAATTACCAGATTTTCCTGAGACAGACATGAAGGAAGTAAGGAGAGTCCTGGGTATTTTCTCTCTTCTGTTACAGTTCTAACAGGTATTGCGGGAACTGCAGCCGGTGGCCTTGAGACAGAGGAAAACGTGTAGTGGGGTCTAAGCTGCAGGTGCAACAGTGGAAATCCAAAGGAATTCTGAGGAGACAACGCAAGGGGCCCTGGCTTAACATCAAACACGTTTCCTGGTTTTGTAAATACTGGAGAGTCCTGCAGAGGTGTCACGTTTTCTTGTCCAACACACTGATCCAGGTCCACGGGCTTCGGGCCTTCCACCTTCACACCCGCCTTTCCTGCGGCCTCAGCGTCACGCCGGCCCCCACGCCCAGGGGCCGCTGAGGCTCTCTGCGGCAGCGGCGGCTGGGAGGCCTCCCCTGAGCCCCACGCCTCTCTGGGGCGCTGACACCTGCAGGGAGCCGGGACCCTCTCCACACGGAAGGAAAGGGGCGGGAATCCACGCTTAGGCTGGAACTGGAGCAAAGGAAATCCATCACCAGGTCTGGGCGTGTGTGCCGCTGGGAGCAGTCTCGGCATCGTGGGCAGGGCAGGTGTGGACAGAGGGCGGAGGTGTGCATGTCCAGCAGCGGCTGGGGAAAACGAAGTGGTCGGTAAGCTTTCAGATGCCGCAGGCAGTCGGCTCTCCTGGGGCTGACGGGGAACACTGCTGTGTGGGACATTCTGGAAGAGAACAAACACTATTGTGTAAGTTGAAAATACCTTACAAACTCCTTATTTTGTACATGATGTTCAGTATGTTGAGGAGGGGATGGGATGTGATAACTGCCAAAAACGTTATTTACTCAAATAACAAAAAACCACCACCAAACTAGTGGGACAACTTTCATGGTATGGTTGATGGTGTCACCTGTAGGTTTCCATCGCGACTCCGCTCGGACTGCACGAGTCCCGGGTGGCAGGGCGTGCCCTTCCTGCCGGGCTCTCTCGTGTGCTGGCCCGTGGACGGTGGGGAGACGAACGGCCTCTCCTGCGGATGTCCCCTGGTGTCTTCAGCACCACTGCTCCCTCCGGTCAGGTTTGGTACGTGGCTTCCCACCGAACGCGCGGACTGAGACTGCTGTACCAATCGGTGTGTGTCTGGGACGTTAGCAACAGACAACCCTACTATTTGCATTAGACTCAGAAAGTTGATCTGTTGCAACTACAATAAAATAAAAGTGAAAGAACATCTGAAAATACACTGAAAAAAATCTGAGGAATCACCAACAATCAGCTGAGTTTTCCACCACAGTCACTCCTGTGTCTCAGTGTTTGAGACCCATGAACGCTGAGCAGGACGCACAGCTGGGAGCGAGTTTTTAAAAGAGGATAAAAGAACAGCTTCTGGTGTTCAAGGAGCTGTCACTGGGAACAGACACTCATGAAGGAGACCAGGACCAAAGCACTCTACATAAACATCCCGGGGTCATAAAGGAGTGATCTAGTGGAGCAGAGTGAAGGTCATTGAAGAATTATTCCTACAATGGGTGTATCTGAACAGGTTTTCAGGAAAGGAAATAGCAGAGATTAGCAAACAGGTCAGGGGTGAGGACTCGCCGCGGAAGGCTGACCGGGTAAACGTGAAAAGCACGCCCCAGTGGTTAACAAACTTCGCTGCACATCGGAATCACGGAGCAGCATTAAGTCCCAAAGGCCAGGCCACACCCACACCAGCGAAAGCAGAATGTCTGGGGATGGGAGCCGGCATTAGTGTTTTAAGATGCCCAGGTAGCTTTTTCCAGCCTGGGCCCAGCAGAATGGCTCCAGCAGAGATGTGTGGTGAGAAGGGCCGTTCTGCCAGGAGCCAGGTCGTGACCAGAGAACGCAGCATCAGCGTCAAGGAGGGCACCCATGGAGTGGGTTCCGAGAAGCACGCCCCTCGGACGCGCACAGGGATCTGGAAATCTGCCGTGGAGGAGAGGAGAGGAGAGCTCCAGGTGTGCACACTGACACCAGGCTCCACAAAGCTGGGCCACAGGAGCAAGGACTGTCTCAGACCGCGTCTGGGGGCGGTCGTCCAGAAAACACACGGAGGATGAAGAGTCACCAAACAAGCTCTATATGTCGTCACCTACGTATCTGTCAACACTTTCAAAAATCTACAAACAGTTCATGTGGATGAGAACTAACTGATTGTCAAATAAAGTTAGAAAAAATAAAAATGATGGCCAGGTGATTTCAATGTGCAAAAAGCTTCGGAACCATGATCACATCTTGGCTGAGAGGGAACAGGGAAGTTGTAGCAGCCACAGGGAGAAGGTAGGTTAACACAGCAGCAATCAAACTTCAGCCTCAGAATCACCCAGAGTACCCGTCACAGACTCTGCTCGGCCCCAGCCCAAGCTGCTCATCTCAACAAGTCGGGGATTGGGGCCTAGGAGTTTGTATTTCTGACATCCAAGTGATGCTGATGTGACTGGTCCAGGGACCACACTGTGAGAACTAAAGGACCTGGGAGAGTATGGCGTGAAATGAGGGAAAGTAAAAGCTGGTTGTGGGGTCTTTCAAGCCCAACAGAAGCATTTGCGCTTCGTAAAACAAACCAATAAACGCTGCAGGTTAAAAACATGTAGGTCCCCTTCAATTATAAAAGAAATGCATGTTTATTACAGGAGAAAAAAGCATTAAAAAATAAAAATCAATCATAATCCTATCCCCAAAGATAAGTGAAATTTTTTGTGTTTCACTATCTGTATTTTTAAATCAAGATTTCAAATAGTATACAAATTTGTACCTAAAATTTAAACAGGACAATATAGTAGTAAAACAACAACTGAAGAAGAATGTCCTAGAAAATGCACATAGAAGATACTGGAATTATGAAGATCTAAGACTCCATCTAAAGTTGGCAACAGTTACAGAAATAGCAAGTGACTGTGCTGACATGTGGGGCAGAAGAATCAAGAGGGTGCCACCCAAAACGCTGGCTACAGGTAGAGAAGGAAACAGGGATGGCTCTCTGAGACAGTGATTCTTTTTCTTTTCATTCTCACCTGAGGATATATATATATATTTTTGCATTTATCTTCAGATAGAGAGGGAGAAAAAGAGAGAGGAAGAGAGAGTGAAACATCAATGTGAAAGCGACACATTGACTGGCTGCCACCCACACGACCCCAACCGGACTGGGGACAAACTGCAACCGAGGTACGTGCCCTTAGCGGAAACCGAACCCAGTACTCTCCAGTCCGTGGGCTGACACTCTAACCCAGCGGTTCTCAACCTGTGGGTCACGACCCCTGTGGGGGTCAAACAGCCCTTTCACAGGGGTCGCCTAAGACATAACAGTAGCAAAATTACAGTTATGAAGTAGCAACGAAAATAATGTTATGGTTGGGGGTCACCACAACATGAGGACCTGCACTGAAGGGTCGCGGAACTAGGAACCACAGCACGGCGGAGCCAATTCGCCAGCGCTGAGACAGTGATTCTTAATCTTTGTGAGCCTCCAAGTTATTTGCAGAACTGGTTAAATATACAGGGTGGTGACAAAGTCCCGAGGTAATCCAAAATGCTTCTGGAACTTGAAGCTGTTACAACAGTATGCTATTAAATGGAACAGCTCTGAGAAGAATAAGAACAAAATTAGTTTCAGTGAGTTTCATGGGACAGTGGAACATGCGGAAAAAGTATCTCATCAGGGCCTATAGGTTCAAAGAAATCAATCACCAATAAAAATGTACATTACATCACATGAGTAGAGAATTAGATTTGAGGGCAATGAATGTTTAAGGAACAACGCAGGAGAGCAAAATAATTTCAAAATTTGGGTAGACAGAGAAAAAGATAAGCCAGGTGAAATGAGATGAGGGGAGTCAAAGCGAAAAGTCAAATGCAGCCCAGCCAGTGTGGCCCAGTGGACTGAGCGCTGTCCCGCGACTGAGAGGTCCTGGTTTGATTCCCGGTCAGGGCTCCATCCCCAGTAGTGGGCACGCAGGAGGCAGCCGATCGGTATCTCTCTCTCACATATCGATTTCTCTCTCTCTCTCTCTTTAAAAAAAATAAAATAAAAACATATTTTTTTTACAAAAGTACTTTCAGCCCTGGCCGGTTTGGCTCAGCAGTTAAAGTGCTGGCCCGCGGACCAGAGAGTCCCGAGTTCGGTTCCCACTAAGGGCATGTACCTTGGTTGCAGTTTGTCCCCGGCCCCAGTTGGGGTCATGTGGGTGGCAGCCAGTTGATGTGTCTCTCTCACATCGATGTTTCTCTCTCTCTCTTCCTCCCTCTCTCCCTCCGCTCTATCTGAAGATAAATGCAAAAATGCCCTCGGGTGAGAATAAAAAAACAAAAGTACTTTCCAATGCAGCCGGCAATTGCCAAATGAGCCACAGTCTGGTTGAGGACAAGCACTGTGATGTGGCAGGCGGTGTTAGAGAATGAACTCTGATACCTTTGAGTAGGAGTCCACTGGGTGGGTTTGACCACCTCCCACCTCACTTTTATCCTAACCTCTGCTTCTCAAAATGCTCAGTAAAAACTCATTGTGAGTTCTGAACTTCTGAAAACAGTGCCTGAAGCAGATACAGGGCGATGTAATTTCCACTGTCCATTTCTGGAAGCTGGTTTATATTTAAAATCCTTACATACACATCCTGTGCAGACGTACGTATCAGCATGGACATGTGCTCACCTGAACTAGTTTGAACATCTCATCTTGGAGCATCTGCCGAGCAGAATCAGAAGAAACTGGGACCTGTGCCCCGGGTTCGTGCCTCTCAGTGGGCTGGGGAGCTGGCACAGGTGTTGTTTGTGAAGCAACATGGACTCCATTTGACACCAAAGGTGGATCTGAGGAAGGTTTCTCTTTAAATGCAGAGATCGGAGCACTACATGTGGAAGCACATGAACAGAAATCACACATTAATCAATAAAAAAAACCAAATTAGATGTCTGAATATTTTGATCCTACATCTTTCTTCCACTTTAAAAGCTTTCTGCACATTTTCAGGAAATTTAAACCCTAACGCCTAGCTCTCTGTACCCACCACCAGACACATATGTCACCAGCACAGTTTTACTCATGTGAGTGTTTCCATTTGGACACGTGCTGTCCCCTTCCTGGCATCACAACCCAGAGCAGGTCACACGTGCACTGTACTTGCCTGGTCCCTGTCAGCATCTGAGTTTGAAACCTGTGCATCACTCTAATCAGCCGTACACCTATGTACTTTGGTTTAGGTATATGTGGGTTTTTTTTTTTATTTTACTAAATTTAATAGCCCTGAATGGAAGAAAATAGAGAATGTGCCCTGGACAGTTTTGTTCAGCAGTTAGAGCATCGGCCCGCAGACCAGAGACCCGCGTTCGGTTCCTGCTAAGGTCACGTACCTCGGTTGCAGTTTGTCCTCGGCCCTGGTTGGGTCGTGTGGGTGGCAACTAGTTAATGTGTCTCTCTCACATCGATATTTCTCTCTCCCTTCCCCTGTCTCTCCCTCCTGCTCTATCTAAAGATAAATGCAAAAGTGCCCTCGGTGAGGATAGAAAAAGAAAACAGGGACTGTATGGGTTAAAACAATGTTTAGTTCTAAGATGGGTGGAGCAAACTCTCACTGATCATCATTAAAGGTGAAATAACAGTATTATGAATATTTCATTTCCAAACAAATTACAGAGTTTATATTTACAATTAAACCCTAATCAACAAAAGAATATCAAAGTGTGTTTTTTTACTTTTTAAAAAAATATGTTTTTAGTCGGCCAGTGTGGCTCAGTGGTTGAGCATGACCCATGCACCACGAGGTCACTGGTTCGACTCCCGGTCAGGGCACATGCCCAGCGTTGTGGGCTCAGTCCCCAGTGGGGGGCATGCAGGAGGCAGCTGCATGGGTCGACGCTCAACCACTGAGCCACACCAGCCGAGCTGCATTTACATTTATTTGGGCTTGCTCTCATTTCTTTTCAGCAATATTTGCCTTTTATCAAGCTTCTAATAGCCTCAGTAACAAAACTTTATTTGGCAAATCCATGAAAAACAGGCATTAAAACTGCCATGCCTGTTCTACGACAACACTGATCATTCTTGCTTCCAACAAGTAGCATGGAGATAAATTCTAATTACGGAAGATGTTTCTAAAATAAAGCTGTGCCACCTTATCCTCCTTTCCAGCAGGATTTCTGCAGGCTGAACACACCGTCCAACCCTGCGGAAGACACCCCACCGACAGAGCTGGCTGAGTCTGTTCCGAGAACTAAAGCATTTTGTGTGCTGTTAGAAATCTGCTAGAGGCTGAAAATGAGCAACAACCACATCTGTCAATGATACAGCCACTACTTTTTCAGGAAAGCCTGTTCTAAATTAGTTCCTGTGTGTCTTTAAAACACCTGTTCAAGGAAAATCTTTCAATAATAAACTCAAAGGTATCAGAAATGTGTACCTGCGTTGCTTTTCAAATGCTTCATGTTGCTTTCACTTTGTTCTCTTAGTTTTTGGTGAAAACAGTTAGTAATTATTTTTAAACGGTACAGTAGGCGTTATTTGATTCTCTTATCTATTTTAAAACAGGATAAAATGATACCATGTGCAAAAATTCTTACCTAGAAATTTCTGAACTTGTGGCAACACAAAATGAATGAGGAATGATGTGTTCAGGATTTGAAAAGGCTTCGATCATACTATAATTAAAGATTAACAGTCCATTAGCAACCAAGAAATTCTTCACATTATCTAAGGTACAGGTAATTTAATGCTTAGCCATCTAAGAGTCTAAACATCCTCTAATTAATCCTCTCCAATGTTAGCTCATAATTACAATCTGTTTACATTTGTTGCCATAGCAATTAGTAACAGGTTCAAACAAAAGCAAGGAACATGTCTGGATGGCTTAACATAACAACGTGGACCCTGCTGACTACTCAGCAACAAAAGTAATAAGACCTCAAACAAGGCTGGAGAAATGAGGTCAGGTGGGCCCTCAGGTGTCACCTGTGGAGAGGCAGGCCCTTTGCTCAGGACACTACACAGCCCATTATCACATTCGAAACTGTAGAGACTAGTTTGTTTTACAGTAATATCTACATGACTTGTAAAGGCACACAACATCAAACAGATTCCTTTTGTTAATTATCCACAAAAGAAATGAACAAAATTTCTATGTTGAGAAGTGAGAAAATCTAATTATGTTGCTCTCTTATGCAAGGTAATTCTAACATTCTAAAATTCCAAAAATTCAGCTCTCCTTAAAACAGTAATAAGCTAGCCAGCAGAGTATATGTGTATCACAGCCTCATGAACAGTGTACGATAGTTAAACAACAGTGAAAGATTTTATATATATATATAAAATGATTCATAATGGTTCTTTATTTGACCCAATAAAAATGGAATCAGTATAGAAGGGTGGTTCCTTAATTAGCTGCTGAATAAACCTTGGTCCATCCACAGCTAACTTTTACTTTGATAAGGCTGCGAGCGATGAGAACAAAAAGGCTTGTCAGGTATCTTTATTTCTATTGAGACTTAAGAGCATAACATTTACTAAAAATCCTCATTTACCACTGCCATGAATTCAAGTTACAATTTCACTAGGAACACCAGGCCACCATCAAGTATATGTAGTAAATTATAAGAAACAGTGACTCCCTGATGAGCCTGAGAGCCTTCGCCCTGTTCCCCGAGGGTAAGCATGGCTGCTACAATCACCTCCACACTCTGCCCCTTACCCGTTCTGTTCTGTTGATTTTTTCTCCATGTATGTCTCCAATGGTTCTTCCCATGGACACTGAACCTCTCCCATGGAATGCTGTTAAAACGAACAGTATCAAAAAAGAAAAGAAGGGAAACAAATCGGTATTACTGTCTTAGGTACCTTGATTTTGACATCTGCCACTCACCCAGAGTGACAACATTGTCAACGCAAGTAAGAAGCCAAAACATTAAAATGTAGGCCTGGTCCCGCTGACTGCTCTTCACACTGTCTGAGTTGCATTTGGTCATCACCCTGTGCCACTAAGCATGTTAAAAGTACAATGTACTTACAAATACATTTATATGCAGCCATCGCTACATAAGTAAGTACACTGTGAGAACAACAACAAAGTCAGGAAAATTAATCCCCCTTTTTTTAGTATGTTTTTATTGATTTTTTAGAGAGAGGAGAAGGGAGAGAGAAACAGTGATTGGCTGCCTCCCGCGTGCCCCCTACTGGGGATTGAGCCTGCAACCTGGGCATGTGCCCTGACCAGGAATCAAACTGGGACCTCTCAGTCCATGGGGCGACGCTCAATCCACTGAGCCACACTGACCAAGCAAAAAGGAATTGTTTCAATAATCAGAAATATCTTCGTTCTACCTGGAAATCCAGTGTATCGTATATAGTTATCGTATACAGAAAACAAATCGTACATAAAAGTACATAGATGTGCAAAAACTGCACACTACAGCTGAGTTATATATTTTAAGTAAAGAATACCTTCACCACTCTTGATTACATTAATTTGGTACACAGTTTACGACATGAAAATCTCATTGCCTGAAATCAGAAGACATCTTGCTAATAACAGAAGTTCAGTGAAAGAAAAATGCTGCGTGACGTGGAGAACTGTAATCCACGCTATTTGTTGACTTACTTCTTCTAAACGCGGTGGTAACGTCTGGGTGTAAGGGACACGACTGGGACTTTCAGGACTTCCGACGGGGCCTTTGGCTTCTTCTGCACAGAAACAAGGAGGGAGAGAAAACTGACCATTTGAAAAGTGATACTTTTGAGACAGTTCAGGAGTATTACAGGAAAAATATAATGGCAGGAATAGTTTATATCGTTCTTATAGAAATATTTTTTAAAAACACTTGGAGACAACCCCTCTCCATCAGGTGAGTCTGAGCTAAGTCTTGGAGGCCTCTGTCAGTGTGTACAACCCCGCGAAAGCACCGAGCACGTCTTTGCTAAGGAAGCCCGCGAGGAGAGTTCACAGACTGGACCACAGAAGAGGCCGCAGCAATACACAAGCCAGGCAAAAGGCCCAATCATTTAAATTCAGGTTAGGAGTTCAAGTCTTCAACACTTCACTTATAAATATTGAATTCTGTTTTAATTGTAGGTTTTAAGCTACTATAAACATACTAATTTAGATATAAGATTAAGTAAGTTATCACAGACAGTCATTCACCAATTTCAAATTAATAAAGCTAAACAAAAAGATTAGCCAAATGAACTGACCTTCATGGTCTGAAAGGTATGTATTAATTTCTTCCTGTGTAAATGTTTCTCCTCCTAGAAGATCCTCATCAATGTCAGTATCATCAGTGACAGAAATAATCTCATCATTGGTTTCTTTTATTTCAGGAGTTTTGGCTTCAGTTGGCATTCTATTGACAAAAATGAAGCAGTTAAAATTATCACTCATTCTTGGAAACAAAGAGCTTGCTCTTGATTGATTTAGTTTATTGAAAAAGAACAAACTTAGTTTTTATATTTATAAAGTCATTTGTTTTTTATTTGTTTTTTTATCCTCACCCAAGGACATTTTTGCATTTATCTTCAGACACGGCAGGAGGGAGAGAGGGAGGAAGAGAGAGAGAGAGAAACATCAATGTGAGAGACACATCGAGTGGTTGCCACCCACACGACCCCAACCGGGGCCAGGGACAAACTGCAACCAAGGTACGTGCCTTTAGCGGGAACTGAACCCGGGACTCTCGGGTCTGCAGGCCAACACTCTAACCGCTGAGCCAAACTGGCCAGGGTAAGTCATTTGTTTATTAACCATGTCTGGTCCACAGTAGAAGCTCAATAAAAGGTTGCTCAATGCATGGCTAAACTTATCTAAATTTGCAGGTCTCACAAACGAATCTCTCTTCTATCAAGGCTTTGGTCTTAGGATTCAAAGATAGATTACTCATCGCATTGCTTCACATGTAAAAATGGAATAAATTATTAGTTCAACTTCCTCTGACTTAGCAAATCAATTAATGTAATAAAGGATCTCTCAAGATGAATTAGCTCCTCTCTCAGAAGATAAAAACTAGGCTGACGGGAGAAACATAATTTGCAATAATTGTTCAAGAACTTGAGAAAGTTCGCCCTTCCTGGTTCTCTGGTTCAAAGACGTGCTTATTCCTTTAGCTTTCGAGGGTTCGAGTCTTCCCTTTAGGCCCAAACAACATTGAACAAGGTAGCATCCTTTGGGAAGAAGGCAACTTACTTCGTGATGCTTTGACGAGATTCACTGTGAGCATCTCCTTCCTCGGGCCCCTGCTGCATGGATCCTGCCTCAGCGCGCCCAGCACCCGTCTTGCACTCGCCCCTAACGTGGAGCCCACTCTGGGGCCCAGTGTGCGGACGCTCCTGCACCGAAAACAAGCCAGTTGTGGTATTTACACTGCATTACTGAATGCCATGCTTTTCATTATGCTTTTACATTGTTAATACTTCCTACAAAACTTCTTCTGGTTTTTAGTCCTTTGTCAAGTATAGAGTGCACATCTACAACTCAATCTTTTTCTTTTTAAAATAAATTTTCTTTACTAATTTTAGAGAGCGAAGAAGGAAGAGGGAGAAAGATACAGACATCGATGACAGAGAACATCAACTGGCCGCCTCCTGCATGCCCCCCACTGGGGATCGGGCCCACAACCTGGGCATGTGCCCTGACTGGGAATCGAACCAGTGACCTCTTGGTGCATGGACTGATGCTCAACCACTGAGCCACAGCAGCCGGGCTACAACTCAATCTTTGATGCTGAAGCAATGATCAAGTCTTTATTCCACCTGGGGAAAAAAAAAAATACCTGACTGCCTAAATAGTATTCAAAAGAAATCACTCTTGCAAATTTGTAAGGTATATCATCAATGTTTTCAGGCCACAGAACAATAGCAATAAAATATGAAGTTGTATATGCACGTATGCATGAACAATGGACATGGAAAACAAAGCTGAAGACAGGGTGGGGTGGGTGGGGGGAAAAAGAGAAACATCTGTAACAAAAATAAATAAATTAAATTAAAAAAATGTGAAGTTGTTTTCATTTAATTCTCTTTGATACTATAAAGACATTTTGTAATTACTTAAAAATGACACAGCAGGCAAAAATATATGCAGCTAAAAATACAATGGATGTAAATCTTTTATCTCTTACTTAGATATTTAGGTATGCACTACTAGAAACACAAATTTCAGTGACAACAAATATCACAGTCTCTTATAAACTACCTTAGGATAACAAAAACTGATCTAAAAGTAAAAATCTACCAAAAAACTCACAAATCCCTTCATCCTAGAATAAAACATTTTTGAATGAAGGTAATTTAAAATAGAACAAATGCGGACTTCCGGTCAAGATGGCAGGTAGGTAAACACAGTATCGCGTCCTCCCACAACCACATCAAAGTTGCAACTAAACTACAGAACAACCATCATTCAAAACCGCCTGAAATCCAGCTGAATGGAAGCCCTACAACTACGGGATTAAAGAAGCTGCATCGAGACTGGTAGGAGGGGCGGAGGGGACAGGCTGGTCCCACGCCCACGGGTGGCGGATAAAATCAGGAGGACACCTCAGCTGGGAAGGTCCTCCCTGAGAACTGAGAGGTCCCCGTCCCACACCAGGAGCCCCGCTCAGGGTTCTAGTGCCAGGAAGAGAATCCCCATCACTTCTGGCTGGAAAAACCAGCGGGAACTGAAGCTCAGGGAAGCTGAGGTGGCTGGAGCCCCGGGCAGCTCATTAAAGGGCCCGCGCATGGACTTATCGGACTCTCTCCCTCTAAGCTTAGAGGGGAGGCAGCTTGAGGGGCACCAGGACATACAGGGAAGAACTGAGCTGTTTGGCATTGGAGTGAGGGCTGGAGAGGGGGCTTTCTCCAGGACAAATGTGCTGTCAGAGGCCTTAGTTCCTTTGGTGAGCCCTTCCCTGGGGTGGCAGACAGCCACCATATCTGGGACTCCTGCAACTTGGCTCACACTGGATGCCCCGCCCCACCCAACTTTCAGGCCCACCCAAGCTGTTGCCAGTTGCTTAACCACAGGATTGGCCTGTCTTGGATCTTTTTTCAGGTTTTCCTAAATTCATTCAAACAAGTAGCATCTGGTCCCAGCTAGCCCGATACCTCCCGTTAAGTAATACATAGAAACAAACAAAGGGAGGCAGCCAAAATGAGGAGACAAAGAAACAGGTCCCAAATGAAAGAACAGAAAAAATCTCCAGGAAAAGAACTAAGCAAAATGGAGATAAGCAACCTAACAGATGCTGAGTTCAAAATACTGCTTATAAGGATGCTCAATGAACTTAGTGAGAACCTCAGCAAACTTAGTGAGGGCCTCAAGAGCATAAAAAAGGACCAGTCAGAAATGAAGGATGCAGCTCGGCCCATGTGGCTCAGTGGATGAGCATCAACCCATGCACCAAGACGTTGCTGGTTCAATTCCCAGTCAGGGCACATGCCCAGATGGTGGGCCCGATCCCCAGAGGGGGCATGCAGGAGGCGGCCAGTCAATGTTCTCTCTCATCTCTCTCCCCCTCTCACTTTCTCTCTCTAGAATCAATCAATAAATAAAAATTGTTTTAAAAATGAAGGATGCACAGTCAGAAATGAAGGAGGCACCCAAAAGACATATGAAGAAATGCTCAACATCACTAATCATCAGAGAGATGCAAATTAAAACAACAATGAGGTATCACCTCACACCTGTCAGAATGGCCGCCATCAACAAATCATCAAACAACAAGTGTTGGCGAGGGTGTGGAGAAAAGGGGACTCTAATACACTGCTGGTGGGAATGCAGACTGGTGCAGCCGCTATGAAAAACAATATGGTGCTACCTCAAAAAAATTAAAAATTGAACTTCCATTTGACCCAGTGATCCCACTGCTGGGAATATACCCTAAGAAGCCTGAAACACCAATCAGGAAGAATATATGTACCCCCATGTTCATAGCAGCACTATTTACAATAGCTAAGATCTGGAAACAGCCCAAGTGTCCACCAGTAGACGAATGGATAAAAAAGCTGTGGTACATATACACAATGGAGTACTATGCAGCGGTAAGAAAGAAAGATCTCTTATCCTTTGAGACGACATGGAGGGACCTGGAAAGTATTATCCTAAGTGAAAGAAGCCAAGCAGAAAAAGACAAATACCACATGATCTCACTTATATACGGAATATAATGAACATAACAGTCTGAGGAATACAGTAGACCCAGACACATGGAAGTAGGGCACAGACTGACATCCCTCAGAAGAGGGGATGGGGGGGTGGGGGGGTGGGAAGAGATAAACCACAGAACTTATATGCATGTATGCATGACCAATGGACATGGACAACAAAGCCGGGGACAGGGAGGAGGTGGGGTGGGGTGGGGGGTGCCAATGGGGTAAAATATCTGTAACAAAAAAATAAATAAAAATTCATATAAAAATTTAAAAAAGAAAAAAAAAAAAGAAATGAAGGAGGCACCAACAGAAATAAAGAATAATTTACACAAATTCAATAGTAGAGTAGGTAAAGCCGAGAAGCAAGCCAATGATTTGGAATTAAGGAAGCAAAAAACACCCAATCACAACAGCAAAAAGAAAAAAGAATCCAAAAAAATGAGGATAGTGTAAGGAGCCTCTGGGACAACTTCAAGTGTGCCAACATTCGCATCTTGGGGGTACCAGAAGCAGGAGAGAGAGAACAAGAAATCAAAAACCTATTTGAAACAATAATGGCAGAAAACTTCCCTAACTTGGTGAAGGAAACAGACATTCGAGTCCAGGAAGCAAAGAGAGTCCCAAACAACTTGAACCCCAAGAGGCCCACACCAAGACACATCATCATCAAAATGCAAAAGGTTCAAGACAAAGAGAGAATCTTAAAAGCAGCAAGAGAAAAGCAGTTAGTTACCTACAAGGGAGTTCCCATAAGACTGTCAGCTGATTTCTCAAAAGAAATTTTGCAGGTCAGAAGGGTGTGGCAAGAAAAAATCAGAGGGATGAAAAGCAAGGACCTACAAACAAGATTACTCTATCCTGCAAAGCTGTCATTTAGAATCGATGGCCATATAAAGACTTTCCCAGACAAGAAAAAGCTAAAGGAGTTCATCACCACCAAACTGTTATTATATGAAATGTTGAAGGGTTTTTTTGAAGAAAAAGATAAAATACATGAACAAAATGGCAATGAATACATATCTATCGACAATGGAATCTACAAACAAAATGAACAGGCAGAACAGAAAGATTCTCACAGATACAGAGAACATTTTGTTGGTAGACAGATGGGAGGGGGATTGGGGGAATGAGTGAAAAAGGTGAAGGGAGTAAGAAGAACAAATTGGTTGCTAGACTGACAAACCTCAAAGAGAAGGGGGTTGGGGGTGGGAAGAAATAAACCAGAGAACTTATATGCATAACCAATGGACACAGACAATAGTGTGGGAAAAGGTGGGAGGGGGGCGGGAGGGGGGAGGAGGAGGGTCAATGAGGGAAAATTGAGGAACATCTGTAATACATTCAACAATAAAGAAAAATAAATAAAATAAAATAGAACAAATGTACAAAATCTATGGAATGCAGCGAAAGCAGTCCTAAGAGGGAAGTTCATTGCACTACAGGCCTACCTCAAGAAACAAAACTTTCCCAATTGACTTTCTAACCCTACAACTTAAAGAACTAGAAAGTAAACAAAAAGAAAAAGCAAGTAGAAGAAAAAAAATAGTAAAGGTCAGAGAAGAAATAAATGACATAGAAACAAACAAAAAAAAAACAATTCAAAATATCAATGAAACAAAGAGCTGGTTCTTTGAAAAGATAAACAAGATTGATGGACCCTTAGACAGATTCACCAGGAAACAAAAAGAGAGGACCCAAATAAACAAAATCAGAAACAAAAGAGGAGCAGTAACAATTGAGACCACAGAAATACAAAGGATCATCAAAATATACTATGAACACTTATACGCCAACAAATTGGACAATCTAGGCAAAATGGACAAATTTCTAGAAACAGTCTCCCAAAACTAAACCGGGAAGAGACAGAAAACTTGAACAGACCAATAACTAAGGAAATTGAAGATGTAATTAAGAAACTCTTCACAAACAAAAGCCCAGGCCTGGATGGCTTCTTGGGGTCGTTTTACTGAACATTCAAAGAAGATCTAACACCCATTCTCCACAAACTATTCCAAAAATCCAAGAAGATGGAAGACGTCCAAACTCATTTTATGAAGCCAGCAAAATCCTAATTCCAAAACCAGAAAAAGACACTACAAAGAAAGAAACTACAGGCCAATATCCCTGATGAACACAGATGCCAAAATCCTTAACAAAATATTAGCAAATCGAATCTAGCAATATATCAAAAACAAGGATTCATCATGACCAAATGGGATTCATCCCAGGGATGCAAGGATGGTACAATATTTGCAAATAAATAAATGTGATACACCACATAAACAAAATGAAAGATAAAAATTGTATGATCTTCCAGTAGATGCTGAAAAAGCATTCAACAAAATCCAGCACCCATTTCTGATAAAAATGCTCAGCAGTGTGAGAAGAGAGGGATCGCCCTGGCCGGTTTGGCTCAGCGGTTGGAGCGTCCGCCTGTGGTCTGGAGAGACCCGGGTTCGGTTCCTGCTAAGGGCACGTACCTCGGTTGCAGTTTGTCCCCGGCCCTGGTTGGTCGTGCGGGTGGCAGCCACTCGATGTGTCCCTTTCACATCGATGTTTCTCTCTATCTCTCTTCCTCTCTCTCCCTCCTGCTCTCTCTGAACAAAAAATAGAAAAATGTCCTCGGGTGAGGATAAAAAAAAAAGAAGAGAGGGATCATATCTGGACATAATAAAGGCCAAATATGAAAAACCTACAGCCAACATCATACTCAATGGGCAAAAACTAAAAGCATTTCCCTTAAGAACAGGAACAAGACAGGGATGCCCACTTTCACCACTCTTATTTAACATAGTACTGGAGTCTTAGCCACAGCAAACAGATATGAAGAAAGAATAAAAGGGATCCAAATTGGAAAGGAGGAGGTGAAACTGTCATTTGCAGATGACATGATATTATACATAGAAAACCCTAAAGACTCCATCAAAAATATACTAGATTTAATAAATGAATTTGGCAAAGTAGCAGGATACAAAATTAATGTCAAGAAATCAACGGCATTCTCATTCACTAACAATGTACTAACAGAAAGTGAAACTAAAAAAACAATCCCATTTACCAGTGCGGCAAAAAATTTAAGATAACTAGAAATAAACTTAACAAGCCAAGGACCTCTTTGCAGAAAACTACAGGTCACTGAAAAAAGAAGTAGAGAAGATAGAAAAAGGTGGAAGCATATACTTTGTTCATGGATTGGAAGAATTAACATCATTAAAATGTCCATACTATTCAAAGCAATCTATAGATTCAATATAATCCCCATCAAAATACCAATGGTATATTTCACGGAACTAGAACAAATACTCCAAAAGTTTATATGGAACCAAAAAAGACCCCAAATAGCCACAGCAATCTTGAAAAAGAAGAACAAAGTAGGTGGGATCACAATACCAGATATGAGGTTATGCCACAAAGCCACTGTAATCAAAACAGCCTGGTACTGGCACAAGAACAGGCATATAGATCAATGGAACAGAACAGAGAACCTAGAAATTCACCCAAGACATTATGCTCAATTAATATTTGACAAAGGTGGCAAGAGCATACAGTGGAGTAAAGACAGCCTTTTTAATAAATGGTGTTGGGAAAATTGGACAGCTACATGCAAAAAAATGAAGCTAGACTACCAATTTACATCATACAAAAGAATAAACTCAAAATGGATAAAAGACTTAAATGTGACCCATGAATCCATAAAAATCCTAGATAAAAATGTAGGCAATAAAATTTCACACATCATACACAGCAGAATTTTCATTGATACAACACTAAGGCCACAGAAACACAGGAAAAAATGAACACATGGGACTATATCAAATTAAAAACTTCTGCACAGCAAAACAACCAACCATCAAAATGGAAAGGGAACCCACTATATGGGAGAGCATAACTGCCAACAATACATCAGATAAGGGGTTAATTTCCACAATATATAAAGTACTCATATAACTCAACAAAAGGAAGGCAAATAATCCAATTAAAAATGGGCAGAGAACCTAAAGAGACACTTCTCCAAACAGGACATACAAATGGCCAAGAGACATGAAAAAGTACTCAACGTCACTAATCATCAGAGAAAGGCAAATGAAAACAATGAGGTATCACCTCACACTTGCCAGAATGGCCGCCATCAACAAATCATCAAACAACAAGTGCTGACGAGGGTGTGGAGAAAAGGGGACTCTAGTACACTGCTGGTGGAAATGCAGACTGGTGCAGCAACTATGGAAAACACTATGGTGCTACCTCAAAAAGTTAAAAATTGAACTTCCATTATACCCAGTGATCCCACTTCTAGGAATATACCCTAAGAAGCCTGAAACACCAATCATAAAGAATATATGTACCCCTATGTTCATAGCAGCACTATTTACAATAGCTAAGATCTGGAAACAGCCCAAGTGTCCATCAATAGACGAGTGGATAAAAAAGCTGTGGTACATATACACAATGGAATACTATGCAGCTGTAAGAAAGATCTCTTACCCTTTGAGATGACACGTAGGGACCTGGAGAGCATTATCCTAAGTGGAACAAGACATGCAGAGAAAGACAAGTATCACGTGATCTCACTTATTTATGGAATATAACGAACAAAACAAGCTGATGAACAAAACAGACCCAGAGACATACAAGTAGGGTACAGACTGACAAACCTCAGAAGAGAGGGTCAGGGGGGAGGGAAGAAATAAACCACAGAACTTATATGCATGTATGCGTAACCATGGACATAGACAACAATGCTGGAGACAGGTCGGGGGGAAGGGGGATCGGGAGGAATGTGTCAATGGAGAAAAAGGAGAAAAATCTGTAACAAAAATAAATTAAAAAGTTAAAAATTAAAAATAAATAAAATAGAAAAATAGAACAAATGGCTCAGCCGGTATGGCTCAGTGATTGAGCATAGACCCATGTACCAGGAGGTCACTGGTTCGATTCCCGGTCAGGGCACATGCCCAGGTTGTAGGCCTGATCCCCAGTGGGGGGCATGTAGGAGGCGGCCAATGTTTTCTCTCATCGATGTTTCTCTCTCTCTCTCCCTCTCCCTTTCTCTCTCTCTCTAATATCAATAAAGAAAAAAAAATTTTTTAATAGATCAAATGTAGATTTAGACTATGGGTGGGGGTCAACCAAGATGAAGAGAGAGGAGGCTGCTGAGCTCCCACGAACACACTAAATGTACAACCACACACACAGCAACTACTGCTGAAAGCAACCCAGAAACCAGCTGACTCCTGCACCTCAGGAGAAGGAGAAAATACCCACGCTGACAGAGGCAGGAAAGGCTGAGACACTCACCGTGCACCCCACCCAGAAACAGGCCTATTCCCAGCTTCTCTCTAGGAACAAAGGGTTTAGACTCCTCATTTAGCACCCCAATATTTAAGATTTCCACCTGAGGGACAGGACCCTAAACCACCTATCTGTGCAAGCCAGTAGGGCTTTGCACCCAGGAACCCCACAGCAAACAGAAGCGGTTTCAGCAGGTCTGTGAGCACTCAGCCCCCCACCCTCACAGGGTCAGCCCGAGGCCGGCAGGCTGCCAGCCACCTCCCCGTCCGCTCCTCCAGGAGCCCACCTGTACACTTTGCAAGTTGCGGCCTGAGGGTCAGGCTTATAATTTAGCACACATCTAGGGGCTGACCCGGGAAGCTGAGGGACACCTCCCCCGCCTTCTCTGCCTTGCCTTCTCCAAATGGCCAGCATCTCCCTGGGAGGAGCTTGTACACACCTCTGGCACCCAGCTGCTGACTGAGGGATGGGCTCCCAACTCAGCTGTCCCTGATGGCCAATGGGCTTTCCTTCATGGGTCCCACAGGACTGCAGCAAACAAGCAGTGCTGTTGGGTGCCTGAGCACACCGTGGCCACGCTCCGGGCCCAGTCCATAGGAGCGGGCGGACCCTTACCTCCCAGTCCCTCCAGAGAAGGGCCTTAACTGCGTACTCTGACACATGCTGGCTGTGGGCCTGGCTTCCGATCAACCTATATCGAGGTGATAAATGTGACCCACCCCATGGGACACTGAGGGGTCCTCATATCCCTCAACTTGGAGCCACTGAGAACAAAGGAGGTGGCCCAGACAGGCACAGAGGTTTCAGACAGGACCGAAGCTCGGAGCAGGTTGACTGACAGGATGCGTCTCCTAACAAGACCACGCTGTCCGGCCCCGGGAGGGCGCTGTTATTCCCCTGTGTGGACACCGACAGAGGCGGGACAGGGAGGAAGCAAAGGAGCATGTTCCCAACAAGTGAGCAAGACGGATCCCCAGAAACAGTCTTGTAATATCACTCCAAACGATTTTTTCCTTCTTCCTACAGACAGAAAACCTCAGAACCTCAGCCTCCATGCAGTTCTTCTACACAGACTCTTAAGAATGAAGGAAACCACTTGTAGAAAAAAAAAAATTAGGTGATACAAATGATAACCAACCTTGTCATTAACTTCATTTCTTAGTGACCCTTCAACAGATGGGGAAATGTATAGTTTTAATCTAAAAAGAATTCTCATCGGTATGTAATAAACAACACAAGCACTTACCTTAATAATAGCGGTTTTTGTCTTATATGTAGCAAAATAGGGTTGTTTCAGAAGCCACAGCGATGTCAGGATGGCGGCCGCAGAGGTCTTCACGCGAATGACGGGGCTGGACGGCCAGGACGGCGCAGTGAGACCGGGGGCCCCGGGCAGTCTGCGGTCGGCCCACCGCACCATCCACTCCAGCAGCCGTCGTAGGCTGCCCGGCGAAGTCCTCAGCCCTGGGGGGAGCTCCTCCTGAGGGTTCAAGTCGCCGCACTGCACCGCTCTGAAAACGCACCGTCTACTGCCACTGGCCGTGGGAGCCCACGGAATACGGCTGGACCACCTCTGGACGAAAGGTTTCTCTGCACTGTCACCCTGTATCCTGTAAACTGACTTCCGTTTCAACCCGAACAACCCACTCTTCCCCTCGTTCTTATTAACGTCGTCCAAAGGGTTCTCTGAAGCAGGTCTGGTCCCTTGACTGGCCTGTCCTGGAGCTGCCAGCGCCCGGCTTTCCGGCGCTTCAGACTCGGGTGACTCCCGCGCAGCCACAAAGCAGGAGCCCGCCCTGAACACACTCTGGCTCCGGGGTCTGCCCTGGTGGTGCTTCAGTGTCGCGTGCACATCAGAAAGTAAAGGGTTCAGTTCTTGTTCCCTAAGGTGCCCAGAAAAGCTCGTGAGGAACGGAACGCCGGGATCCTTGGAACCAAGCAAGTCTCTTTCAAGAACGTAACTCAAGAAGAGTTCCAGGAACTTCATATATTCGTCATCATCACGTTCAAATTCCCACACACCTATCACAGGCAGCGCATTTTGTGATGACTCTTCGTGACCTTTTCTTTTAGGGCTTTCTTTCTGACCACCTGTGTTCTTTGCATCATTGGGCTTAGCAATCGATGTAAATTCCATGTGATTTACAGCATTTCTACTGCAAACCAATTAGAAAAGACAAAATTAAAGATCATTTAATCACCAAAACTTATCTTAGAATTGACAATAAAAATTCTCTCCACTAAGTCATGTCTTTTCTCAGTGCCTCGATTACCTATCTTTCAAATGAGGGGGTTGGAATAAATGATCTATAATAATTCACTAGAGCTGAACATTCTGAATCTAAAAAATACAACATGTTATATTAAATGGGAAAATGTGTGTTAAAAGAGATTAAAATGTGTTCACAGGATTTTCCCTATTTAAAATACAGGAATGTTTGTCTGGGGGGAAAGTCCGAATACAGACAGTAAGAGCCACACGGCACCAACGCACACTACTCTGCGGTTTCGCGTTTCTCTCGCGCTGCCCCTTCGGTGCCAACCGTGTGCTGGACCAGGCGGCACTGCCCTCCGGACCCCTCGCCGCACGATAGGTGGGCATTTTTTAACCCTCTCTATGCGGTTAACCTGGTGGGTAGGCACCTTAACTGCCAACCATAATTACTGTCCTTTTAAAACTGTTTTCTTGCCCTGGCTGGTTTGGTTCAGCGGTTAGAGCGTCGGCCTGCGGTCCTGAGAGACCCGGGTTCAGTTCCCGCTAAGGGCGCGTACTTCGGTTGCAGTTTGTCCCCGGCCCTGGTCGGTTGTGCGGGTGGCAGCCACTCGATGTGTTCCTTTCACATCGATGTTTCTCTCTCTCTCTCTCTCCCTCCCACTCTACCTGAACAAAAAAACAAAAAACAACAAAAAAATAAATAAAACTGTTTTCTTTCAACATGGTCCTCAGGGCAGAACACAGACCCCTAGTTCCATGAAAGAGAAATAAAGGGATCGAGCTGGGCACTGGGCTAAGTCCCCACGTCTATGTCTCTCCTTATTAAAAATGCACAACAAGCTGCCCCCAGGGTGTTCCTGTACAGGTAAAGCAAGTGCACCATTTACAATACAGTTTAAGCAAGATTACGGTAGATTAGCCCTGGCCGGTTTGGCTCAGCGGTTAGGGTGTTGGCCCACGGACCAGAGAGACCCGGGTTTGGTTCCCGCTAAGGGCTTATACCTCGGTTGCAGTTTGTTCCCCGCCCAGGTTGGGGCTGTATGAGTGGCAACCAGTTGATGTGTCTCTCTCACATCGATGTTTCTCTCTCTCTTCCTCCCTCTCTATCTGAAGATAAATGCAAAAATGTCCTGGGGTGAGTACAATCACAGTGAGGTCGCTGGGACTGAAATTCAGCTCATCAGTTGCATAAAAATATTGAAATCCTTTTTTTCAAAGGAAGGGAATGCTTGCTATTAATAGATCTCAGCTGCACCTTTGGTAGAAATGTGTCCTCCTTTTTTCTTCAACAGACAAAGCCTCAGAGACGGAGTCAGCATCGCTGTGGACCAGGGAAGTCCCCAGGTCTGTGAGTGTGCTCCTGCTCAGACTCGTCCCCAGGGAAAACCTGTCAAAACCTGGACCCTCAGCTGGCTTTTCTTCCTCTACTGGTTCCCATATATTCATCTCAAAAGAACCGATGTTCCTCTGCACACGCTTCAGGGCTTTGACCCTCACTTTGTGGATAGAATGCATGACAACAGACATCATTTCCTCAGACTGGGGACCTGGGAAGAAAAGAAGGAAAGGCTTCACAGTTCATTAAAATGTTCCAACTCCAGACAAGGGTCAATTCTGGTCCCTCCTGGGGACATAAAATCCATCCGACAGGTAAGGTCAATGTCCACTCTTCAGACCAGGCTTTCATCAGCATGCGTTAGAAAGCTGCGGTCCACACTTGACCGCAGAAGCCAGAGAAGGTCCACTGAAGAATAAAAGGGACAGAAGCCAGACTATAAGAAAGGTACCCTGCCCTGGCCGGTTTGGCTCAGCAGTCAGAGCGTCGGCCTGCGGTGGAGAGAGACCCGGGGTTCGGTTCCTGCTAAGGGCATGTACCTCGGTTGCAGTTTGTCCCTGGCCCTGGTTGGTTGTGCGAGTGGCAACCACTCGATGTGTCCCTTTCACCTTTTTTTTTTTTTATCCTCACCCGAGGACATTTTTCCATTTTTTGTACAGATAGAGTGGGAGAGAGAGAGAGAGAAAGAAACATCGACGTGAAAGGGACACATCGAGTGGCTGCCACTCGCACAACCAACCAGGGCCGGGGCAAACTGCCACCGAGGTACATGCCCTTAGCGGGAACCGAACCCGGGTCTCTCCGGACCGCAGGCTGATGCTCTAACCGCTGAGCCAAACCAGCCAGGGCTCCCTTTCACCTTTCACGTCAATGTTTCTCTCTCTCCCTCCCACTCTATCTGAACAAAAAAACAAAAAAATGTCCTCGGGTGAGGATAAAAAAAAAAAAAAAGAAAGGTACCATGGAAAACAAAAAATTAGTAAGTAATTTAACATCTCAGAAATCACAAGGATAATTATAAAAAGAATCACTAATATTTTTTCTGTTTCCAAAGACTGGTAAATAAGAGAAAATGAGTATAATGATAGCCAAAGAAACAAGGACTCCTTTCTGACTTCAATTAATGGGAAACAATAGGAAGAGATGTTTTTCGAGGCTGCCTATAAAAAAAATGTAAACATTAATGATACATAAACAAGACATTTTAGAAGATGTCAAAAAAGAAAAATATTTAAAAAAATATATAAATCACAAATACAATATAAGAATATTAATGCAATAATGTGCCATAACTAGACTTAAATAATAGAGTACAGTTCTAATGCCCTGGCTGGTTTGGCTCAGCAGTTAGAGTGTCAGCCCTCGGACCAGAGAGTCTCGGGTTCGATTCCGGTCAAGGGCATGTAGGGAGGCAACCAATCAATGTGTCTCTCTCTCACTGATGTTTCTCTCCCTCCCTCCCTCCCTTCCTCCTACTCTATCTGAAAATCAATGGAAAAATATCCTCTGGTGAGGACTAAAAAAAAAAAAAATGGCCCTGGCCGGTTTGGCTCAGCGGTTGGAGCGTCGGCCTGCGGTCCTGAGAGACCCGGGTTCGGTTTCCGCTAAGGGCGCGTACCTCGGTTGCAGTTTGTCCCCGGCCCTGGTCGGTTGTGCGGGTGGCAGCCACTCGATGTGTCCCTTTCACATCGATGTTTCTCTCTCTCTCTGTTCCTCTCTCTCCCTCCCACTCTACCTGAGCAAAAAATGGAAGAATGTCCTCGGGTGAGGATAAAAAAAAAAAAAAAATGTAGGTAATCTGAATTCTTTTATTTATTTATTTATTTATTTATTTATTTATTTTATCCTCATCCGAACATTTTTCCATTTTTTGTTCAGATAGAGCAGGAGGGAGAGAGAGAGAGAGAGAGAGAAACATCGACGTGAAAGGGACACATCAAGTGGCTGCCACCCGCACGACCAACCAGGGCCGGGGACAAACCGCAACCGAGGTATGTGCCCTTAGCGGGAATCAAACCCGGGTCTCTCCGGACCGCAGGCCGATGCTCCAACCGCTGAGCCAAACCGGCCAGGGCGGTAATCTGAATTCTTTAAGAAAATTCCACAACATGGTCAAGGCACTTAATGCCACTAAACTCTACAGTTAAAACGGTAACTTTTATATTATGAATATTTTAGCACAATAAAAAATAATTTCCACAAGGTCATCTTGAATGTATAGCATAAAATTAGAAGCATAAATAACCATAAAGATTTGAAAGGAAGAACAATATTTTTGATAAAATATCTACATCATACTCATAGATTTTACCGTATTTAATCCTTTCAGTACACGCTCTCAGGGCCGGCACTGATACAGTCACTTTACAAATAAGGAGACGAGGCTCGGACAGACCGAGCAACCTGCCCACAGCCGGTGACTGAGCGGCAGCCCCGCCAGGAAGCCAGCATGTGTCTGGTTCCAAAGCGGCAGGGCTGGCGCTCCTGGGCCCGGGACAGGCCTCCGCCCGCTGCCTCTCCCGGCTCCGGGAAAGGAGACCAAGTAAGTGCAGGAAAACCAATGCTTTCAAAACAACGAGAAGCTTCAGCAGTTTTTCTATCAGACAGTGAAGAAATGAACAAACAATACCTTTCACAACACAGTGTCTGAGTCTCTGCTGAAGAGAGTGGTATTTTTCTCTCAACGGAACCCTGATGTCCTCAGGATTAGGAAATGCTTTCACAAACATTTCTGCTGCCTTTAGAAAAATTAAAAAGTGAGTTTTATGAGCAACATCATGCTTAATTAAAATAAAAATCCTTTAAAGTCTCTGATTCGGATTTAGTTTATGTTCTCCTACATTCGCACTACCTTTCTGACTGGTGGCAGTTCCCCAATAAGGCTCAAAATGAGATCCTGAATGAGTTCCTCCACATCGGAGAACCGAGAGAAGGGCAGCATCCTGCGAGCCCACTCCGCCGCGCTGAGACAGTGCTCGGCCACACAGGGGTCACACTCCGCTCCCAGGTCCTGGATGGGCATGGAAAACATTCATTTCCTTTTCCCTTTACATGGGCAGGCCAGAATGAATTCACAACTTTGTTACAAACAGTAAAATCTATCCAGCAATAATTTCCCAAGGAATGCTTGTTCATTTTTCTTATTCTTTTGCAAGGTAAATACCTTCTTCCCCTCCACTTTTTCTCTTGCTTTCTGATACTGCCTGCAACTATAGGATAACTTATCACGGACGTGCAGCATCCAGCACAAAGCACAAAGTTCTCTGAAGCACCCTACAGCGGGAACACAAATGGGAAAGAAGACTGCATGAGGATGTACCCTGGTAGTAACAATGTCACCTCTCTCTGCCTGTTAACTTTTTCCAAATAAATATATTCTGTTGATTATAAAAGAAACATATGCTCATTATCTGCACCTTACATAAAAGTCATGGAGACCCTTCTAGAATTTTTATGTCTATTATTCTAGAATATTTCATGCATGTCAGTTGCATGAAAATATTAAAAATATTGTTACAGAGTAACTAACTTATTCTATTTACCAGTAGTTTACTTGCTTTAAACTTTATAGTATATTGAAGATACTTTTCAAACAAATATACACAGCTGTACTTAATACTGTATAGTTAATTTATTTGGAAAATCACTTGAAGATAGGCATTTAAGTTTAAATTTTTTCAATACTAAAACATAATTTCCAATATCCAACAATTTTCTTTGTTAAAAACAATACAGGTACATAAAGATATGTAAAATCATAGTGTGCTGTTTTCTTCTTCACCTAATGTATCTTAGATCCTTTTACAGTGGTAACATGCACAGTCTCTTCATCGCCAGCACAGTGTTCGGTCGTATGGAAACGTCCCCAAATCAAATGTAAAATAGATTAGTAGTACTCGGGCCTGATTTCTAAGTAAGCAGTTCATTTTGGACAAACCTATGGCTTTGATGGAAACTTCATCAAGCTTGTTGTCTCCAGTTGCTCCAGGTCGAAAAAATGCTACGCCTCCTATACAGTAATTAAGTAATGACTGAGGGAAAGGACTCAAAGACGGGAGGGACCCTTTCATTCGGATCTGAAAGTGAAGAATGATAGAACATGTTAATTGTCGGTTGCGTGAGTCGATTTTTAAGGAAACAATAAAGCAAAAGCAGCAGGTAAAGATAAACCACAGAGAATGGGAAACACAGCACAGTCCCTATACTAAGAAAGCAAATAGGACTGAAATCAGCTGTACCTTCTGAACTCCAGCTCACAAATTTTTTTTAATTTTATCCTCACCGAGGACATTTTTGCATTTATCTTCAGATAGAGCGGAGGGAGAGAGGGAGGAAGAGAAAGAGAAACATTGATGTGAGAGAGACACATTGAGTGGTTGCCACCCATACAACCCCAACCAGGGCCGGGGACAAACTGCAACCGAAGTATGTGCCCCTAGCGGGAACTGAACCCCAGAAACCGAACCCAGGACTCTTTGGTCGGCAGGCTGATGCTCCAACCACTGAGCCCAGCTCACAAATTTAACTCAAGAAATTCACTACCCTCGATCTCAAGAGAGAAAAAAAGGTTTAATCAAATTACCCTCTTGTCACTCAGTTATGTCTGTATAACAATAGTTCAATATTTTTTGTCCTTTCTCCAAAGCCATGATAAAGAAAAGAGACATTTAAGTATCTAACTTTCATCTGAAATGTGTAGTACCTAAAAACAAATACAAAAAAAAAAAGATAGATCTACATACATAACTTTTGAAAAACTAATCCATAAATGACAAAATTAGAAAGTCACCATTTGGCAACCCCAATAAAATAAGACCGTTAGCAAGGATTTTAAACAAATGCTAAGTTTAGTAAAAGCAGATGGTTGATGGAGAACATGACAGTGGGTGGAACATGACACAAACTCACAATCACTAGGAGAGAGACAAGGTGAAGGGATTAAGAAGCATTAACTGGTAGTTACAAAAGAGTCACGGGGATGTCAAGTCCAGCATAGGAAATATAGTCAATAATACTGTAATCATTGTGTATGGTGCCAGGTGGCTACTGGAAATAGCAGGGGGAACACTTTATAAAGTATGTGATTATCTAACCATGGAAACATGGTTTGCCTCATTTCTCTGGCCTTCCTTTTCCACGCATCTCACCAATGGACTCGTCAGCCTCCCTTTCTTGCTTTAAGGGTTTATGTGATTACATTGGACCCACCAGGACAGACTGTGATAATCTCCCTATTTTAAGGTCAGCGGACCAGCAAAGGCCCATCAGTCTGCATTAAAGCAGTATCTAGATCTGTTCACATAACCAGGAGACAGGAATCCTGGGAGCACCGTCAGAACTCTGCCCACCACTTGCCCCATGCTTTAACAGTTAATTTATTACTTGTAAAAACTGTTTACAAGGAGGAATGTCTTTAGCTGTGTTGCTAATTTTAAGATAGTCCAGTCTTCACATGCTAGTTAATTGAAACTAGATTAAGTGAGATTATTGTCACAAGTAGGTAAGATCAAACTTCAATGCAAATATAATCTAAAACTTTAAGTAAACAGTTTTCTACAATAAACAATTTTTATTTTTTATTTTTATTATTATTTTTTTTTATCCTCACCCGAGGATATTTTTCCATTTTTTGTACAGATAGAGTGGGAGGGAGAGAGAGGAAGAGAGAGAAACATCGATGTGAAAGGAACACATCGAGTGGCTGCCACTCGCACGACCAACCAGGTCCGGGGACAAACTGCAACCGAAGCACATGCCCTTAGCGGGAACCGAACCCGGGTCTCTCCGGACCGCAGGCCGACGCTCTAACCGCTGAGCCAAACTGGCCAGGGCTACAATAAACAATTTTTAAAATGAAGTCTCCTATAACAAACATATGGGTTCAATAGATCTTAAAACTTATTAAAACCAATCTTTCAATAATAAAGAAAAACTCTTCGCTCTCTTTAGTAAACACACATACTTTAGGATGACAAGACATAGAAAGAGTACAAACCTTTCTCTCTAAAAAAGCACCAATTTTCAAAAACTCGATAAACAACCTCTCAGAGCCTCTCTAAGAGGTCTGTCCTACCAAAAAAAAAAAGTAGATTCTTGTTTTAAATGCAATTTCATCCCAGCTGGTGTGGCTCAGTGGACTGAGCATCATCCCATGAACTGAGAGGTCCCAGTTCCATTCCTGGTCAGGTACATGCCTGGGTTGCAGGATTGATCCCCAGCAAGGGGTGTGCAGGAGGCAGCCAATCAATGTTTCTCTTTCTCGTGTATGTTTTCATCTCTCTCTCCCTCTCCCTTCCTCTCTCTTTAAAAGATCTAATTTTTAAAAAAACATTAACAAACGTAATTTCATCAAGGGCCAAATTAAGAATATTAGGCGCTAATAATATTTATTTCCTAGATCACAGACAGACTACATCCTTCGAAGGACTGGCAGCTGGGTGAGGGACATCTGAGTAGACGTCCCATTGGCTGAGACAACAGCCCCAGAGTCGAGAGGAGCAGCACAAAGAGGAATCACATAGCCAGGACCTCTAACTTTCCGTGATCTGACCCCACATAAACACCCAAAGAACATCTGCAGTACCTCAGAGAGAAGTTGGAGGAAACCATGAACCGAGTTTAAATCCTCAGTGACTGGAAGGATGCGGGGGGAGGAGGGGATATAACTGAAATCACCTGTCCATATTAGATGTTCTATTGCCAGATAGGATGGGACTACAGAGACCCAGTTCAGGGTCCTCATCTTTCAGCACAAAGAACTTGGTCTAAGGTTGTTTATTGAAATAAATCTGACTATAGATTTATAGGGCAGAACTCTATGGAAAAATGTCTCAATTACCAATATTAATACAGTTAGTATACATATATGTATATCTTTTTTAATCTTCACCCGAGGACATTTTTACATTTATCTTCAGATAGAGCAGAAGGAAGAGAGGGAGGAAGAGAGAGAGAGAGAAACATCGATGTGAGAGAGACACATTGACTGGCTGCCACCCACATGACCCCAACCAGGGCTGGGGACAAACTGCAACCCAGGTACGTGCCCTTAGTGGGAACTGAACCCGGACTCTGTGGTCCGCGGGCCGACGCTCTTAACTGCTGAGCCAAACCGGCCAGGGCAATACGGTTAGTCTATTGAAGCAGGCTAACAGCACGGAAATGCCAGACATCTGTGTACCTTCTGCATGACTTTCCTGGTCCACCTCAACTGCAGGATGTACCACTGCGCGACCGGGAAGGAGCAGCGCGCAGCTTGGAACAGCAGGAGGAGACGCTGAAGGATTCCCGACACCTTCTGGCGACTGTCTTTCTCAGCTTTCAAAAGAAGATCATCACCATCTTCCTAAGGAAAACAGAACAGTCAAATTTTGTAGCCAATAATAAGAAATTTTTTAATGTTACAGTGAAAATAAAGATAGTGCTTCTCAAACTAGAATGTTCCTGGAGATCTATAAAGAAAATGTCGTGGCATGGCCTCAGAGATTTCAACTGTAGCTAATGCAAGTGTCAAGGGAACATTTCTCTCCCCCCGAACAATGTAAAGGGCTTAATTGACCTCAACCCCAAATCTCCCCCTACAACACATAAAGGCCACCACTCCTGACTCCATCGGTGGAATGTTACACGAAAGCCCTTTCAAAGAGAATGCCTTTTTCCTACCTCTGCCTGGAAAAATTGTTCTCATATTTCAACATCACCTCCTCCACGAAGCCCTCCACCATGCTACTGCGGCACTTTGCTCAGATCTCCGGTACAGCTTTCACCAATTTATTCTGTACTGATTCGTGTATGTTTCCCACTACACTGAGAACTGCCCAAGAGTTACGGCCTCCACACGTCTTTGTATTATCGGAGTACACAGAATAAAGTCCAACGTGTAGTAGGATCCAACAAAGGTTTGTTGAAAAACACTTTTCAAGTCAGTAAAGATTAATTTCCCAGAAAATGAGACAATGTGTTATACACATCTGCTTCTCCAATATCCTCCTAACCATTCCCACTTGTTGAACGATACTCAGATTTTAACTGGCTGTCTGCCCCTCCCCCACACAACCTATATGATTCAGGGAGAGCTGATCCCGCATTCCCGGCTTCCAGGAAAGGTTCTAATGGATGCCAAGCAGTACCCTGAGTTAGCCCTAGCCTAGCTAACTGACTCAAGGACAGGTAAGTGGCCTGTCAGTCTCAGAAGCGTGAACCTCAGTGCTCCTACTGGAATGCTGGGAGAGAATACTTTTACTGTTTTCCTTTTTTTTTAATATATTTTTATTGATTTCAGAGAGGAAGGGAGAAGGAGATAGAAACACTGCTGATGAGGGAAACAGCGACTGGCTGCCTCCTGCACGCCCCCTACTGAAGCCCGTAACTGGGGCATGTGCCCTGACCAGAATCGTACTGGGGACCTCCTGGTGCATAGGTCGATGCTCAACCCCTGAGCCACACGGCCTGGCACTACTGTTTTTCTTTTTCCCCTTTCCTCTCCCTCTGGACATAGACAAGGTGTCCGTAGAAGCTGCTGGCAGCCATCCTGCTCCCTCAAAGAAAGCCAGCCGTAGGACGAAGCTGACACCTTACAAAACAAACTAGAAAGAAAGAGCCCAAGTCTTTGGTAACATAACTGAGACAGAAGGCTGCCCTACCACTGAGCTTCCTCAATTACGCCAGTCAATTCTGACTACATTGCTATTGTGTCCTTCTACCCCAAAGGATTCTGACTGATAGAGGTTGACAATTAGGAGAAATTCTACCATGGAGGATTATTTTTAACAAAATAACTAAATAAATAAAGCACTACTAAGGATAGTAACCACTCAAACTAGTATCAGCGTAACATATCCAAAAATACCTTAAATGTGATTTCTAAACCAGTATGTTGAAGACTCAGACATAAGAGAAATGAGCAAATATTGAGAAATACCATGGACTGTTTATTTCTTGTATTTGTAATATATTGCATTTGAAATACCAAGAAATGAGATATTATTAAACTACTGACACATAACTCTAAATTTACCAAATGAGACTGTAACTCTAAAAAAAGAGAAAAAAATGAGATACAGATGTAAGTTGCTAATACTAAAACAATGAGTAGTAAAGAAATAATAGCAGAATCACTTCAAAATATTAATCAAATAATAAAATAATCTAAATGTAAATAATTTACATTAAACTTTAAATTATTTGTTGTTTTGTTACACTAAACAAATGTCTATGATTTCAAAATCTGGATATAGAGAGCCCGGCCGGTGTGGCTCAGTGGACTGAGCATCATCCCATGGACTGAGAGGTGCCAGTTTGATTCCCCGTCAGGACACATGCCCAGGCTGCGGGCTCGATCCCCAGTGTAGGCTGTGCAGGAGGCAGCCAATCAAAGTTTCTCTCTCATCAATGTTTCTATCTCTCTCCCCCACTCCCTCTAAAAAATCAATACAAAACATATATTTAAAAATGAAATCTGGATATAGAGAAATGTCTCTTAATTTAGTTTTATTATTGCAATAATTTTAACATTTATTAAATGGTTACTATGTCCTAGGGCCTAAGGTAAAAGCTTTTACACTTAATCCTCGCAATACTGCTACTGGAAGTCTTATCGTCATCTGTACCTTACAAACAAGGAAACATAAACAGTTAAGTATATTGTGTGAAATTATGTAATTTATAATAAACAGCAAAGCTGGGATCCAGAAGTTTGTCTTCAGAGCTTGCATTTTAACTTACTATCCAGTTGATTGTTTTAATAGTTGGACAAAGTCAACTTGACATGAAAAGGTTAAGCTTACTTCACTGAGAACCGCTGGCTGAGGACAGTATAAGGGCGGAGCTGGAAGGTACAAGCCGGCAGGCACCAAGCCCCAGAGCCTCTGACTGAAGGCCTTGGCAGAGCCCAGGAGAAGCTGCAGGGTCTCGGAGAGGACGTCCACCTCAGCCATGGCCGCCGCCTTCAGCACCTCCTGCACCGCCCCCAGCAGCAGACTCGCATCTTCCTCTTCCATGGGATCTACAAGCACAGTAGGGGAGATAGTTAAAACCGGCATTACACTTCTTATCCTGCTCTGTACGACAGAATTTCGTATCTGGAAAAGCTGACTGTCTACAATGAACGTATTGTCCTGGCCGGTGTGGCTTGGTTGGCTGGAGTGTTGTCCCAACCAGAAGGTCTCGGGTTTGATTCCCGGTCAGGGCCCGTGCAGAAGGCAGCTGATCGATGATATACTCTCACATCCCTATTTCTCTCCGTCTCTCTCTCTGTCCCTTCCTCTCTAAAATTAAAAAAACCAAACCAAAAGAACATGTCCTCAGTGAAGATTTTCAAAAAAAGACCATATTGGTTGGCATGTTAAAACATCAAACCTCTAGACAAAAAAATTAATGACTATTCTGTAGCCACTCTCCAGAATTTGGTGTGGATGTACCAAAACTCCTACCACACATATACTGACTTCCTATTTTACACTTCGAAGTTAAACTAATTCCTCTTTCCTATTTTCCAACTCTTTTCTTTATATCTATTTTGTATGTATTTATTTTATCTCTGTATACTGTGTGTGTGTATAAAGTTCAAATTCATTTTCGTTCATTAACCATCCAAGTTTTTTGTTTCTCTTTTTATTTCTTTTTTTTACTTTTTATCCTCACCCGAGGACATTTTTCCATTTTTTGTTCAGATAGAGTGGGAGGTAGAGAGAGAAATATCGATGCAAAAGGGGCACATTGTGTGGCTGCCTCCCGCACCACCCAACCAGGGCCGGGGACAAACTGCAACCGAGGTACATGCCCTTAGCGGGAACCGAACCCGGGTCTTTCTGGACCGCAGGCTGACGCTCTAACCGCTGAGCCAAACTGGCCAGGGTGAATTTTTTGTTTTTAAATTGGTTTGCTGAGGTTCCATATACATTCACTAAAATTCATCCTTTTTAAGTATACAGTTCAATGAGTTTCCACAAATCTATACAGCCCTGTAGGAACATTTCCATCACCCCAAAAAGTTCTCTTTTACCCCTTTGTTGTCAATACCCCCTCACTCCCAGACAGATCTGTTTCCTGTCCCTCCAGTGCTGCTTTGCTTTTCATAAAATGTCACGTGAATGGAATCACACAATAGGTGGTCTGCGTCCAACGCCCCTCATTGGTGATGGGTCTGCGCTTCACCCACGCTGCTGTTCATTTCCAGCAGTTTGCTCCTTGTTACTATGTCGCATTCCACCGTACAGATACGTTTCTCCATTCACAGGCTTATGGCCCTTGGGTTGTTTCAAGTTTTTAGGCAGCATGAAAAGCAGCTAAGAAAATTCGTATGGCCCTGGCCGATTTGGCTCAGCGGTTGGAGCATCGGCCTGTGGACCAGAGTCCTGGGTTCGGTTCCCGCTAGGGGCACGTACCAAAAAAGAAAAAAAAAGAAAAGAAAAAGAAAATTTGTATACAGGTCTTTGGGTGGACTTACGGTTTTATTTTTCTTCAGTAAAATACCTAGAAAATCGGTGGAAGAATATCCACAGTAGTCCTGGTTTTATCACTAACTACAACTTTAAAGAACTGCCTTCAGCCCTGGCCGGTTTGGCTCAGCGGTTAGAGCGTCGGCCTGCGGTCCAGAGAGACCTGGGTTCAGTTCCCACTAAGGGGCATGTACCTCGGTTGCAGTTTGTCCCCAGCCCCGGATGGGTCGTGCGGGTGGCAGCCACTCGATGTGTCCCTTTCACGTCGATGTTTCTCTCTCTCTCTCTTCCTCTCTCTCCCTCCCACTCTATCTGAACAAAAAATGGAAAAATGTCCTCAGGTGAGGATAAAAAAAATAACGAAAAAAAAAAAGGACTGGCTTCATCACTTTTGTCTGAATTTCTCCATCTATAAAACAGACAAGTTTTATAGGGCTCCCGGGTAAATATATGTAATATATGCGATATGACATTATTTTCGATTTTGTAATAGTACTTTGAACTTTTCAAATTAAAAACAAAACAAACCCTATGGTTTGCATGCTAGGCAAGAGCAGAACTAAACACCCGTAAGCACCCTTCCAGTCTGAGTCTGCGGTGCTCGGACTGTAGAAGGGAGGAGCGCCGATGCAGCAATGCAGCTGGTATGGGGTGTGCATGGAAGCCGGATGTCCTTCAACCACTGACCTTGCCATTCAGCTGGCCTCAGTTCTGGATGCTCTCGTGATTACGAATATATAAGCACAGCCCTGGCTGGTTTGGCTTGGCGGTTAGAGTGTTGGCCCGCGGACCAATGAGTCACGGGTTCAATTCCAGTCAAGGGCACATACCTTGGTTGCAGTTTGTCCCCAGCCCTGGTGGGGTCGTGCAGGAGGCAGCCTGTCGATGTGGCTTTGTCACATCAATGTTTCTCTCTCTCTCTCCCCCTTCTCTCCCCTCCCTCCCTCCCTCCTATTCTGTCTGATAATGGGTGGAAAAATATCCTCGGGTGAGGAATTAAAAAAAAAAAGAATATATAGCACAGCCCTGGCCAGTTTTCTCAGTGGTTAGAGCATTGGCCTGTGGACTGAAGTGTCACGGGTTTGATTCCTGGTCAAGTGCACATACTTGGGTTGCAGATTCAATCACTGGTTGGGGTCGTGCTGGAGGCAACCAATTGATGTGTCTGTCACATCTCTCTCTCTCCCCCTCCCTCCCTCCCCTTCTCTTCCACTCTATCTAGAAAATCAGTGGAAGAATATCCTCAGGCAAGAATTTAAAAAAAGAATAGATAGCACACTTTAATTTTTAATAAGCTTACTTCAAAGGGTTACTATATTTCTGAGTATGTACAAGCTTTCTGGACTACCATAAGGCTTACATTAATTACCAGGTACCTGTATCAGACCTACGTGGGGAACGCACCTGTAAACTGCTTGTGTTTCGAGCCCACTTCGCTTTTGGCTTCCACAGAGGCTGGCTGACCTAGGAGACCCTGGAGCTTTTCCTGGAAAATCTGTGCTGGAGTCAGATTGAAGGGCAGATTCTGACCCTTCTTCTTGAACCTGAAATCATCGAATTAGGAGAAATGATTCCAAATTTTGAAAACAGCAAATATTCACACATCAAGAACTAAACATGAGGTTTAAGAAACAGTGAGATTCACTTTCTGTATCCATCCTGCATTAAAGAAAGAGTCAGGAGACGCGGCAGGCACTACGGAGGGGGCCAGGCGCTCCAGGACCCCGGCACTGGCCGTCTCCGCCGGCCTGGCTACGAGCACGCTCTGTCCAAACTAGCCACACCTGGTCTCTGCCAATGGCTCTGCCTGGGTTCGCAATGTCCTCTCTCCCTGTAGCTACTCAGTTTGTCAAGACCCTGTCCTCCCTTCAATGCCCAGCTCAAATGACATCTCCCACATAGAGTATTCCCGTCCGTCCCCACTGGGGTTTCCTACCATCACATGTGAATTACAATAATGTGCCTTGTTTCCTCTATTAAAACTATAAAGGCCTTAAACATAGAAACTGTATACCACTTAAACTTATATCCGTGAATATACCTGCTGTATAGCTTGATAGAGATTACTTAATAAGTAAATACATGTTTAATTATTGAATTGAAAAATATAAAAGACACAGCAATACTATAACATCCAGACAAGTTAAAATACAGAGATTTGTTTGATTAGCTTAAGACTCAAATCCTATTTGAGATAGACAAACTCTCTCACGGACTATAAGCTCTTTGAGGGCATTACTAACAAGCTAATTTCTAAATAAATGTTTCAATATGTGTAAGCAAGCCGGGCTGTCAACACAATGCCCACTGGTTGTACGTAGCTACTTACACCTGTCAATTAGACTGGAAATTCAGTTCCTTGGTCTTACTAGCCACAAGTGCTCAGTCACTGCGCCTGGCTGGTCCCACAGGGGACAGCACACACAGAACATTCCCGTCGCTGGGGAAGTGCTACCGGACAACACCGAGCTGACAACTGCACAGAATGGGCAGGAGAGAGGATACAAAGTACTTCAGAGGACACCATTACTCTACTTCTTAAGTTTGCCTAAAATACACACCTTGCAAAACTGCTGTCTAGTTTGCAGGACAGCTGGAAGGCCACGCCCATCGAAACAGAGGTCTTCCAGTCTCCCAGTTTATGTGCCAACCACACAGCTTCCGGAACGAGGCCACCAATTAATAACAACTCAAGGGCATATTCCACCGTCCAGACGTCGGAAAGATTCTGATCCCTCACAACACTGGCCACCTTAGCGTGTTGCAGAGGAATAAGCCGAAGGGACTGCTCTGTGAGTGAATTCAAGAAAACAGCTGTTACAATTACACACATCAGAACAAAGTCCTTACACAGTAAACCTAACTCTTCAATCAGTACTTTCCACACAAAATCCCAACAAGGACGATGCATGCAAAATGGGATAGAATACTACTTTACATACTCTAAGAATGGGCCTCATTACTGGGTCATACAGCAAGTGCCAGTATTCTCAATAAATGGAACAGAACAGAAGAGAAACAGCAGAGACCGTGCAGAGTGCGTGACTATAAAGAATCCTACTTTGCGGAAATTCATTTATTGCGGTAGAGTCTGGAACTGATTAACCACGATAAACGAGGGCCGACCGTACACACAAAATCAAGGTAAACAGTTCAATAAAACTTTTGTGTCAGATAAAATAAACAAAGGTTCACACATTTATTTATTTATTTATTTATTTATTTATTGTTACTCTCACTGACGACTATTTTTCCACTGATTTTTTTCGTTTGTTTGTTAACCCTCACCTGAGGATACGTTCCCATTGACTTTTAGAGAAAGTGGAAGGGAGGGAGGGAGAGAGAGAAACATCGATGCAAGAGAGACACATCCATTGACCTCAACTGGGGCTGGCCTGGGACTCGAACCTGCAACCCTTTGGTCCTCAGGCTCATGCTCTGCACTGAGTAAAACTGGCCAGGGCTTCACTGATTTTTAGAGAAAGTGGAAGAGAGAGAAGGAGGAGGAGAAGGAGAGAGAGAGAGAAACATCAGTGTGAGAGAGACACATCGATTGGTTGCCTCCCGCATGCCAGGGCACTGGGGATCAAACCTGCAACCCAGGTACATGCCCTTGACCAGGAATAGAACCTGTGACCCTTTGGTGTGCGGGCCGATGTTCTCACCACTGAGCAACACTGGTCAGGGCAAAGGTTCACACGTTTAAATGTACTGGGTCACAGGGTACGATTTACCACTGTTTCTCTTTCTCCTACTAGTTTATGAACTCTGCAGGGCAGAGACGTAATTTTACTGACCTGATCATATTCCTCATAACAGCACATGATAAAAAGCTTTTTGTTGGTAATACTCGGGTTGTAAGTGTTCAATATATCAGTGTTTTTTAAGAAGTTGAAAAATGTGGTTTTCACTATTCCTGACTAAATTACAAATCGGGCCTGGGATTAAATACAAAGGGTAACCTCCGTCTCTCCAGCTTTCCGTACCTTTCCCTAAATAAAGCAACTTGAAAATATGACGACAAAACTATTATTTTTGTAAAAATACATATTGCTAAGATTTCCACACACTCCCTCAAAATAAAATTGGTAAATGTGGGTTTTGGCTTTTTGAAATGAAATGATTGACTTCTCACGTGACCTACATGGGTTCTGCCCACACTAAGCACTGACCCCTGCCCCCAGCACCAACATCTTATTAGCTCATTAACAAACACATTTGCATAGAAACAAAGAACTTAGACAATCACTTAAATGTTTGATTCTGCACAGGCAGAGCACCAGGAAATTTTCCTGTGTTTTTATTCCCGCTGAGCAAGGCACTGTACCGTTAAAAGAATCTGAATGATTTAATTTTCTGAAAATGTTACTGCCTTTACACAGCAAACGTCACACCAAATAAGCAACTCCAATGAATCCCGATACATCTCTCACTAGTCTTCATTAGAAAGACTGACATGACATGTATTCTAAGTCTAGCCTACGGATATCATTTTTTAAGATACGAGGATATTAAATACATTAAAGGATATATACGAAGCTTCAGATTTTTATATTTTCAGTCATTACAGTCTCGGGTGCCCTCTCCTCTCTCGGGGAAGATGTCTGTACAGGGCATAAAAAGGTGTGCCTCTCAGCTTTTAGGAATGTGTATGAATCTGCCCAAAAGCACTTCAGTAATTCTATCACCTCTCTTCCTAGAGTGGGACAAAGATCTGTCTTCCTTAAGTTTGTAAAATGATCTGTAAAGATACAGACCATAAACAAATAGCAAAAGTCCTATAAATATTTCAGGGTAGAAAAGACAGAAAACAAATTTTTTAGTACCAGGATTTTACTGTTTTGGTTCTTTTTTCCCTAGATTTTTCCAAAATGGAGTACACTACCTCTCTTTTTCAGTAAAATAATGTGCATTAAGAATACAATTTGTACCCTGGCCAGTTTGGCTCAGCGGTTATAGGGTCGGCCTGTGGACCAGAGAGGCCCGGGTTTGGTTCCCGCTAAGGGCACGTACCTCGGTTGCAGTTTGTCTCCGGCCCCAGTTGAGGTCGTGTGGGTGGCAGCCACTCGATGTGTCTCTCACGTCCATGTTTCTCTCTCTCTCTTACTCCCTCCCCCTCCCGCTCTATCTCAAGATAAATGCAGAAAAAAAATGTCCTTCGGTGAGGATTAAAAAAAAAAAATACAATTTGTTGTCAGAAACATTAATACTAAAAATAGAAAACACACGTGATAAATACCTTGGTTGTGACAAAAAAAGAGAGCTTAAACATAAAGCCACTCTAATAACAAACGCCAAGTGCACGGGAAAGAGGCAGCACGCATCGGAGCCTTAGGGAAGAGCACAAAGGAGAGTGAAAGGGCACAGGTGTCCTGACCAAGTCAGGACTCGGTGGAGGGGACCAGGGAGCGGGCAGATCCCAGAAGAAACTGGGTGCCTTTTCTCTGCCCACACCAGCACCCTAAAAAAATCCATCATCAGGGCAGAACCAACTCTAGTCAGTCCCAGGAAAGCAGGGACCTGCTAGAAAAGAAGCCGCTACACAATTTCCCTCTAGCCTACCTCACACACGGCTGTCTAGGGACAGAACCTCTGGAAGGACCCCAGAGGAGACGAGAGACTAATACGTCCAAGGGTTGAGGACAGTCCTCTGCTCCTACCCACATCTGGAGACAATAACAGACAAAAGAACTGAACACACAGTGCAAAATCCATGGTTCTATGATTGATTACAGTTGCTGACCACTTGTTCCTACCTCCACTAAACTTGTAATTACATTACATCTTGTACGACTCTAACCTATGTATGCCTTGTACATATTAATCAGGTCCTGGTATTTCCTCTTTAAACCCTCCAGTAACTTCCATTGTACTTAAAATGAAATTCAGATTCCTGACCCTGGCTTACCTCACCTGGCCCCTGCCTACCTCTGACTTCATCTCACATCACACCCCACCTCATCCTCTATGCTCCAGCCACACAGGTCTTTCAGTTTCTCAAACACATCAACTTCATTCTTGCTCTGGGGCTTTGCACAAGCTCAGGTTAAAATGCCGTAAGCACTGATATGTCCATGGCTGGTAACAGCTCAGCTTAAAGGTCCCTCCCAGAGAGCTCTCCCCTAAATGCACCACCTGAAACAGCCTCTCAGTCACAATGCATTCCTCTACTTCAATTCCCTGCATAATGATGATCACCACTGGACAGATCTTATTTATATATTCATTTATTTGATTTTCTGTTTCAAACTATTCGTTATAAACTCCACAGAAAAACATGTATTTGTTTTGTTCATGACAGGATACGTCAAAACAAAAAACTACAAATGTTTCCATATTATTAATTTCATATGGTGCAAGCTAATATATTTCCAGCACCTAGAACACTGCTTGGCACACGACACAAATGAGTAGAATGAAGGACTGTCATGGGAATCTGTGCACACATTTATCTCCATGAGAGCAGTTACACAGCATGGACAGATTAGGTACGTTTTTGACACTATTAATGAAATGATTAAATAGAGCAAAGTAAATGATCCAAATAAAGTTACAAAAGTATACCATCTGGGTTAATTTTGTTCAGCAGTTTGTTTAGCTCATTATATTCCACAAATAAGTGAGATCATGTGATATTTGTCTTTCTCTGCTTGGCTTGTTTCCCTTAGCATAATACTCTCTAGGTCCTTCCATGTCATCTCAAAGGATAAGAGATCTTTCTTTCTTACAGCTGCATAGTATTCCATTGTGTACATGTACCACAGCTTTTTAATCCACTCATCTACAGATGGATACTTGGGTTGTTTCTAGATCTTAGCTATTGTAAATAGTGCTTCTATGAACATAGGGTACATATATTCTTTCTGATTGGTGTTTCAGGTTTCTTAAGGTATGTTCCTAGAAGTGGGATCTAATGAGCTAAACAAACTGCTGAACAAAATTAACCCAGAGACATAGAGGTGGGGTACAGACTGACAAGCATCAGAGGAGGGGAGCTTGAGGGGAGACAGAGATAAACCACAGAACTTACATGCATGTATGCATGACCAGTGAACATGGACATCAAAGCTGGGGATAGGGTGGGGGAAAGGGGAGGAGAGTGTCAATGGGGGAAAAATGAGAAACATCTGTAATAAAAACAAATAAATAAAATTTTTAAAAAGTAAACTAAAACTAAATTCTAAATTAGCATACTCAAAATTTGTTTAATTTTTACATAAATGAGGGTGGCAGCCATTTTATTTTAAGAGTTAAAACTTTATAAATACCAACTTGTCCAAAATTTATTATTTGAAAAATCCATATTCAATAAAAATAATTCCACGCAATGACCTTTCTCAGATTGTATTCACTCACAAAGTCACTGAGTGTCTCCCATGTGTCAGGCATCAAGCTCTAACAGTATTATTTCCAGAGAATAATGTTCACTGCATAATATTATTTTAAATATTATGAGCAAAAACCAAGTGAGACGATTGTTTTCTGTCGTACCTGTTTTAATATGAAGGGGAGGAAGAACATTCACACTGTGAGGTGGCAAAATGCAGAGCCGCTGGTTGGTGAAATAGGCGGCCATGAACCGGGCCATGGACTGGATGACCCTCACCGCCGCCTCTGGGTGAACACGTCCAGTCGCTCCCAGCTCAGGAACTGAGGGACACAGCAAACAAACGGAGATTCTGATCAAACCATCAAAAAGCAGTGATATTTAAGTTCCCAACATTATACAGGAAGAAAATTATAACTGATTTTGTTTAGATGAGCACCCATAACTTATGATAGGCATCTATACTTCTTGAAGACAGTAAGAGCAAAAATAATTAGCTCCTAAGTATGAGCACATATACTTACGAACTTGTTACAACTTTAAGTTCCAGTTTTTTGTTTTATTTTGAAATATATTTTTATTTATTTTAAAGAGAGAGGAAGGGAGAGAGGGAGAGAGGTAGAAACATCAATATCGATTGGCTGCCTCCTGCATGTCCCCCACAGGGGATCAAGCCCGCAACCTGGGCATGTGCCCTGACAGGGGATCAAACCGGCGGCTTCTTGGTGCATGGGTCGATGCTCAACCACTGAGCCACACCAGCCGGGCAAGTACCAGTTTTATTTAAAAACATGGAGCCCTGGCCGGTTTGGCTCAGCGGTTAAAGCATTGGCCTGCGGTCTGGAGAGACCCGGGTTCGGTTCCTGCTAAGGGCACGTGCCTCGGTTGCAGTTTGTCCCTGGCCCTGGTTGGGTCATGTGGGTGGCACCCACTCGATGTGTCCCTTTCACGTCGATGTTTTTCTCTCTCTCTCCCTCCCACTCTATCTGAACAAAATATCAAAAAATATCCCCAGTGAGGATAAAAAAAAAAACATGGAGGAACCACGCAAAACAATCCAGCCACAATGCACTTGCAGGCTTGGCATTTCGTATCTTTCCTTCTTCCCTTTCCATTTTTTTTTTTCTTTAATGAAGGCTGCAAGGCTTACTACAAAGATCATCTGAAAAGCACCAGAACAGTGATTCTTAATGCTTTTCTCTGTGCCATTTGGTCTGGGAATTTGAGATACTCCCATTAGAAGGAGTGGCTCACTACAGTAAGAGTCTTTTGGGAGTGAGGGACAAAAGGAATGTGTGTGGCAGAGGAGAAGGGGGTAAGGGACTGGAGGGAGGGACTGTGTCAGGATTCCTGGGGTGATTCTGATATAAACCATGTTATCATCCCTATCTGAGAATCAAAACTCAAAATACAAACTAGCATTTAAAAATTTGAGATAGGCCCTGGCCGGTTTGGCTCAGCAGTTAGAGCGTCGGCCTGCGGGCTGGAGAGACCCGGGTTCGGTTCCCGCTAAGGGCACGTACCTCGGTTGCAGTTTGTCCCCGGCCCTGGTCGGTAGTGCGGGTGGCAGCCACTCGATGTGTCCCTTTCACATCGATGTTTCTCTCTCTCTCTCTGTTCCTCTCTCTCCCTCCCACTCTACCTGAACAAAAAATGGAAAAATGTCCTCGGGTGAGGATAAAAAAAATAAATAAATAAAAAATAAATAAAAATTTGAGATAGTATTTATATATATTTAATAGTTTTTAACTATGGTAACATTAATTTTTATAAAATTTATGGCCCCCAAAATAGCAAAATACCTTTCCTTCCCAGAAGTCACTTGGTACCTTCACAAGAATAGGAAGTTCTACCTGAGTAGGGGCCATTTCTACCTTATCACTGAGTACCCCAGCACCCACCACTGCTTCTCTCATATAGTAGGCACTCAAAAGAACTGCTCATAGGTTTTTATATATACAAATAAAGGGGATTTTGAGAAATTTTTATTAGCCTTTAAGCAGCATTTTTCATTTGGTCACTATAAGTTTTAAAAAGTCATACTGTTTCTTCTCATTAAAGTTAAAATACATGGTAAGAAGTTTTTCCCCTGGGTAAAATTTACTGTAGGAATTATATGAAGGCAGGATGTCTAGTCATTCTAATCATGCAAAACCCAGGAATAAGCCCCTTAAACAGGGAACCACCTGATTCTAAAAGATACGGTCAGAGACTAAAACTGTACCAACTGAGAAGTAAAAAAAAATGTAAAGGGTAATTCTGTATATGGTACAGTGATGATGTTAACAATGGTAACCTTATACAATAAAAATTAAATTATAACTACACACAATGATTCGATGAGGTTCAATGAGGTCAGCGTGCAGTCAAGAGCTCACATGCTGGGCCTGACTACTTCGAAGGCCTGCTTATAAGGTTGGCCCTTGGCTGGCACCTGGGAACTTGGACTTTGGGGAGGATTCCCACCACCTTAACTGATGACAGTGGCTACCTGGACCTAACTGTAAACAATGTGGCTCATGCTGAGCACCTGCTCTCCTTCTGAGAGCATGGCTGGTATGGGTAGGTACAGAGGGCCAGATGACCAGCCCCCAGGAAAACAATGGGCACCAAGTCTCTAGTGAACTTCCCTGACAGACAACACCTCACACGTGCTGGCACACCTGTGGCTGGAGAATGAGGGGCAGTCTTGTGACTCCACCGGAAAGCATTCCTGGAAGCGAGTGTCTGGTTCCCTCTGGACTCCGCCCCATGTACTTTCTCCACTGGTGGATTTTGCTCTGTACCCTTTCACTGCCGTAATCATAGCCACGAGTGAGTCCTCCCTGCGGGTTCACTGAGGGGGCAGCTGGCCTTGGGACCCCGACCCAGCAGGGATATGTTTAATATATTCTAAGCAATTGTCATTAAAAATTTTTTTAAAAAGCCTGAAATAAATACATTACTATAGATTCAGCTTATCTTGAAAGTTAAATCCTGTAATGACAATGCTGCTAAAAAACTGAATATCCAATCAGTTAGAAAATCATACACAAGCCCTGGCCGGTTTGGCTCAGCAGTTAGAGCATCGGCCTGTGGTCCAGAGAGACCTGGGTTCGGTCTCTGCTAAGGGCACGTTCCTTGGTTGCAGTCTGTCCCCAGGCCTAGTTGGGTCATGCAGGTGGCAACCATTCGATGTGTCCCTTTCAATGTTTCTCTCTCTTTCTCTCTTCCTCTCTCTCCCTCCCACTCTATCTGAACAAAAAAATGTCCTTGGGTGAGGATAAAAACAAACAAACAAAAAATCATACACAAAAGCCTTTTGATGCCCCCTGGTGTTGTTCAGTTGGTTGAGCACTGTCCCATGCACCAAGAGGTCGCCAGTTTAATTTCTGGCCAGGGCGCATACCTGGGTTTTGGGCTCGACCCCCCCACAGGGGCTATGCTGAAGGCAACCGATCAGTGTTTCTACCTCTCCTTCTCTCCCTTCCCTCTCTAAAAGTAGCAGCAAAAACATTTTTTAAAAAAAGGCTTTTGCTCATATACTGCTAGCAGAACTTTCTAGAAGGCAACCAGGTCTTAAGACCATGGATTCTCTTAAATCCCATAACTTGTATCTAGAAATTCATCCTAAAGAAACTTAGTGCTCACAGGAAGCTGTGGACACTCTTTACAACAGCAAACACGTGTCCACAGCCTAAACTGTGCAATAATGGGGGAAAAGGGTTAATGGGTCTGATAAAAAGAATACTATTTACATTGTAAACATTCATCATAATATAAAATTTTAAAAGATTACGGAACAGAATACACAGCTCTAAGAGTATACATGTATAGAGACAAAAAACTGATAGATAGCATCATAAGTGATTTTATTTTTCTCTTTGTATTTTTCCATATTTTCAAAATTGTCTAAAATGAGCATGCATTACTTACATAACAAACACAAAATTTTTAAAAATATCACAGCCCTGGCCTGTCTGGCTGAGTGGTTAGAACTTCAGCCCGCAGAGTTCCAGTCAAGGGCACGTACCTTGGTTCGTCCCGGCCCTGGTCAGGTTGTGTGGGAGGCAACCAGTCGATGTGGCTCTATCATATCAATGTTTCTCTCTCTCTCTCCCTCTCTCCTACTCTATCTAATGATAAATGGAAAAATATCCTCGGGTGAGGAATAAAAAAAAAAAAAAAGATATCAGAGAGTAGGAAATCTATAAACAGTGGCTGACACCATATAAAACTAAGTTGGCATAGACTCCGTGGGTCTTTCAGACACACTGATCTGCACAGTACACGTCTAATAGTCTGTGCCCCACCACCACTGTAAATACACTATGTGTTGATTCATATGTATCTTTCACTCTGGTTATCACTTAACTTAAATATACCCCTCATACAATGGCAATACAAATATTCTGCAGCCTCTTAAACAGATTTTTCAAGATTCACAATACCTCAGTAAATGATTTTCATCACTTTACCAAACCACCTTAAACAAAAGTTAAATATAAATATATTAAGGAAAGACACTAGAGTACCTAATTTTGTATCTAACAAATATAGCTGTGAGAAGACAATTCGATCAGTTTAACAGGCAGTCACTGCTAAGTCCTGGAAATCCAAAGATAAAAAAAAAGGTTCTTGCTGTTGAGAATCTACTAGTCCAAAATTGACCCTAATAGAGCAGAACGACCAACTTTTATGTATAAGCAATTTCATATCTAAACCTATAAATACAAACTAATAAGATGAACATACTGATTTTTTAAAAACATACCTGAACTATCGTCATCTTCTTTTACAGGTAGGTGGGACCATCTCAGTATTTCTCTTACTAGCTGATCACACAATCCTTGAGCATCGTTTAAATTATAGCTATACAAGTGGCAGTACAAAAGAGAAAGGTAATAGCGTATCTGAAGAAAACAGGTCCTTCTTCCTCCTTAAACCGGAAAGAATTAAGCTTAGGTTAAAAACAGGTCATGTTCTTGATCTGGGTGCTAGGTAGATTCTCTGTTTAGTTTATGAAAATTCATCAAGCTGTACATTCACGTTATATGAACCTTTCTGTATCTATTTTATACCTCAATAACAGACTCTTTAAAAAACAGGTGAGCAATACTTTTGTTGTTTTTCATTTTAGGTTTGAACAGTTTTACTTCTTTCATCAGGCCCAGGATGACTAAGATTTTATCCAAAGAGAACTGCAAATCCTCATTATCTCAGCTTCACTAACATCTATCTCAAGCACACATGGTCTGAAACAGAAGGGAACATGGTAACATGCCCCCCCCCCCCCGCCCTGAAACCATACAAACATCAAACAGATGGTCAAAGAGACTTCCCAAAGGAGGAGAAACACTAACTGATAGGTGCTTAGGGCTGAGATTGCTGGTTGCCTGTCCCTTACCATTCTTCCTCAGTAAAAGAGTTCCAACTTTATTTGGGGTATCAATGCACCCAGATCACAATTTCTCACTAGATGTGGCAACGTGAAAATTTGACTGTGTTCTGAACTAAGAGATAATACTGTGAACTTCCAGAAAAGCTGTTAGGGATAACTCAGTTAGGAGGAGCACCCTTTCTTGCTGCCTAGAATATAGACGTGATGGCTGGAGCTCCAGCACCCATCTTAGCTCACGCATGGCCATAAGATCGGAAGCAATGTACGAGGATAACAGAGTTAAAAAACTACAGCAGGATGATGGGTCCCTAATGAGACTACAGAAACGCCAAAGCTGCCCCAGACCGTCAACTTCTGTCCTCTTTCCTCAGAAAGAAATGAGCTTCCTCCTGGCTGAAGCCGCTGTTCCTTACTAGAAGCCAGTCCTCACACAAACAGTGGACACGAAAAGGTCCGCCATGGAATTCATTATAAAACCTGCCTCAGACTCTTCATCCCCTTGAACGCCCCTCTTCTTCATCCAGCTGGACAATCCCCAGATCTGAAAACTACATTAGACTTCTTTCTGCGGATCTACTCAGTCACAAGTCCAACCGATCAAACCTACCAAGTATCGGTCCAATGTGACCCCGTCCTCCAGTACTCTTGGCATTGCTTTGGTTCAGACCTCTTCAAATAATTAACCTCTGTTTCTAGGTAAAATCTACATCTCTACACCACACTCCTACAAATGACCCTCCACAGTGTAGCAAAGTGGTCCTTCCAAATGGCCTATATTTATTTGGAAAGTTCTCTTTCCTACGTGAAGTATCTTAACTGATCCCACCGTCTTCAAGATAAAATCTTTCTCTCTTATATCAGGCACTAAACACTGATTAAGTAGATGAATAAAGGAAACATACAAAGCCACAGCAGTCAGAAAACAGATTTAACTGGCCAAACCTGACCATGTGGTAGTTGCGGTCAGAACTGGTTTCAGTGTCTTGTTCTACAAATTCCAAGACTAAGACTAATTTGAAATAAAACTAATTAAGTTTTATTATTCATAAACTGATAAGGCTAATTTTAAATAAAATAAATATTTCTGACAGTCAAGGTTCCTATAATATGTGTTAATTCTATTGGAGCACTAAGAATTATAAGCACTGCCCTGGCTGGTCTGGCTCAGCAGTTGGAGTGTCAGCCCACAGACTAAAGGGTTGAGGGTTCGATTCTGGTCAAGGGCATGTACCTGGCTTTCATCCAGATTCCATCCCCGGCCCGGTCAGGGTCAGCCGGTAGGGAACCCATCAATGTGTCTCTCAGATCGATGTTTCTCTTTCCTTTCCTCCCTCCCTCCCACTCACTCTGTCTAAAAATCAACGGAAAAGTGTCCTCAAGTGAGGATTCACTAAAAAAAAATTATAAGCACTAAAATTTGGAATTATTTTTAAGCTCTAAAGCATGCTAAAATACGTTTCTACCAATATTATGGCAAATATATTTTTAATGACTCCTACCATTCTCTCGGGTTTCTTGTAGAGCTTCCTTCCACAGTTGAACCGACTTTTCATATGATCCTAACAGGAAACACTCTTCACCTACAAAGTTTTTAACCAACAATTAGTTATGGTTCATTATATTACTTTATAAAAATTTACTTTGTCTTAAAACTTAGTGGATATAGCTAAGCCAGACATTTTGAAAAACAAATCATTGTAACCAATTAATAAAATCAAAGCCCAGTTAGCTCTATGGCTTATTCATGGGGAAAGGAATTGTTTATATGATACTGACCGTTGATAGAATTGAGCTCTAAGGTCTGGTTCAAGCAGACTCCGGCAGTCTGTAAGTTAGCCTGGATGTGACATAACAGGGACTGGACAGTAGACGCTTCATGTGTCAACTTTGCAGTTAACTGTCTGTCACCTTTAGGAACTCTTCGATTTAACTGTGTCTGATACCATAACGTTTTTTTGTACAGCACTCTCCAGAGAACCATCAATCTGCACACAAAATTAGGTAATCATCCAAACCAAACTCCAGCCATGGGAAAATAAGACTCACTCTGGCCTCCTGCTCGGCCCTTCTTCTCGGCCTCCATTCTTTACTGGTGTTATAACATATACAGACTGATCAGATTTAAATATAGCACAAAGTCCACTAATCCAAAAAATGCTATCACATTTTTTTAATCTTCATAAACGCTTTATGTACCTGTGGTCATCTTACTACAGGGCTCAAATCAAGATCTCTCAACAGCATCCTGGTTGCCCAAGGCTAATAAAATATGTGTGTTGAATAACATTCGGCATAAGTCCCAAAATACTTTTAGATAAAATAAATCTATAGCCCTGGCTGGTTTAACTCAGTGGTTAGAGCGTAAGCCTGCAGACAGAAGGATCGCGGGTTTGATTCCCAGTCGAGGGCATGTATCTGAGCTGCAGGTTCGATCCCTGACCCGGTCAGGGGGGTCGTGTGGGAGGCAACCAATCGATGTCTCTCTCTCACATCAATGTTTCTCTCTCTCCTTCCTCCCTCCCTTCCAGTCTACCTACAAAACCAATGGAAAAATGCCCTCGGGTGAGGACGAACACAAAAATAAATAAATCTATAATGCTGAGTGCTGACGGATATTCACAAGGTTTCTTTTTGGGGTGATAAAAATATTCTGGAATTAGTGCTAATAGTTCTACAACCTTGTGACTATACTATAAACACTGAACTGTAAACTTTAAAACGGTGAAATTTATAGTATGGGAATTATAGCTCAATTTTTTAAAAATTTTTTAAATTAATTTATTTTTGTTACAGATGTTTCTCCTTTTTTTCCCCATTGACACCCTCCTCCTCATCCCTCCCACCCCGTACCAGGCTTTGTTGTCCATGTCCATCGGTTATGCATACATGCATGTAAGTTATGTGGTTTATCTCTTCCCTCCCCCTATCACCCCTTCTTCTGAGGGTTGTCAGTCTGTACCCTACTTCCACGTCTCTGGGTCTAACTCTATTCCCCAGACTGTTATGTTCATTATATTCCACAAATAAGTGAGATCATATGATATTTGTCTTTCTCTGCTTGGCCTATTTCGCCTAGGATAATACTTTCCAGGTCCCTCCATGTCGTCTCAAAGAATAAGAGATCTTTCTTTCTTACAGCTGTGTAGTACTTCATTGTGTATATGTACCACAGCTTTTTTATCCATTAATCTACTGATAGACACTTGGGCTGTTTCCAGATCTCAACTATTGTAAATAGTGCTGTATAGCTCAATTTTCTAAAAAGGAAAACAAATCTATAATGCTGATGGTATACTAACATTAAAGTAATTATACCTGTGTCCTGACTGTTGAACAAGATTTACTACTTGAGGACAAATCTTGAAAGATGAATTCCAAGACCAGTTTTCCTGAGAACCACTATCTTGAAATATTTGAAAAATGGGTACCAACAATGAGTCTTGATTTGCTGTTCTATTTCCATTAGTTGATGCTGAAATAACTTCAGGTTGAAGATGATATATGCCATTTAAATTATCAGCTGCCATCCGGAGTAAATGAAAACAGGCTAAAAGCCTCTCTGAGAACCACTGACCCTGTTGTTGCTGAGTCAAAAAAAGTTTCATAGCACCTGAGGTCAGCTTCACCAAGTGCCTCAGGTCTGGTCTGCACCTCACATCCCAGTACTGGACTGATAAGCAGTGACGAAAGAGTTGAAAGACACAAAGAACCCACGCATCGTGTCTTGGTCTCTTGCTTAAAGAAAGATCAAGTTTGGGGAAAGGACATTTTATAAACTGAAGAATGTACAAAAAATGAGTAATACAAACTACTGTGTAATTTAACATTAAATTTTTTTCCGTCACGTTTTTTGAAATTCCTATAGTCCATGCTGCAAGGAGATTTTTCTGGACAGAATGCAGTTCTGTACTGGTTCTGTCCGTCTCCTTGGTGCTCTCCTTTGCATGTATCGTATCAAACATAGACGCAAATTCCAGTCTTCCCTCCTTGGCACTACTAAACAATGGGTCATTCTTTTGGTTCCAAAAAGACAATAAGCTGTTTGGAAAGTATGTGCTTTCGTTAGTTTCTTCTGTTTCAAAATCCTAAAACATGAGTTGAAAAAAAAAATGTACTTAATATCATTTAATACCTTATAAGTAGAATCACTTAGCGTTCCCATATTTCTCTTCCCTTTAACAAGGGAAAAACAAAACACTTTTCTTGGAATAAAGGCAAAGTGAATGAAACCCCGCCACTAAGTACCTGCGAATCTGCTGTTTTTTCATGTAACTTCATTGTTTCTTCCCCCTGCAAGAATCTGGGGACAGTAGAATCGGCTGAACATTCGTTTCGTTGGTATTTTAACAGGCTCGACCTTAGGGAATCCAACGACGGCAAGTTCAGCCCTTTGCCTTTTGGCTATAGGAGAAAAGATTTCCAAGAGCAAAATTTTATCCGTAATTCTATTACAAGCAGTTAAAAAGTCTATAGACAACTGCATGCAATCCAAGGACATTAATGTCACTATAGTTTTAAATCTGAAAAAATAGGAAGTCAACCCTTACGAATGATACCAAAAAGCATTATACCTTAGACAGTATCACACTTTGGTATGTTCTCTCAAGCCTCTGCGTTGAATCAAGCAGAAGGGATCTCATGAGCACTGATGGAGACAAGCTATCAAGAAATCGGAGGGTTGTAACCATGTAGCCATCAGAAACAATGAGGTAGGGTAACCGTGAGTGTGCTTTCACAGAAAATCTCTGTCTCAGAGGGTCACTATCAGACGCTGATGAATCTACAGAATTATTTGAATCTTGAAACGTAAACTGCGGTGGTCTAGCAAACAAACATCAAAATTCAAGAATTAGTAAGATAAAAACCCTAAAGAAAACTCATATTATTCCAAAGAAAAGCAAAGCGACAATTTAAAGTTACAGAATGATGAAAACGCAAGCAAATTAAACACAAAAATATTAAATGTGTAATCTCTGTAAGAAAAACATAAGTGATTACATTAACATATAGGTTTATGTGTTTTTTTAATTTTCCTTTAATTGTAGTATTTTGTTTCTAATCTAGTTCTATATAAACTATTCAGAAAAGAACACAATTCATTTTTACCATTAGAGTTAAATATTTAACTTTCTTTCTTACTATATACTTAAATATGCTTATAAGAATATAATTACAAGCTATGAGTACACGTTACTGAAGAGAAAGAAAAATATAAGAATATTTGGAAAGAATGGTGATGAGCAAAATTTTATCAGCTTAGGATTAATTTGACTGAATTTTCACATAAATGTACCTATTTATTGTTATGGTGGTGTACTTGATTCTAATTACTTATTATTGCTGCTTATGGGCTTTGGGGTTTTATAAATATAAAGAGGACAATCAAAATATATTATGATTTTGCGGGGTTAAGAGTATTCAAATATAGATTTTTTTAGCCAAATGGTTAACAATAGAAGATTGGTTAATTATAGTATGTACACCACACCACAAATCTATGGAACTATTAAAAATGACTTCATGAAAAGATGTATAGGATATACTGTTAAAACAAAAAAGCAAAATACAAAACAGCGTATATATATATATGTGTGTGTGTGTGTGTGTGTGTGTGTATATATATATATATTTTTTTTTTTTTTTTTTTTTTTTTTTGGTACGTACTCCTAGCGGGAACCGAACCCAGGACTCTCTGGTCCGCAGGCTGATGCTCCAACAGCTGAGCCAAACTGGCCAGAGCTCATTTCTTTTTTAATAAAAGAATCTGCCCTGGCCCATTAGCCTCAGCAGTTGGAGAATCAAACCATGGACCCAAGAGTTGCAGGTTCAATTCCGATCAAGGGCACGTACCTCAGTTGCAGTTCAGTCCCTGGCCCTGGTCGGGGTCATGAGGGAGGCAACTTATCAATGTCTTTCTCTCTCACATCAATGTTTCTCTCTCTCTCCCTCCCATTCTATCTGAAAATAAACAGAAAAATATCCTCGGATGAGGATTTAAAAAAAAGAAAGAAACTAATATTATTATTATGAGTTATATAATTTTTAATATGGAGGATAATATACTAAAATATTAATAATTGTTATCTCTGAGAAATATGACAAGAGTCTTGCTTTCCACATTAGTTTTGTAACATTTAATTTTTAAGTTAAAATAATGAATATGTATTATTTTTGTAATTAAAATCAATACAAAAGAAAAATAAAAATAAATAAAAAAGCAATACATTTTGAAATGCCTTAAGTATTAATTTAAAAAAAAAATGTGAGGATGCCCATCCAGTGTGGCTCAGTGGTTGAGTATCAATCCATGCATCAAGAGGTTCCTGGTTCAATTCCCGGTCAGGGCACATGCCCAGGTTGTGGGCCCAATCCCCAGCAGGGGGCATGCGTGTTTAGCCAATTGATGTTCTCATTGATGTTTCTCTCTCTCCCCCTTCCTCTCTCACTAAAATCAATAAGGAAAAACAAATTTTTTTTTTTTTTTTAATCCTCACCGGAAGACATTTTTCCATTTTTTGTTCAGGTAGAGTGGGAGGAAGAGAGAGGAACAGAGAGAGAGAGAGAGAAACATCGACGTGAAAGGAACACATCGAGTGGCTGCCACCCGCATGACCGACCAGGGCCGGGGACAAACTGCAACCGAGGTACATGCCCTTAGCGGGAACTGAACCTGGGTCTCTCCGGACCACAGGCCGATGCTCTAACCGCTGAGCCAAACCGGCCAGGGCCAATTTTTTTAAAATAAATAAATAAAAAGAATGTGAGGAAATTCAAGTAAATTATGAATCAGACCATAAGAAATATGGGAAAAAATACTCTCACTGAAGGAAATAAATTTTTCTGTTAGAATATTCTATTGCTAAAAATTAAGCATCATTTTTTGCTAAATAAAATCCAGAACATAACCCCTCCTCTGTAAAGCAAGGAGAGTAAATTAATTTCTAAGTCCCTTTCCAATTCTTTTTACCTTCCTTCATTTCTTGAACGAATCATTATTATCTTCCTTTCACAGCAAAAGAAACAGAGGCTCAAGGAATAACTCACCCAAAGTCACACAATGAATAAGTAGAAGAAACAAGATTTGAATTTTGGTCTGACACCAAAGCCAAATGCTACCCCATCTCACAATTAAAAATGTAAATGTGGCTAATTTCTAACGTCTTTTATCCATTTCCAACAATTGTTTCCAATTGGGAAAAGAAGTGGATAAATCCATATGCCAACGTATATTGTTATTAATTTATCTCGGTGCTCTCCTTTTAAAATAAAGGACATACTTTCATATCAAAGATAGCAAACTTTTTACTGCTACTAAAATTTAAATAAGTTATACTTACATAATCACAATGTCAAATTTTCACCAGGATTAAGCCACAAAAAAGAAATAGAAAAAAAAAACTATAAATAAGAAACAGATATTGAGATGACACACTCAAAGAAAAAATAAGACAATTTGAAAGATAAAATTATTTTGAAAAATACAATAAAGTAATACCAAAATAGGAAAACTTCTGTAAACAAATGAAAGTAATTCAGATGTCTCACCTATACGTAATCAGTGGGTGAAGAGGAATAAATTCTGCTGGCCCAAATTCTATAGAGCAACCACGTGTAATTAATGTTAGCAATTCACCTTGGCATGTCAATAAAACCAGGGAGCCACGTTTTAACATACATGCCAGAAAAAGACTGTCATGAGTCCAGCTGATATCACCTACCCAGTACGACCTAGAAAGAGCAAGACAGTGTGTTTAGAAGGAGTCTAGACAATGTCTTTAACAATTTATAACAGCCAAGCAGGGGTGAAACACTTCAAAAAAACAAGGGCAAAAGAATGGTTGGTAGATAACTGCCACATACATTTGTGTATTTCACTTCCCAGGGAAAAAGAGTTTGCTCATAAACATCTACTCCATACAACATACTAACTAGAAATTTAGATTCACAAGCAAATCATAAAATAAAAATATTCCCTCAAAGAGTTAAGCATTTTAGTTACTCATATTTTTAAAAAATATTTTTTCTTTATTGGCTTGAGAGAGAGAGGAAGAGGGAGAGATAGAAACATCGATGAGAGAGAACATCGAATGGCCACCTCCTGCATACCTCCACTGGGGATCAGGCCCACAACCTGGGCATGTGCCCTGACCGGGAATGGAATCGGCGACCTCTTGGTGCATGGGTTGACACTCAACCACTGAGCCACACCGGCTGGGCTAGTCACTCACATTTTAATTAGAAGAACTTTCAATCCTTCGGTTGTCCACAGCCAAGATGTACTGACAGACCCGAGGGTCGGCGCCCAGCCTGAGCTCTGTGCAGTGCGCCAGAGCTCCACACGGTGCAGGCTCCCTCCCACAAAGCCATCGTTTCTACTCCTTAACTGTCTGGTAATATTGATGTTTCATGGAGACAAAATGTAGTCCCCCCTCATGTAAACGATGGTCACCCTAAGTCAAACAGGCTGCTGAACTGAGACCAGAGATACTTTCAGAAAGGAACTTTTACCGGGGGGAGGCAGGGACACGAAAATGAAGAGGCAGGGCTGGATTGGCCTAAAAACTTTGAAAATTCAGAAAATAGCACAGAAAAGTGTGCAGAAAGAGAAATTTGGAGGTCCAAGAGGAAATCTTCCTATTCTATAGTCCCACGTAGGTCCTGGTGGTAGCTCAGGTGCCACCCAAAATCATGTTGCTATTGGCCCAAATGCAGAGAATGCCAACTTTGTTTAAAAGGCTGTAAAACCTCAGCCTCTGAGTACATAATGGTCTTCCCACCAGGTGTTTCCAGTTCAGCCTCTCCAGTTAAGCCCAATATTTTTCTACCCAGTCATAATTCCACTCTTCCTTGGACAACATAGAAAAATATGTATGTTTATGTATCTTCTACCCAACCAGACCCTTCCTTAAAGTACTTAAGGCTTTCTTTATATAAAGCAATTTTCAGTATCTATTAAGCACAAATGCTGAAAATTGTATTATCTATCTACCTACCTACCTATTTAGACACCAACTAAATTATCAGAGCCTAAAACTTATCGAACTTATCGAAAAAAAAAGAAAAACAGTTTAGAAATACAAGAGTTCTTACCTGACAAGTGTAGCTGGAACAACAGGATTCTTATTGCTACATCCTTTAAGGCAACCACTGAGAGTAACAAAATTCAGTGTGTTTATAAATAATACCTGAGTTGCCTAGAAAGAATTTTAAAAAGACAACAAAACCATTAAATTTATTTTACTTTAGTCGTTACTTACACTTCTGGAAACCTAGAGATCTTTTTTTTTTTTTTAATCCTCACCCGAGGATATGTATCCATTTATCTTCAGATAGAGTGGGAAAAAGGGATAGAGGGAGAGAAAAACATCGCTGTGAGAGACACACATCGACTGGCTGCCTCCTGCACAAAGTTGACCATGGCTAGAACTGAACTGCAACCGAGCTAGGTGCCCTTGACTGGAATCAAACCTGCAACTCTTTGGTCTGAGGGCCAACGCTCTAACCGCTGAGCCAAACCAGCAAGGGTGAGATCTATTATCATATCAGAAAACTATCTAGGGGTCTTTCCCAACTGGCAAAACAATACTGACCACCTATTTTCTCTTTTTGCTTTCATTCTACATTTTAAGAACATCAGTTACCACACTGCCCTTCTTTCTTCCATTTCCCTTAACCTCTTTTAGCTTCTGAAAGCCAAGTTTTGAAAACTATGGCAGCTAATTTCAGTAACTTTACCAATCCACAATGTTCAATCGATCAGAAAACACCAATTTCAAGTACATAAAGAACTATCTTCAGGGGAAGAAAAATCTCAAAACTGGACTAAACTCTGTCTTTTATAGGTTACTTCCAAGACAGGTTACAAATCTCAAAACTGGACTAAACTCTGTCTTTTATAGGTTACTTCCAAGACAGGTTACATTTACTGACCTTTGGGTCTTTCTGATTAAGAGTTACTGCCAAGGTGAGGCCATCACTCGAAAAGGCAGAAATCAGAGCTCCTCTTGACTTTATTGATTCACATGCAGGAGTTAGACTACACAGAAGGCAATCTTGCTGTGCCCAATGAACACTGTATGGCAGTGATCTAAGAAAGTAATGAAATAATTAAAAACAGGAGGTATAGTTAATACCTAGTACATTATAAAATTAAATTAATACCTAGTACATTATAAAAAATTAAAGGGTCCAACTAAATTCCTACATATGCACATGTATTAGGGGACCTCTTAGCAACTGTTCAGAAGTTTTATCCAGATAACAGAAGAACGGTCACCAGTTAAACAAGCTCGATATGAGTTTTGTTAGTAATAGCATGTTCCATAGCGAAACCCAAATACATCTGCTTCCACTACAGGTTTAAGATACATATATTTCTACATTATTGCTAACATTTTGAGGGGACTAAATAGGTAGAGAATAGGGGATTTTCTGGATAGCATTCTATACTTGACATGAAGATGATTATACACACAGATATTCATTGAAGTCCAGGTGCACACTATAGCTTTGTTCATTTTACTTTATATAAATTACACCTTAATAAGTAAGGTATTGCTAGCATTAAAAAAATGAAGAAAATAAACAGAAAGAAAAACAACCAAAAAAAAAAAAACCCAAAAACACTATTTCAGTAAATCTTATTTAGGCATTATATGTTTTAAATGCATTCTTTCTATTTTCTTGGGCTTTTTAGAATAAAACTATTTTCATTATTTATTTATTTTAAGTATTTTTCTTTATTGATTTCAGAAAGAGGGACAGAAACATCAATGAGAGGGAACATCAGTTGGCTGCCTCCTACATGCCCCCTACTGAGGATCGAGTCCAAAACTGGGCATGTGCCCTGACCAGTAATTAAACCAGCGATCTCTTGCTGCATGGGTTGACATTCAACCACTGAGCCACACAGGCTGCGCAAGAATAAAACTATTTTTAAATGAAAAATTTTCAAGGAATACTATGCAGCTATAAGAAAGAAAGATCTCTTATCTTTTGAGACGACATGGAGGAACTTGGAGAGTATTATGCTAAGCAAAACAAGCCAGGCAGAGAAAGACAAATATCACATGACCTCATTTATTTGTGGAATATAATGAACTAAACAAACTGATAAACAAAATAGACCCAGAGTCAAAGAAGTAGAGTACAGACTGACAAACCTCAGAAGAGGGAGTTGGTGGGGAGGAAAAGATAAGCCACAGAGCTTACATGCATGTATGGACATGGACAACAATGCTGGGGACAGGGTGGGGGGGATGGGGAGGAGGCTGTCAATGGGGGGGAAAGGAGAAACATCTGTAACAAAAATAAAATTAAAATAATTTTTAAAATAAAAATAAAAAAATCTCGAGCATTTAAAAAGTACTGTAAATTCAAGTAAGTTATGTACCTTTTATTAAGTAAATTAAATTAAATTACTTTCCAAAATACTTTTTTATCGTCTTAAAACATGTTTTCATTTTTATTTTAGCATTATTTTTTAATCCTCATCTGAAGACATTTTTTTCGTTTTTTGTTCAGATAGAGTGGGAGGGAGAGGAAGAGAGAGAGAGAGTAACATCGACGTGAAAGAAACACATCAAGTGGTTGCCACCCGCATGACCCATCCAGAGCTGGGGACAAACTGCAACCGAGGTACATGCCCTTAGCGGGAACCAAACCCGAGTCTCTCTGGACCGCAGACCGATGCTCCAACCGCTGAGCCAAACCAGCCAGGGCTCAATAAAGATAATTTTTTAAAAAATGAAAACTAAAGAAATAAAGCAATACTTATGGGAAGAAAGGATCTGTAAAGTCTCAGAAGTTGGAAATCACATTTCATTTACTAATCTAATTATGTGTGTATAAGCTGAAAGATGATAGTTTTAAAAGGGAGAGAAAATAAGAAGGAAACATTTACCTCACCTCATAACTGTAAATACATTTTCATGCCACCGAACTGCTAGAAATGCCAACTTCAGACATTCCCCAGAATAAAAAGTAAATGAACACAAGCAGCAGTCTCCAAACAACTGTAAATAAATTTAACATACTTTAGTATATAATAAATATGAAAAATAAGTCCAGATATACATCTCATCATAAATAAATGAAACATATCGACATCTTACTTGTATTTTTATTCTTAACATTAAGTACAGACTAATTTATTTCTCAGCCAGGGGCATATTCCAATGGGAAATCAAGGTGCAGTTTATTCTCTTAAGAAAACAATGCTCTTTACTGTGGCTATAACTAAAAAGATTCTTTCATAATACTTTTCCTCTTTTTTCCCTCTTTTTGTATAGTCTGAATCAGGGCACTAACCCTGGAGGTGGGGTGAGGTAGAGGAATACAAGAAAATCACCAAATGCAACTTCTAACCATTGTGGATTAGGCTGTACAAAATGTTGGTCCATACAAAGAGCACTATGCTGCTATTTAAAGAAATGTTTTTTAGTTCATAAAATGTGTTATTTCCTGGGAATTAAATGGCTCATTTAATATCACCAATTCTAGCTTTTTAAATTACAAAACTAGTTAAATTAAAAAAAAAATGTCTTTTCTTGATTTTAGAGAGAGAGGGAGAGGGAGAGATAGAAACATTGATGAGAAACCACATCGATGAGCGAGAACATCAACTGGCCACCTCCTGTGTGTCCCCGCCTTGGGATCGGGCCCACAACCTGGGCATGTGCCCTGACCAGGATTCAAATGGGCGACTTCTCGGTGCAGGGTTCGATGCTCAACCACTGAGCCACACCAGCAGGGCAAAAGTAGTTCTATTTTAAAACTAGGGAAAAGTAAAACTAGGGAAAGAGAAAGGAAGCTCTAATTTCAAATGTTTATTTTTTTGTTACTCCTCACCCAAAGATATATTTCCATTGATTTTTAGATACAGTAGGAGAGAGGGAAGGAGGGAAGGAGGAAGAGAGACATTGATGTGAAAGAGACACATCAATTGGTTGCATCCTGCACAACCCTGACCAGAGCTGGGGACAGAACGTGCAACCCAAATACATGCCCTTTACCGGAAATCAAACCCATGACCCTCTGGTCCATGGGCCAATGCTCTAACCACTGAGAAAACCGGCCAGGGCTACTTTTACCTTTTTTTTAAATCCCCACTTGAGGATATGTTTATTCATTTTTAGGGAGAGAGGGAGAAGGGGAGGGAGGAGCAGAGGGAGAGAGAGGGAAAGAGAGAAACATTGATGTGAAAGAGAAACATCAATCGGTTGCCTCCCCTCCATGCCCCCACCAGGAATCAAACCCCACAATCTTTTGTTGTATGGAACAACGCTCCAACCAACTGAGCCACCAGTCCAGGGCAAACCATTTTTCATGACTTCTTAAAATGTGACCATAAAATATAAAAATATATTTTCCATAATAATTACACAATTACTGTGACAATACAACTGGAGACCTACATCTATGCCATTGTCCGCTTGACTTGTCCTCTTAAGCTTCAGACAGGGTCTGTTCTTAAGAGTCCGAGGTCCCAACTTTTAGAACACCCTATCTGATTTGGATTTACCTCATTTTTTATAAAAACCGCATGCACTACAGCTTCTTTATCTTCAGTGGAAGGCAAATGAACTGCTTCTTCAGGTAGGATCTGGGACCACCGGCCCGTCAATGAAGGGTTTTTAGAAGATAAGATATTCTTGAATTCCAAATACTCCCAAAGAAATATGCATCCAGAAGTTATAATCAGAACCCTTTTTCCATCTCCAGATACATACAAATAGAGTCTCAATGAGCTTGCTAAAAAAAAAAAAAAAAAAGTAATTAGACCTTGAAGTCTGAATTCCCTCCAGAGGCTACATAATTTATCTATTCTGACAAAGAAACCTGAATGATACTATCATTAAAGATTTAAAACTAAGGCAGTAGTAATAAAAAGTACAAATAATGGGAACATTTATCATGTATTTATGTGATATTAGGAACCCACTGTTATGAGATAGATCCATCCTGAAGTTTGGTATACCTGACCTAAGTCTCACAAATACACATCACCAAAAAAATTCCCACATATTTATACACACAGAGAGATATATACAGAGAGGTTTTTTTTTTAATTTTTAGCTTTATTTATTCATTTAAATTTTAATTTAATTTTTTCCATCACCATTTATCCCCTCTCTGCCCTCTTCCACCTCCACCCACCCCTGCAGTCACCACACTGTTGTCCATGTCCATGATTTGGAGGGAGAGATTTTTTTTAAATAGCAATAGGAAAATGTTTCATTCTTTTTTCCTATTTATCAAGTTAAGCCAATTTAAACAAATACATTCTCACCAACTACAGCTTTAATCATTTCCTTAGGCTTTTCAGTTGCTTGTATAGTTTTCAGACAATCTTGATCTTTGTTCCAAAGGAAAAGCTCTCCTGTAGTAAGTACCCCAGCCAGCCATGCATCTGTTTCCAAAAAGGGAATGAAATACTTATAATGTAGTATTTCCCCTAATATTGTCCCAAATTATTAAAAAAATTCAGTTAATGCAGCCTTTGAAAATGTCAGTACTACTTCACCATTACTGGACGTTGTCAGGACAACAACATCCTTCAGCAAAGGCTGCAGTCGAGAAATTTTCTTCTTTGTCCTTCCTGAGAGCAAATTAATTTCATTTATGAGTTTATCATCCAATAGGAAAACAGCTTCGTTTTCCTAAAAGAAGAAATATGAGACACTTAAGAGATGCCAGAAGTTCATCCAAACTCTTATCGTCCCAGGAAGAAAAATAAAGTGACATTTAAGATTATACATTTGTACCACGAGTCATAAAATGAACAATAAGGCTGATTAGGTAACCTGAAGATTTTTTTCTTCTCTTTTTTTTTTTTCAATTTTTATTAACTTATTTTTGTTACAGAGGTTTCTCCTTTCCCCCCCCCATCCTGCCCCCCACCCCCCTAGCTTTGTTGTCTATGTCCATTGGCCGCGCATACATGCATATAAGTTCTTTGGTTCATTTCATCCATCCCCCCCGCCCCGCACCCCTACTCTGAGATTTGTCAGTCTGAACCATACTCCTTTCTATGTCTCTGGGTCTATTTCATTCATGAGCCCAGAATGTTCATTATATTCCACAAATAAGTGAGATCGTGTGGTATTTGTCTTTCTCTGTCTTATTTCACTTAGCATAATACTCTCGAGATCTCAAAGGATAAGAGATCTTTCTTTCTTACAGCTGCATAGCGTTCCATTGTGTATATGTACCACTGCTTTTTTATCCACTCGATTGATATCGACACTTGGGCTGTTTCCAGATCTTAGTGCTGCTATGAACATAGGGGTACATATATTCTCTCTGATTGGTGTTTCAGGCTTCTTAGGGTATATTCCTAGAAGTGGGATCACTGGGTCAAATGGCAGTTCAATTTTTAACTTTTTGAGGAAACTCCGTACTGTTTTCCATAGTGGCTGCACCAGTCTGCATTCCCACCAGCAGTGTGCTAGAGTCCCCTTTTCTCCACACCTTTGCCAGCACTCGTTTGATGATTTGTTGATGGCAGCCATTCTGGCAGGTGTGAGAAGATTTTTTCATTCTAACTTAAAAAACCTCATTAAAATTACTTGGCTCAGTGGACTGAGCGTCCTCCCATGGACTGAGAGGTCCGTCCAGGTTCGATTCCCAGTCAGGGCACATGCCTGGGTTACAGGCTCCATCCCTAGTACGGGGTGTGTAGCAGCTGATCAATGTTTCTCTCTCACCTCAATGTTTCTATCTGTCTCTCCCTTCCTCTCTCTCCAAAAAAACACAATAAAAACATGTAGATTTTTAAAAATTTCTTGGTAAAATGACCTAATGATTGCAATTGCAATTTAGATTTCTTCAAAGTTTAAAATTTTAGCAGTGCTTTCAATTCTGCTAGCCAAAACCGGGTTATCAATTTGAACACTAATATGTACAAGTTTTTAAATTATTTATTTAGATTAAAATAGATATACCCTGGCTCTGATCGTTTTTTATTACTGAGGAAAAGTATGCTGGGTTTTTTGTTCATTCGTTTGTCTTTTTATCCTCACCTGAGGACATTTTTGCATTTATCTTCAGATAGAGCGGGGGTTGGGGGGCATCGATGTGAGAGAGACACATCGAGTGGCTGCCACCCACACGACCCCAACCAGGGCCAGGGACAAACTGCAACCAAGGTACATGCCCTTAGTGGGAACCATCATAAATTTCAAGAGACACTGTTCTAGAAAAGGTAAGTTAACGGTATAATTTCTCACAGGAAATGACACCACCAAATTTCTTCATTTAAATAATACAATAAATTCTAAGAGGATTTCCTAGGTTCGCCCCCTTTCCCTGAGGTGAGGAATCTACTCCATGTACTGTGAACAGTGTTCCTGGACTGTCAGTGTATTGTGACCGTCTTGACTGCAGGTCTATGGGGCACTTCACTACATTCATAAAAACCACCAGGGGCAGACACTCCACTGACTGTTCTGGTAGGAAAAGGGTCAGAAGATTCCATATTCCCTTTTGATATTTGCCATCTCCACCTTTTACACACAATATGAAAACCAATTTTTGTTTGAAAGTAAAATATTTCTTCTTGCTAGACCATTTGACTTTCTAGAAAAGCTAACTTGCTCACCATAATCCAAACAAAACAAACACAAAACCCTTTATCTGGATAAGTGATCCTTCTAAAGATGGATTTCATTTTTTAAGTGCCAGAGAACATTCTTCAACCCTAGAGGCAAAGAACACATTTAACACATATTAAAACTGTTATCGTGTGACTGAAGAAAAACCTACCTGTCCTAACCAGGAGACTCGTGGCCAGGGTCTTTTCTGCTTGATACTTGTTGATGTCAAAACTTCTAATCTCACCTCCATGCTTGTCGAGATATCAATGTTCAGTTAAGTAAAAACAGTCATAAAATGCTGTAAAAAGCAAAAATAATGAAAATAATAATAAATAGCCCATATTTACTGAGGATCTTAATTTAGAATTTTCATAAAGATTTGGTGTTTCACTTTTTCATCAGCTCAATTCTCTTTCTTAAGGTAAGATGTTTGACAATGAATTCAGTATCTCATATCTTGGTCAGGCAAATCGTACGGGCTTTTTTGACCATTTATTTCTCAGACTATGGAGGTAAACAAGAAATAGGAAAAGACCTTGAACCCAAATAGAGGGGCATTCTGCAAAATAACTTATCTATAACCTTCAAAAGTTTCAAGGTTATGAAAGTTGTGAAAAGATGGAGAAACTGGTCCCAAACAGAAAATCGAGTAAGTAAATGCAGTGAGTAACGGTAGCCCACATAGAAAGCAAGCTGACAGGACAAGGCGTGAAGACGCCTGCCAGTCCCCAGGCTGGGTCTGGTGACAGCTGCAGTGAAGCCAGGGACAGTCAGTCAGAGCCCAAGTTGGGGGAGGAGGGCATGATCTTGGCCAAATGGTCCATTCTTGGTAGAATCTTAGGAGGATGTTCCCACTGGGGGACATCCTGGCACAGAGTGTTGGAGCTAAGCTGAATGAGGAGGACACAGACGCCATACTGAAAGGGATCCCATTGACCAAATTGAGGATAATTTAAGCATCAAAACAAATTATAGTAATGGATTTAAAATCCATGAAACAAAATAGGAAACTGTGACTCCATATTATTTTTTAAAAGTAAATAAATTGAACATTTGATGAAAAAGGGTACTTTATAGCCCGGCCAGTGTGGCTCAGTGGTTGAGCGTCCACCTGTGCACCAAGAGGTCACCAGTTCGATTCCCAGTCAGGGCACACACCAGGGTTTCGAGCTAGATCCCCAGTAGGATGCATGCAGGAAGCAGCCGATTGATGATTCTTTCTCACATCAATGTTCTCTCTCTCCTCCTCCCTTCCTCTCTCTCTAAAAATCAATAAAAAAATATATTTTTTAAAAGTGGTATTTTACATTGTTTCAAAGTATCTCCCTATGAAATACTTATTAATTACAAAGGAGAAAAGAGTAACTTCATAATGAAGAAACCAGGCAGACTCCATTTAATCCACTGATCAAAACCAAATGATCAGAAATTGGACAAATGGAAATCATGTGCCACCTAATAGTCAAAGGAGAAAAATCTCTGTGACAGTGTGTTAAAGACACATAACCTGAATCACAAGGAAATATCAGGCAAACACAAACAGCGGGGCATTCTACAAAATAACTGATCTGTAACCTTCAAAAGTTTCAAAGTTATGGAAGTCGTGAAAAGATGGAGAAACTGGTCCCAAACAGAAAACCGAATAACTAAATGCAATGAGTAACTGTAAGTGTTGCTTGCCTCTATGTTATGAAGGACAAAAATGCACAACTGAAACAACTTGAATAGGAAGAGAAACTGAGAACTAGAAGGTTGTAATATATAAATATTCATTTTCTGATTTTGATGGTTGTCTTGCAGTTACATAAGTGAATATCATTGTTTGTAGAAAATACATACTAAAATATTCAGGGATAAAGAAACATCAGTTTGCCATCATTATCAAATGGTTCATGAAAAATAGTTCTCTGTGCTATACTGGCACTTTTCCTGTAAGTCTGTGACTATTCCAAATTAATTTTGAACAACGATGGCATTTGATCATTGGACTGGCCTATATTTAATCATAGCCTTATTCTTCCTTCCTTTTTTTTTTTTTTTTTAAATTCTATCTTTCTAACTCCATTTAGTTTATGAAATACAAAAAAAATTTTAAATTTATTTGGTATGATTGGTATCATAGTTAAGAAAATAGTTATTTATTTTTTTAATCCTCACCCAAGGATATTTTTCCATTTTTATTCAGATAGAGTGGAAGGGAGAGAGAGAGAAATACCAATGTGAGAGAACACATCGATCAGTTGCTTCCCACACAATCCGACCAGGGCTGGGGACAAACTGCAACCAAGGTACAAGCCCTTGACCGGAATTGAACCCGCAACTCATTGGTCCAAGGACCGACGCTCTAACCACTGAGCAAAACAGGTCAGGACAGAAAATAGCTGATTTTTTTAAATAAAATCAGCTTTATGCTCTGGCCTGTGTGGCTTGGTTGGTTGGGCATTATCCCATGCACTGAGAGGTCTTGGGTTCTATTCCTGGTCAAGGCACATGTCTGGGTTTTGGGCTCAAATCAAGTAAGGGGCATGCAGGAGGCAGCCAATCAATGTCTCTCATCAATGTTTTTCTCTTTCTCCTTCTCCCTCCCTCTCTAAAATCAATAAAAACATTTAAATAAGTAAAATTAGCTTTAAAAGAAAGATTATCCAAGTACAGCACAGAATGATCTAAGATGCTAGCCATCCTCATATTTTTTAACACAATAACATGGTTTCTCAGTTGCTCAGTACCGTAATATTCTAGATGACTATTTCCTTACTATTTTTATAAATTTTAAATGTATATATAAAAATTATAAATAAAAAATTCTTTAAAAAGAGCGCACCAAGTGCAAGAAGAATGACAGTATTAGAAAAGCATCATTTGCAGCTCCTAATGAAATAGCAGATCTAGTCAAACAGTATCAATGATGGCTGCTAAAGCTATTAGGGGAATGTGGACGGGGAATTTTATAAGAGGTTGACTGATATTCCCTAAGCCCACCAATCAATCTTGAAATTACTAACAGTGAAACAAATACACATTATACTCCTCCTAATATGACGCTACATAGATAGGAAGTACACAGAACCTCTATGAAATATTCTTACAAAAAGAATTAAAAACTGAACCTGAATCTCTGTCTAAATCTAACCACCAATTGACAAAAACAAAGAGAACAAAGGAACATACGAAAAACGCCAGGAGGGCCATGGCCGGTTTGGCGCAGTGGTTAGAGCATCGGCCTGCGGTCCAGAGAGACCCGGGTTTGGTTCCCACTAAGGGCACGTACCTCGGTTGCAGTTTGTCCCCGGCCCTGGTTGGTCATGCAGGTGGAGGCCACTCCATGTGTCCCTTTCACATCGATGTTTCTCTCTCTCTTCCTCTCTCCCTCCCACTCTATCTGAACAAAAAAATGGAAGAATGTCCTAGAGTGAGGATAAAAAATAAATAAATAAAATAAATGAATAAAATAAAATAAAAATAAAAACGCCAGGAGGATAAAGTCAACCAAATTCAGAATGTAAGAAATTCTACAGAATAGATCCAGGAAATAAAATAGAAAACCATAGTCCTGGCCGGTTTGGCTCAGCGTTTAGAGCGTCGGCCTGCGGTCCAGAGAGACCCGGGTTCGGTTCCCGCTAAGGGCATGTACCTCGGTTGCAGTTTGTCCCCGGCCCTGGTTGGGTCGTGTGGGTGGCAGCCACTTGATGTATCCCTTTCACATCGATGTTTCTCTCTCTCTCTCTTCCTCTTTCTTCCTCCCGCCCTGTCTGAATAAAAAATGGAAAAATGTCCTCGGGTGAGGATTAAAAAAAAAAAGAAAACCATAAATCCATATAGCTATAAATAAGTAAATAAAAAGATCAAACATTTGATGAAAATAATGCATGAATAATGCAGTTTCTTCAACAAATAAATGGTATTTAAATAATATACTATTATATATGTATATGCATAGATAGGTAGGTAGGTAGGTTGGTAGATAGATAGAAGAGACATACAACTTAATGTAATATATGAAGACCTTTTTTTAGACCTCAGTCCAAATAAACCAGTTGGAAAAGATATTCAGCAGCTACTGAAAAGAATAAGGAAGATCTCTGTGAACTGTGATTTCTAGAATATAGTAATTGAAAAAAGTAAAGTGCAAGAGTGTTAGAAGAGGAAAACATTTGTATCATTCAATTTTATAAACAGAAACAATAAAAGGAAGCAAAAATTAACAAAATAGGTTACCTACTAAGGGTGGGGGCAAACAAAGTGGAAAGGCTAGGGAGGGGGTGATATTTCTTAAAATAGCTTTTTGTACAGTTCTGACTTTTGGAATTATGTTAATTAAAACAAGAAGGGAAGCAACCTAAAACTTAATACAGAGGAGCAAATAAATCTATTTCAAATGAATAAAATAACCACACTGAAGAGAAAAAGGATTATTTCAAGTAACTTTTAAATAGTATTTTAACTATGTACTTTCAAACTAAAGATAAAAAGAATTCCAGACAAATCTCACTTTTCCTAGTAGGTTTGTTTTTCCTAGAGGTACGAAGCTGTTTTGTGAGTACTGCAGGACTGAGAAAATGAATTGCATATATACTGATGTTGATGGAAGCCAGCATTCTCATTGTGGAGTAAAGGGGAATCAATTATGGAATGGGGAAAGATAAGGGAAGAGCTGTAAGGGTTTGGATCAGAACTGTCAGTACCAGTATAAACACTCATGATTTCTAGCTCTGTCCTCTAAAAGGGCCTAGAAGCAATGACATCCCAGTAGCAATGAACACATTTAGCACCCAGATCTTGGCTTCTAACTATCATTCCTCAGTGAGAGGAATGAGGGTTCCTTGGAAAAACGGCTGATTTCAGGATTGGGGTAGAGAAGGATCCAGATGAACCTACAAGCTCTTGTTCCAAAGTTAGGAAATAAACATATGATAAGAACAAGTCAAAAAGAAACAGAAACCAGATTGAAGGATCAAATCCCATGGGCCTAATTTGGGACACTCTGAGTATCAAAATAAATAAGATGAGCAATGGGTTATAATCTATTAAATAAAGTTAGAATAGATGAGACCACAGTTATATGGTGGTAGATGTGGAAAATTACCAGGCTGCAACCACCACAGTGAAAACTGATTCAGGAAAGAACCATCAATAGATACTAAAGCAGGCAGAGGGAAAGGAAGGATGCTGATGAGGAACAGGGTATTAATGTATTCTAGAGGTATCACCCCATAAATTACTTAATAATTTGCACATAAAAAAGGGAAAATATACTAACAATAGTAGAGAAAAGGAATAACACCTTAATCTTTATGAAGCAGACAATATATTCCTCTGGTTGTGATAACTTGAAAACATAATGTTATTTATTAGTACTGCAACCCCAAAATGCAAACGTGTCAATTTACAAGGAAACTAATCCATGTGGAAAAAAATTATATAAAGTAATGGGACTACCATTCCTTTAAAATGTCCATACCACAAGAAACAAAAGTTCAAGAACTATTCCAAGTTAAAGATTAATGAGGAGCATCTGAGATCTCGCTCCCCTGCATATGTCGCCAGTTTAGCTCAAAAACTCTTGTAACAATTCTCAAAACAGCCCTGGCCAGTTTGACTCAGCGGTTAGAGTGTCCGCCTGTGGTCCAGAAAGACCGGGGTTCGGTTCCCGCTAAGGGCATGTATCTCGGTTGCAGTTTGTCCCCGGCCCTGGTTGGTCGTGCGGGTGGCAGCCACTTGATGTGTCCCTTTCACGTTGATGTTTCTCTCTCTCCCTCCCACTCTATCTGAACAAAAAATGGAAAAATGTCCTCGGGTGAGGATAAAAAAAAAAAAAAGCTGTGGTACATATACACAATGGAGTACTATGCAGCTGTAAGAAAGAAAGATCTCTTATCCTTTGAGACGACATGGAGGGACCTGGAAAGTATTATCCTAAGTGAAATAAGCCAAGCAGAAAAAAATACCACATGATCTCACTTATATACGGAATATAATGAACATAACAGTCTGAGGAGTACGGTAGACCCAGAAACATGGAAGTAGGGCACAGACTGATATCCCTCAGAAAAGGTGGTGGGGGGGTTGGGAAGAGATAAACCACAGAACTTATATGCATGTATGCATGACCAATGGACATGGACAACAAAGTCGGGGGCGGGGCGGGGGTGGGGAGGGGGGTGCCAATGGGGTAAAAAAGGAGAAACATCTGTAACAAAAAAATAAATAAATAAATTTAATTAAAAAAAGAAAAAGAGCCCTGGCCGGTTTGGCTCAGCGGTTGGAGCGTCGGCCTGCGGTCCTGAGTGACCCGGGTTCGGTTCCCGCTGAGGGCACGTACCTCGGTGGCAGTTTGTCCCCGGCCCTGGTCGGTCGTGCGGGTGGCAGCCACTCGATGTGCCCCTTTCACGTCGATGTTTCTCTCTCTATCTCTCTGTTCCTCTCTCTCCCTCCCACTCTACCTGAACAAAAAATGGAAAAATGTCCTCGGGTGAGGATAAAAAAAAAAAAAAAAAAAAAAGAAAAAGAGCCCTGGCCGGTTTGGCTCAGCGGTTGGAGCGTTGGCCTGCGGTCCAGAGAGACCCGGGTTCGGTTCCCGCTGGGGGCGTGTACCTCGGTTGCAGTTTGTCCCCGGCCCTGGTTGTTCGTGCGGGTGGCAGCCACTCGATGTGTCCCTTCACGTCGATGTTTCTCTCTCTCTCTCTCTCTCTCTCTCTCTTCCTCTCTCTCCCTCCCACTCTATAAAAAAAAAAAAAAAAAGAAAAAGAAAAGAAATTAATGTGCCCAGCTGGTGTAGCTCAGTGGTTGAACAACGACTCACGCACCAAGACGTTGCCAGTTCCATTCCTGGTCAGGGCACATGCCCAGGTTGTGGGCCTGATCCCAGTGGGGGGCACGCAGGAGGCGGCAATTGATGTTCTCTCTCATCAATGTTTCTATCTCTCTCTAAATTCAATTAAAAAAATTTTTTTTATTAATGCAATTTTTGGTGGTACTATGTGGTTATTTTATCATGGTTTTGTGTGTGTGTTGTTTTGAATATGTTTTTATTGATTTTTTGAGAGAGAGATAGAAACACCGATGAGAAACATCCATCTGCTGCTTCCTGCACGCCCCCTACTGGGGACTATGCCAGCAACCCAGGCATGTGGCCCCACCAGGATGGAACCAGGACCTCTCAGTCCATGGGAGATACTCAATCCACTAAGCCACACCAGCCAGGCTTTGGTGAGTGTTTTTCTGTGTGGCTTTTTTTTTTTTTTTTTTTTTAATAAACCCTCACCCAAGGATATTTATCTTCAGATAGAGTGGGAGGGAGGAAGGGAAAGAGAGAGAGAGAAACATCCACATGAGAGAGACACATCGACTGGTTGCCTTCCGCACAACCTGACCTGACCTGAACTGCAACCAAGGTACATGCCCTTGACCAGAATCAAACCTTTGACTCTTTGGTCCAAAGGACAACGCTCTAACTGGCCAGGGTGATGTGTTTTTTTAAGGATCCTTCCTTTCTTATATAATAGGATATAGTATATACTTATGTGTTCATGCCAGGGATTTGCTTTCAAATACTCCAGATGTATACTCAGAGATAAGTTTTTCAACTAAAATGTAAAGGATTAAAAAAGACAATTCAAGATTAGGCTGGCCCTGGCTAGTTTGGTTCGGCACTTAGAGCATCCCCCCAAGGACCCAAAGGTCTCAGGTTTGATTCCCGGTCAAGGGCACATATCTGGGTTGCAGGTTCCAGCCTTGGTCCCTGTGAGGGTCGTGCGGGAGGCAGCCAATGGATGTGTCTCTCTCACACGGGTGTTTCTCTCTCTCTCCCTCCCTCCCTCCTTTTCACTCTCTAAAAAAAAAAAAAAAAAAAAAAAATGAAGATGGAGCCCTACAGGATTTGATAATGTTTTCAACGTCCATTATGCCGCAAACATTATTTCTGCTACTGAACTGGCTCCTGACAATAATAAACATCACCAAACAAGGAAAATTAGTTAATGGAATAAAAAATAAGTTAACCTCATCACACTCACTAAATATGTTAGGAGGAGAAATATACTGTCTACCCAAAAGGTCACCTAAAACACATGGGCCGATTTAATGACAATTTCCAAGTTCTTCTGTGATTTCCACCACATACGAGTCTAAAAAAATCGCGTCGGTTCCTCACTGTTCAACTAACTGATCACCAACTAAGGTCAAAAGGGAGTTTCCCCAGGACCACCTCGCCCAAGTCCTCCAGGGGACCCTCCCAGGTTTTCTCCGCGACCCCACCGCCGGGCTTGGCAGGGGAGGTGCCACCGCGGCGGCGCCGGGACCGGACGGGACACGAGGACCGGCCCCCGGCAGCCCGAGCCCCTCGGGCCTGAGGATGCGGCGGCGGGAGGACAAGGGCAGGGGCCGGGCAGGCCCAGGAGGCGGCGAGACCAAGAGCCGGGCAGAAGGAAAGGGCCAGGGGCTGGGAGCGGCGGGGACGGGGGTCGTGGGTGTGCGGGACAGAAGCGAGCAGCGGGACACCGAGGCGCCGGAGGACGCGCCCCACCCGCCCCCACGCGCCGGGAGGGGCGGGCCGCGCGGAGCAGGAACCTGCGGGCTGTTACCTTCGGCGGGAAAGAGCGCGATGCCGAGGGCCGAGGGGCGGGCAGCCCGGGAGCGGGAGACGGCCGCGGGCCCAGCCGGCCGCC